TCTTATATAAATCAGGTTCAGTCACAGGATAGATCTCTTCATGATAAAAAATCGATGTAACTGGTTCATTATCATAATCACGTAGACGATAAACATACCCTTGAGGTGTATGTTTAACTTTAGTTATATAATAGATTTCACGACTCCATGTTGATGTTGCACCTTTCTCGAAAATAGTTTTAGCTCTTGTTATTCGAACACTATCTCCTACTTGGTAAGGTTTTTGTTTCTTTTTATTTTTCTTTTGACCTCGGAAAACATTACTAACAGCTAATGATTGGTTAGTTAATGCTTGAATTGGGGTCATTTTAATAGTTCGATGATATGAGTTATTATATGAATTGATTATTTTATTTAATACATCAATATATTTGTGTTTGTTTTTATAATGTAAATAACGATAAATTCGAGATCTTAATGTACGATTGAATCTCTCAACAATTGCACATTTAATCAAATCATCAGTTGATGTGAAATGATTAATATTAAGTTTTTGTAAATATTGTTTTAAATATTGATTAACAAATTCTTTTCCTTGATCAGTTTGTAATTTTTCTGGTTTTCTCGATTTGAATATTTCTTTAAATCCGTTAATAACTGAATTTGAAGATTTATCTTTTAAAGGTATTGCCCAGGCAAATCTACTTAGACAATCAACAACAACTAATAAATATTTATATTGATCGTTGGCTCTTGAAAGCCAACTCATATCCATAATATCGGCTTGCCATTGCTCATCGACTTTATCAACTAGAATAGGTAATCTTGGGAATGGTTTGTTTCTTTCACGGAATAAACTATATGTTTCTTGGTTTTTTAACCATGATTCGACATCATTGAATTTTAAATTGGAAATTTTAATTCTTGCAGTATCATATAATTTTTTAATACCTCCAAATGATCCAGATGATTCAGGATCATAATATATTTTTTCTAATTCTTGTTCGATACTAGATCCTCCCATTTTAAGTCATTTATAAATTCAATTGCTTTTTCGTTCTTAATTAGTTTAACTGCACCTGGATACTTTAATCTAATCATCGTTAATACTCTTTTTGAACCATTTGGGAATTTAGTTCTTGCACCAACAGTTCGTAAGTAAGTAATGATTTCATCTATATTACTAGCATTTGAAGGTATTCCAGTTTCATTTGTGATTTTCCCTTTCTCGGTAACTAAACCAGGGATCCCTCTGATTAATGTTGTTAGTGCATCTTTTGCATCCATTCTTGAGTTTGAAGGATACGGAGAAACTCTTACAGGTTCTGGTGGTAATCGATATGGACTTGATCTTTCGATTGGTAATGTATCGTCTTCCGATTTAGTATCAATTAAAGTCCGATCATTTGTATGTGAAACTGCACTTTCAAATTCTGATGGTTCTGATTGCTGCTCTTCATTATAAAATTCAGTTCCACGGTAATTCTGATGTTCGAGATTATGTTCTTTTGTTCTTGCCAACATATTATTGATGAATTTAACTTTGACTTCAGTTGGTAAATTTTTATTCAACATACGTCTAGTTACACTAGGTCTCAAAACATTACGTTTATATTGATCTTCAGAAACTAAGTACATTCGGGTTACTGTATTCATTATTTCGACAATTTATTTGCAGCAATTGTTGCTAATAGTGTCAATGCTGGTTTAATTAATAATGGTAAGAATCCACCTTTCTGATTAATCAGATTTTGTCTCTGTTTCAATGTAGATTTACCGGTGAGAAGACGTAAATCTTTCTTATACCGTTTGAGTTTGGTTTTATGTTTAGGTTTTAAAGGTATTACACCTTTCAAGATTTGTTTAGCAATATCGGTAATTACTGGATAAATAGATTTAGGTGAATTGGAAATGATTTTTCTTCTTTGAATATGTGATTTTGTCTTTGCTAGCTTTCGCAAGCAAGAATAACACTTGAGTGCACGTTTAACCGTCATTTTTAATTACCTAAAAGAATCAAACTTCTTATACTAAATATGCTGTAATGTATGGTTCTTCATCAAGTACATTTGTTAGAAATCTAGTTTCTATTGGTGTATCAGGTTTTAAATCGAAAAATAAATATGAATATGGTTTTCTTGTTGCATCTTCATAAATATCTTGTAACTTTTTAACTTTACCAGGTAAAATCTGTCTTCCGATATTAGTTATCATTGATTGATCACGAGGATTTTTAAAATAAACTACATATTGTGAATTTAATGATATATTTCTTGATTCTTTTCCACGAGTAAAAAAGTTTTGTACTAATAAAATAACAGATAAATTACGATGGTGAGATCCTTTAGTAAATAATTCACTTATTACTTTTGAATTTGTTGATTCAAACATTAAATCATCAATAATTATCCATTCTGGTTTTATACCATCAAATTTTTGTATTAAATTTTCAGGTAAACCTTGAATGAAATCAACATTCGGCATTGAACTGAATATTTCCTGATATTCTCCGTAAAAGTAAGTTATCTTTTCTGGTGGTGGGTAACAGTATTTATTAACGTTTGATACTAATTGCTTAATCCAATACGTTTTACCCGAACCTGTTGGACCAGCAATCATCATTGTGAATGGATGGCGTAAATAAACTGAGAAAGTTTGCATTTTGATGATTTTAAATTGTTTATTGTTTTCTATTCTTAAGTAGATTATTGAAAAATCTGAAAAAACGTTTTTTACGAATATTTCTGATGAAAATGATTAACGTAAATTTTTTGAAAAAAGAAATTTTACAAAAAATGATTAACATGAATTTTTGAAAAAAAATGAACATGAATTTTTGGAAAAAAAAATGATTAACATAAATTTTGAAAAATGATTAACATAAATTTAATTATCGATAACATCGATTCCATGTTCTTTAACATAATCCATATGTTTCTTCATATACTGAACAATATTTAGTGAACATCTTGTGTTTGTGTTAGAATGAGAATGGAGATAACAAGGTTGTCTTAGTTGGTCAATGAGTTTGTATGAAGCACCATACGTTCCGTTGATATTAATTAGAGGGATATTGAATTTATTCAATACAATTTCTGCTTCAACTGATCGAACGGCTACAATTAATTTTGATTTGTTTCTGCAAGCTCTGTAAAAAGTAACACATAAAGCTTCCAATTCATCATAACTTAAACCATTGGTGAATCCATTATATTTTAATCCGTGATGGTACTTCTCGAGGTATTGTATCTGTTTTTCCTCTTTAGGTGTTGGTTTACATTCACAAAATTTACCGACTTTCACATGAATTAAATGATCATCACCATACATTGCAACCTCTTGTGGATGATAAGTACCATTAACATAGATACCTTGAGTATCGAAATAAGCACAAATATATTCCATGTTGACTGTTCAAAGTTTGAATGACAAATGAACTTGTGTTCACTTGATAATCCCTATTTATACTGTAGTTTGACGAGTGAGCAGAAAAGTTTCGGATCGGACTGAGCGAATCGAGTGAGTGCAGCGACATCTAGTGAAGTGTTGAGTAAATCATCAGCAGTAACTAATCCTAGGTTGAATAGATAACACTTTTCAGGCTCGACTTTATTACCTCTTATTGCTGTGAATTTATGTTCTAATAAATTCTCTTCAGTTGTTAATAAAGATAATATGTATAAGTCAATTAGCTGTTTGATCGGTAGATCCTTGGATAACAAAAATAGAGCAGCAGGAACAAATGGTGTAACTTCTCTCCAAAAGTCCATTGGAGTTAGAACATACGAATCTTTTTTCATTATTTTTAATGTCTCACTCCCGATTCTCTTGATTTGCACGTCATAGAAGAATGCTTGTTCATTACGTAAGTCCTTGTTGTTGTAGAAATTAAATACAAATTTAAATTCTGATGGTGTTAACGATATTCCAAATTTAGTTGGTGAACTATTATAACTATAACGTATATCCAGTCGATTACACTTTTCACTTCGAGAAATTTTAAAGATGATTGGACCATTAAAAATTCTATGTGTTCGCCAGATTACACAACCCATTTTGATGTTTACTCTTCAAAGTTCAAATGACAAATGAACTTTCATTCACTTGATCATCTCTATTTATAGTGATTTGATTCTGTCCATGAACTGCGCAATCGCAGTTTCAATTTGTTCGACACTTTTCGCTCCAACAATTACAATTGATCCAGTATGGAAGTACATGATCGTTAGTCCATTGAGTTTTGTATATATTGGAGGGAATAATTCAGGTTCGTAACTTGTATCTTTCTTACAATATAAGTGTTTCAGTTTTTCAGTATTGAATCTAACTGAATTATAACTTGATGCTGTTATATTGACTATTCTAATGAATGTTATTTCACGATCAGGGAACGTTTCCATTAATGTCAAAATTGTCATAGGTAGACTTTTGAATCCTGTGGCTGTAATTTTTCCTGATGCAAAAACAAGCAACACACCATTATCAGTTCGTATAACTTGAGCATTGAATTTTTTCTTTCGGTTCGTGTTGTCGACTTTGATGTCTATTGGTCCTATTGACCATATTGAAACTACATTATCAATACGATAATCAGGCCAGATTGATTTGGTCATATTTAATATTATCAAAAAATATTGCACGGAATATTAGTAGTAAAATGACTGTTATAATTATGAAAATGATGATTCGTAAAATCATGTTATGTTTCATGGGGGTCATCGTATCGAATGAGCTGACTACCGTCAGCTCATCCTCTTTTATACTTATTTTATAACATTTAAATTTGCCGCCAAAAATTTGACCCTAAAATATTCTAAATATGGTCACCGAATGTTGGTGTTGGTTAGAAAATACCATTTATTCATTTACCGAAACTTTGTCTCAGAGCGGACAGTTTGTCCCAGAGTGGTTGTCCTAGAGCGGACAGTTTGTCCCAGAGCGGACGGTTGTCCCAGAACAGGGCTTTTATTAACTACTGACGATTAAGACAATCTTTCTAGCATTGATAAAGTGAACAATTAACATCGTATTATTTATTTTTTCCTTCATTTAATCAACAGCAATTGATGAAAGATGGTAAAAAAGGTCGAATCAATTGTGAGGTTGAACGGAGAGTTGCGACTCAGATCATTGCCTCGGAGCCTAAAATGGTGAGAAAACCTTGATTACGATATCGATTCTAACTCATGAGTTATTGAATTTTTTTTATTATTACGATAACGATTTTCGTGTACAAAGTTTAGATGTTGGTTAATATTTTTTTCATTTCCATTTTGAAAAGTGAACGTTAATTGTCAACAAATCTAGACTGTCACAGTCAATTGTTGTAACGTGCCAGTGATTGTCCTTTTATTATTGTGTATATATATTTTTTTGCATGATAGTAGCAAAAATTTGAATTGAATCAACAATTGAGACCAAGGATGTTCACGGTTCAACTGATTACAATTTATGTAACTTTTTCAATCTACAATTTGGTCCAATTTTGTTGACAAACAAGGGAGAAAAAAAGTTCGAAATAATCAAGTAAACTTTCAATTTCAACATACATATAATCAAGAATCAACGGAAACTGTTAAATTGTTATTTATATTACTTTTGTTTTCCTTCAGATTCAATTTTCTTACTTAATCGTTAAGAATTAAATTGAATTTCAAGGATATAATCAGTGGAGAGTTAAATAGGATTGATAACAATAGTTTACTTGATTGAGAACAATCAAAATATTTTTTTTCTTCGTTTAAAGGTTAATTGTTTCAATAATATTCTTTTAATTTGTCAACAGTTAATTACACCTTATGGTAACATGACAACCGATCCCAAGTTAATCCATATGACTGGTGAGAAAATGTTCTTCTCATGTAGTTCCGGTAATCCATCCAAATCAAAGAAACCAAAACAAACAATTAAGACAATTTTGAAACTCGATAAACCAATTGAAGGTAAAGATCTAAACTAAAACTTAAAACAATTAACTCTTGTACTGATTGTTAATCTTATTCTGTTTTTCTTACTCTTACAGTTATGGAAATTAAAAAGCCCGATGTTAATGTGACCTCTCCAGCTACTCCGATCGTTTCTAGACCTAAACGGGAAGCGGAAAAGCCGGCAAAACCATCCAAGGAACATAAAGAGTGCTCATGTGATTGTTCATGTTAATTAGCATCAACAATCAATTGATTGTATTAATATATATCGAGATTAACTATTGTTTATTATTAATAATAAAACTTTTTATCATGAATGAAAAAAAGTTTTTTTTTACTCATTTTGTATTAGCAATTCAATTGTTTAGGATAAACTATTAATATTTTTATCAATCTATTTGAATATTTTACTTTATTCTTGTGTTTTAATTATATCAGTTTGACACTTTCATTAAACTTTTCTCCTCAAACAATTAACTGTTGACTTTCATTCTCAATAACAATAAGCAGCAATTAAGGTTATCAAGTGGATTGAACTTTCATTTTGTCCCTTTCGTGATTTAATCATAATGTTATTTGTAGTTTCGCCTCGAAGTTCATTATTTTGTATTTCATATTGAGTTCGAGAATTTTATTATTATTTTTTCTCTTTGGTTATTATCAAGAACAAAATGTTGACAATCAGAGAGAAATTTAAATTTTTTCCTTTGGAGTTTGGTTACCATGGTAATCATAATGAGCTCCAATTTTGACTAGACTTTCAAAGTAAATGATACAATCACAATTAATTAGATAGAATCTGAATCGATAACAAAAATGAATCAATTTTGATTTTATATTAAACAATCTATTAGATAATCAAGATTTCGGGTGAATCAAGTGTAAATTGTGTTCCATTGATCTACAAAAATTGGCAGCTCTCTCAGTTTGATTACGATTGTTAATCAAGTGAAAATCTAACCATGAATTTAACAATAGTAATATTAATAGCAATAGATGAGGAAAAAAACCTAATCTTTTCAATTATTATCGTTGTCAGTTAATTGTTATCATCACGGGTTTCCTTTTGTGTCATCTTCATATTCCAGGTAAGATAAGGTTGACTTTTCCTTTTCTATTTACCATTTAGTTAACCAATCCACTGAAACACCCTTCAGGTAACAATGTGACACAGTTATTTTTTTTGTCATCTACTAGGCGTTAATGGGATCGACCAGATCGGTTCAGTTAATATAAATACGGAAACGTTTTCACCAAAGTAACTTTACTATTGAAAATTGTCAATACTTTCATTACGAAACTTTTTTTTTGTTATGTCCAAAATTTCACCTACAAAATATTAGTTATGATCTTATGGTCACCAGTTATCATTTTCTCACTTACAGTTAACTTAATTATAGTTAATCAAGTTTCTTCAGGTAATAATAATTGTATAACTCTCATTGAAATTTATTCTAATCATTATTCATTTTTTTTTCTTCTAACAATCAGAGCCTCTTAACAATTTACCATGGAAATTTGGCCAAGGGGATTGGATTATCAATGCTACACTTACTCGAGATGTAAGTAGTTACCTATGATTGTCAGTTTTGTTTCCTTATCCACCATGATAATAATTATCTTTGTGTCCAGTTTTCTGATGAAAGGTATTCAATGGTGGAATATATTCATTCAGATTCTGATGGAGTTCGAGGTAAAATTATGATAACTCCCGTTTCTGGAAAAAGTTCAGTTGAAGTTTTTTACTCGAGCTCTTTCAAGGAGCAACGATTGGTTATCAGTGGTAAATATTATTATCGTTTATCTTTAATACTTGAATACAAAGTTAATTTCTCATGTTACTGATTAACTTTTTTTATCCTCGAATAGATAATAAGTGTGAGGTTTACACTTTCTCTAATTTTTGGTCTAAATCACTTTTCGATTTGACTGCAATGAGATCGTTACAAAATCATCTACTTCTAACTGGACCTTCAATTCTGTTGCGATTGAATAGTAAAAATTTATTCTGGGTAAGTGTCAGAAGAACTCAATGATTATATCATTTGAATATTATTTCAATCATCAGTTATACTAAATCTTAAATCATGTTTATTTGTTATGAAGAATCAAGGACCAGATACTATGATTCGAGGTATTAATGTTCAGTCTGTGAATACAACATTGGACAGAGAGCTGAACATTATTTACTACAATAAGAGTGAGTTTATTGTTTTCTTTGAAATGATGTGATTAGTTAATTTTTGCGATTTCTTACTTTAATTCCTGTAGATTCTCATGTTGATGGTGGATTATTGGAAGCAATTAGATTGAAATTTCTTGGTTATGATCCTGGAACTCAAGTAACGACTTATGCAGAGGGTCTTCATTTCGATATCTATTCATTTTCTACCACCACTGATCTGAGTAAATTTGTTACTGTAAGTGAAACGATATGACTTTTCAAGTCGACTCATTTGTTTCTGCCAATTATGAGATTTTAATTCTTGATTCTATTCTGTCTTTTTCCCCATGATTTTTAGGTTACTACAGGAGTTGGTTGTCCTTCTTACCTGGTTGATAGAAAGGTCAGTTCTTACCTTTATCTTCCTCATATTATGGGAGCAAATATACATTATATTGCTAAGGAAACGATAGATGGACCAACGAAATCAATAACGATGAACGAGGTATTGTTAAGACTATTTTCTATTTTCGAAAAATATTCCCCAGATTAAACTTTTCTTTCATCAAATTTAGGTTTATCTGTCCTCAAAATATCAAATAGCTCGTTTGAAATCCAAAGGTCAGGGTATTACCACTGAATCAATTTACGATTACAATTTGGGAATTGCTTACACCTCGAAAAAAGAGGGAGAATGTTCAATATCTGCTATCGATTCAAAAAGCTTCGGCATTACCGCAAATGGCCATTTCTCAACCTACCAGCCCTTCAATATGGAGGATTATCATTACATGTATGTTGGAAAAGTCGATTATGTAAGTAATTCTATTGTAATTGTCTAATAATAGTCACTAATTGTTAATCACTTTTCTCCATTAGGAAAGAAAGCCTGGCTTAACTGTAGACGTTTGGGAAGTGGTCAACTACGATTATGTTATGAATGGAATTAAATATGATCGAGTTGTTATCACTCAATATTTCAGTCCACAAGTAATTAACCTTCATTGATTAATATTCTTGAACTATAATTATTAATATAATCATCTAATCAACTTAATTTTCTCTCTCATCATTAGGCTGATTCTAGATTGTTCAATGATAACATTTTAATGGGAACCACGATAAAAACTTATAACAAAATTACAAATGTAAGTTTTACCATCAACTAATGGTTAATATTTACAATCAGCTAATTGTGATCTGTACATTTAGGAATCTTATCAACTCATTGAAACCACTACTAGAGATTATTATGATTCGGAGGTTGTCGATGAATATGACCTCCGTCTAAAAGTCGAGGATTGTTATCCTAATGCTGATGAACGAAAATTGATCGCCTTACATTTCAAATGTGTGAAAAGTTCTGACTGTCAGAAAGTAGCTCGAGATGAATATCACCAAATTCAAGAGAAAATCAGACATTCTATCAATAATTTGGGAATTTCAGTTGCTCGTATTATTTATATTGACATTGTCTTCAATGGCGATGAGATTATCGCTTATACCGAATTCATGAAAATTCCAGATATAAAACGTAAGTTTATTTCTATCAATTATCTTTCTAATACTTGATCGATATCTAATTACTTTTCTCTCTATCAACAGTTAGTCTACAGTCTCAATCTCTCAAGATCGATAGAAGTACTTTTTCAAAGGTAAAAATGGTCAATGCCAATTCGGAAGAAGATTGTCTAGAACGACAAGTAGCTGGACTTTCGAGACTTGAGTAAGTATTGAAAAAGCGAACCATCAATAGGAGAAATCAGTTGATTGTAAAACTTTTCTTTTCCAAAACAGAGCAATAATCTATTCTGATCATGTTGGTGAAAATTCTTGCGGTCGAGTCGAGTCAAAAAGCTCCATAAAAGAAGACAAAAAGAATGGAAATTCTTTCAATGTATATGATGTATCTTTATCCAAGCTCATGAATTATAATCGAGAGATACCTCTGGATAAATTGGAAGAGAATTTGAATCGAGCAAGAATATCTTTTACTCTTGACGGAGAACCGATTACTTATATGATGGAAAAAGCGATTGATATGAGTACCTCTGAATATCTGGAAGGTTCTCCATATGAACTAATCGATAACGGTGGTAAACTGATTGCTGATAATATTAATGTTCTTATGGTGAACGAAGTGAATAACTTTGGTGACTGTTATCGTGCTTGTGCTCATTCAGAAGAAAATTCTTGTGAGACATTCAGTTTCTGCCAATATTCAGATAAACCAACTTGTTTAACATCAAATTCACTCTATTCCGATTTATCGGCCATAGTAACTCAAGATAATTCTTGTAAAACTTTGCGAAAGAATCGCTTATTAGATTATGCCAAGGTACCTTCACGGCGATATAAGCATCCAACATCGATCGCTACTGATAATTGGGTTGAGGATTGTGCGTCTGCCTGTAGCTCATCTGATGAGTGTTTCTCATTCCAACATTGCAGTGGCTCGTGTACCTTTGGTGGTTATTACACAGATTCGTCCTCTGAAAAGAGTGACGATTGTGATATTTACATACGTGAGTATTTAGATTGACTCTTTTTCATAGGATCGTCTTGTTAAAATGAACTTTTCTCATTATTTTCACAGCTAAAGTCTCACAACAGTACAAATTAACAGGACGGAAAATTGTTTCTGAAACTTTTCATACAGAATTGAATCTTGATTATGCTCAATGTGCTTCTCTTTGCGCTGGATGGACTAATGGAGATGAAGTTTGTGTCTCATTTAATTTCTGCCCGAAAAGCTCATCGACTACAAGTACTTGCAGTTTAACAAAATATTCAATCTCCGATCCAACGACAGAATCTATCAAATCAAATACTTGCCAAAACTATGAATTCAATATTGAAGATCTCATGAAAGCCAAACAAAAATCAAGTTCATACAAAGTGATCTCAACTTCGGGTACGAGTGGTAAAGGTGCTTTTGGAATAGTTATTTTATTCGTGATGATCGGTCTAATTGCTGGACTAATTACTCCAATGACTGTGATGAAAATCAATAATATCTGGAGGACGATGAGAGCAGCTAATCAAGAAAGTACATTTAATTGGTCAAGATATGAAAATGATGAGGATGATCAACAATCAGCAGTATAAAGCATTTAAAAAAAACATATTAATACTTAGCAATGTAATTTACTAATCAAGTATTGACTAATTTTTGTTAAACATACCAAACAATCAAATTAATTGTTAACTTTTGATAACAACAGTTGATTAACAGCTTGAAATGTCTTCATCTTCATGGTGAATTTGTGTATATTAAATGATAAATCAATGTACAATTATTGATTTAGTATTTTTTAATCAATGGAGACTTACAACTAATTTAAATCATTTTAATGCTCAACTAATAACGGAATATATATTTACCAAGTGTTAAAATGACATCAAATTTTCTGGAAGATAAATCATGAGGTTTTAAAAAGATTTTCAATTCTAATTTTCGATTGATTTTCGATAAATTAATTTAGAAAAATAAAAATTTCGAAAAAAATTGTAATTTGAAAATCGCGCCAAGAATTCATTCTGGTCTTTGTTATGAAAGTTTCTGAATGTCCAACAGCTGAACAGTTTTTGTGATTGTTGTTGTCTTAATTGTCACAGTTTGAAAGAATAGTTAATTATTATCATGTCAACGAGTAATTTACCTCCGATGTTATTGGCTCGTCTTCAAAGGAGAGGAATCCTTTCTAGCTCTGGAACCATCAGAGCAAAGGAACAAGGTATTTATCAATAGATTAGTTCATCTACTAAATTTGTTTTTCATTCTGTTGGATGAAATTAATCAGAGTTTTTGATTGTATTTTTTTTTTTCAGAGCCTGAGGAAGAAGTGATTGCTGAAGATTATGATGACCCGAGTCTCTTGAAGGGAAATAGCAAAGAAATGGCTCCTGGATGCCCGAACAAGTATAATATTTATCATGACTGTTCTGATTACTGTTTCAAGATGTGGGGTCAAGGTGAACCTAATCCACTGCCAAACATTGAAAGGAAATACAATTCATTGATTAAAAAGTATCCATTACCATCTAATTGGCAAAAAGTTTGGGAACCAGGGCTACTAAGATATTACTTTTGGAACACAATTAGTGATGAAGTCTCTTGGTATCCACCGAGTCATCCTGAAGCTAAATTATCTCTTTCTGTTCCTAAATTGAAAATACAATTAAAGGAAGAAGAACAAGTATTGAAAAGTATGGATTCAGATGGTGGTGATGATGATGACGATGGTTCATCAGATGATTCAAATGATACAGAATCAGATATGAGCTCATATGATTCAATGGAATCAGATGATGAACCAAGAAAGAAACAGAAAACATCAAGATGTTCACCAACATCAAATCGCCACCGAGGAGGTCGATCTAAAAATGTACGAAATGATCTTGACCCAATGGATCCTGCATCTTATTCTGAATCATGTCCACGAGGTAAATGGTCCGATGGTCTAGAAACGAAATCGCGATCTACCGATGAACCAACAGTCTCAAGTAATACATCGAATCAAAAAAGATCACATCTTAATCAAAGCTCCGCTCGCAAGAAAAAATCCTAAACCCCAACCGCAGAAACAAATCAATTGTAAATTCTAATCATCCTACCCTTAATCTAAATTGAATCAAGCCCAAAGAAAATCTTTTTCTACCAAAAATAAAAAAAAACCATTGTAATTAAAATTCCAAATAAACTCAATCCAAAAATCTCATCACTGATTCTGACTGAAAATGTGACTAAACATATGATTCCGAAGGCGATGTAAACAAAAGCATCTCTTGAGTTTGTTATTGTTTTGGTGAATTTTTTTCTCTCTCTCTCTTCCTAATGATACAATTTCTTCAACTTTAATTGTTCCTTTTCTATTCATTGTGATTCCTAATTGTTTACCAACCAGGTCAGTGTCCTGATGTTAACAGTAAATGTGATAAATCCGATAAACAATTTAGTAAAAATGTCTTGTTACCGTCGTCAAGTCCTCTCATTGTATAGAGAGTTGATTAGTTTATCTAAAACATGGGAACCAATTGCAATTGAAGAAACTCAAGCTCAACGTGATTATATTGCTAATGAGACTCGAAAATTGTTCCGATTAAATAAAAGTTTAACTAATGATGAAATGATCAAGGAGAAATTAGAATCAGCCAGAAAACGTATTGAGATCGCTAAACATTATTTGAATGCTTATGAGAGGCCAGTTTATTATCCAACTGGTTACAATCTTAAAACTGGTAAGATAATCCCAAGGTGAATTAGTTAACAATTTAGATGATAATATCTTGCGAGAGACACTGATTGGTCATCATGATTAAATCTCCAATCAGTCAATTGACCCTTCTCATCTTGGAGCAATCAAATCGTTTTAAATAGCAATGTAAACAAAACTGATTTTCTCATCAATGTAATCAATATTTAGTTAATTGTTCCTCTCGTTGGACAAATAAAACAATTTAACCATGAAAACAAATTATTGTATTCATCCATTTGATCATAGAAAAGAAAACTTAATCAAAATGTGAATTCAACTTCGAGTTGAGATCAGAATTTCGTATCAGGTCGATTGGTCGCTTTTTCGATAAAAATTTGAACATGTAATCGTCATGACCAATTGATCGGTGCTTTTTAATTTATGGTCATCTCTTCATTTCCATCAACACAATCAACAACAATTAAGGGACCACAAATTACTGCAATTTCTTTATCAACAAGGAAATATTGAATCTTGAACGATTTTCCCAATCAAATTAAGATAACCTTAATTGCCTTGCAACAATTTGCGACGATCAACTGTATTTACATGTCATCTCTCAGACAACAACAATCAAATTAATTGTTATCATATTCAACATTTATCTTAATTATTTTTCCAACAATCAGTGATTACATTTGTATTCACATTCACTGAGATTGAGATTTTCTCTTGATTTTGAACAATTTCTGTTGAATTGACAATTAAATCCTTGTAATAGTTTCTCGTACCTGTATTTAATTAATCGTTGGAAAGTTTTTAGTAAATTAGTCTGAAAATAGATTAAACAATTAAATTGATGTAATGAACCCAAGGATAAGTGTTAAATTAGATGTAACTGCCAAACCGAATGATCAAATAATCGTTACCTTGTCCTGATTAACTTTCTAATGTTAAATTACAATCAAATATTCAAGTTAATCAGCAGTAAATAAATTTTCATGTCTGTTGATATATTATAATGATTATAACAATAATCTAATATCATTAATTGAATGATGAACGATACAATTTACACAATTGAAATAGTAATTCTGTCACGTTATTATTATACTATGAATGGTGCCAATCAAATGTCAAAGCCAAAATTGTTGATTAAATTGGTCAGTTATTCAACTAAACGGAAAGTTAACATTTTAATTTAGGATAGACAACAATTAATTGTTAGGTTAGACACAATCAACAAGGTGAAATTACAAAGAAAATCAATTAATGAGAAACCTTGAATTTTTATTATATCTTTGAAAATGTCAAGAGAATGGAAAAAATCTTGATGATTACATTTATCAGTTTCTAATTTACTGTTGTTAATATAATAATTGACATGGGTGATGATGAAATCAGATGAACAATTAAAGAAAATCAAGATAATTAATCAACAGAATCAACGAATCTAATTTAAGAGTAGATGAAACCGTTAACATTGTTTTCCTTTGATCATGGAAACAAAATGAGATGAAAAAGATTGTCAAGTTGAAAGGAAAAACATTTTGGTAAATCAGTTGATTGTTCAATGGATCATTTAATTGTACAACAATTAATCGAGTTAATCAAATAGTCGCAATTAGATTAATTCTAATGTAAAAGGTTATTCAAGTTGGACGAAAACTCCCCCTGGTGGGAAAAAGAAGCAAATTCGAAAACAGGTTAACCGAAAATGTGATCATTTCTTTTTCATTTCATTTCTGATTCTCATCATTTCGAAGTATCAATTCTGCTGATGATTGTGATCTACAATTGTGATTAACAATTAAAATAATTATTTTACATTAATTATTATTCTCTGGTGTTTCATATTCTATAAGATTCTCTAGATAAAAATAGAATTCAAAAGGATATTATCAACAAAAATCTTCTTCTTGTTTATTGTTCATTTGTTTGTTTCTTTCTCTCATCAATTTTTCCTTCTAATTTTACTCTTTTTTTTTATTCTAAATTGTTTTATATTTACCATTCTCGTTAATTTATCTGTTCACCAGTCAATTGGATCTTTGTAATTAACTGTTTTAACAAGAAAACAAAACAAATCTATACAGTTGATATCATATTAATCAGAGTCTTCTCTCTCTCTCTCTATCTTACCTGTGAATTAATTTTTGACAATTCTTTTGTTTATTGCTGAATATTGTGATATGGTTGGGAAGAAATTAACTATGGAATCCAATCTAGAATTAACTGTGCCCCATTTTTCAGATTTTACCATTGATGCCAATAACCTGGAAGAAGGTGCTTTAAGTTTGGTTAAGAAATTACGACCTCATTGGGATTTATCAACCATTAAGATGAAACATTTTACCGATGGTATAACCAACCGGCTTGTTGGATGTTTCCCAGGAGATTTTGATCCGGTTAAAGGTGATGATGAAGATGATGTTATACTTATTCGTGTTTATGGTCAAAATACGGAAGCATTTATTGATCGGCGTAAAGAGATTGCCAATATGGTTCTAATTTATCAGAATGGTCTAAGTCCACCGGTTTTCTGCTCTTTTTCCAATGGAATGGCCTATGGTTACTCTTCAGGATCAACTGTTGATGCGAATATGGTTCGAGACGAGTATATATATAATCTGATTACCGCTCAACTGGTTAAACTACATTCAATTGTTTGTAAACAAAATTGTTCATCAAACTCAAGAGTTACCATCAATGAAGATGAAACAAATGATAACAACAACAACAACGATAATAATAACAATAGAATCCACTCGAAAGATTCCTGCCTTTTCAAGATGTTACGTCGATATTTGGATTTAATTTCCGTTGCATTGAGACCCAATGATCCAGTTGATAACTTTTTAACCGGTGAAAATTTAACCTTAGATGATCTTTACAAAGAAGCGGACAGATTGAAAGATCATTTGGAATCTATTGGTTCACCATTGGTTTTCTGTCATAATGATTTACTGTTTAACAATATAATTTACAATGAAAGTAAATCAACGATTAGTTTTATCGATTTTGAATATGCTGGTATCAATTATCAAGCGTTTGACATTGCCAATCATTTTAACGAGTTTTCTGGTGTCGAAACATATGATCCTGAAATGTATCCATCGAAAGAGTTTCAACTTAAATGGTTATCCTGTTATTTGTCCCATTGGGATCAATTGGTTTCAAATGGACGATTGGATGGTGGTGATGATGATGATGATGATAGAAGACAATTTAACCTCAGGGTAGAAGAGCTTTACTATCAAGTTAACCAATTTTCTCTTTTATCCAATCTTTGCTGGGGAATTTGGGCTCTTCTACAGGCTCTTAATTCAACAATTGATTTCGAGTTCATTGATTCTTACGGAGGACCAAGAATCAAAGAATATTTTAAAAAAAGAGATTCTATTTTAAGCCTTTCATCTCCCACAAAGAAGATAATCTCATGATAATTCTGATTAATATGATGATGTTGTACATTCCCAATCGTAATCACGACCAAGTAACAACCCAAACACTTACCCACCCACCACAACCACCACAACAACAACATTGTGAGATCTATTTTCATGATGATAATCATAAGATGCCTGATGCTTAATCCTTAAAAATTAAATCTCAAAGAGATGTTTAAATTTCTTAAAAAAAAGTCAACTAGATTAGTTAATCATTTTCAAATGTTAATTATTCTCTCATTATCGGATTTGTCTCGATACTAAACAAAGAAACACCAACAGATTATTATTACAACTCATTGAGGAAAAACAATTGTCCAGAGAAATGGAAATTTTTAATTGTAATTAACTTTTTCTCTGAATAAATTTTCTCCAATTATTTTACCTCTTTGATCAATCAATTGACCGTTTCTAATGGTTTTAATCATAATTAATTCAAACAAATTGTATTTAATTTTTTTTCTCTCTCTATCAATTATCTTTTCCCAACAGAAATCAATTAATTAATCACCAGTTACCATGGAGTGAGAAAAGATAATGAGACAATTTACCAACAATCAACATAATCAATCAGTGCCTCCTGAAACAATTATTACAATACGAGTAACAATTAATCAAAGTTTTATTGTAAATCCATCAAAATCAATCGATTTTCTGATTAATCAAGATATTTGTCAATTTGATTGCTAATTAATTAATGATTTTTACTCTTCTGTAATACTCTTTATGATAGATTAATATAAACCAATTGTATCATTGTCGTCATTATATTACCAATAATCAATTTTAATTGTAGACTAAGCATAAAATTTCATTTACACATGATTAACTCTCAATGATAACTGATTCTGAATAATGATAATAATCAGTAATATCGCTGATAAAGAGATTAATTGTTGATTGACCTTTCATTATGTTAATTGTTGTTGTTGAGATTTTATTATCATAGATTAGTTAATATGAAGATTGAATTAGTTTTTTAATTAGATTGATTGTTTGCCGATGAAGGATTATAACTGTTAACCTTAAAAAAAGTAGACTCGAAATGAGTGTTGACACAAGAGAGAGAGATTAAGGATTAAGGGTTAATGGTTCACGTTGGTGGGATTAATTGATTATCGAAAATGAATCAAAGTTATTGGAATTAATTTCGTTTTTAATTAGCAGACAATTGAATAATAACAACACTGTTCATTTTTATTCTGTCGATATTTTATTGGAAAATGGAGAGAGAGAGAGAGAGAGAGAGAGAGCACATCTTTTACTACAATTTATTCGGATTTTGTTTTTATTTTTAGTGTGTTTATGTTAGAGAAGAGGAAGAAAAGGAGAGAAGAGAGAGACTTTGTTTGCAATTTTCGAGGGATGAGGAAGAGAGAGAGAGAAGATGATGGAATGATGAGGTTAGACAGAAACAGAGAGCATTTGTTTTTATTGACAAAATAGAAAACAAATGTTGATGTTATTGATGCGGCAGAAGAGAAGAGGAAAAGGAAATAGATTAATTAATAAATAATAATGATAGAAAAAAAATCTGATGGGTTATGAGAGAGTAGAAAGACTCCCTGAAAGGAGAAAAGAGAATAGCGAAGCAGAAAATAAAAAGTTGATGAAGATTGGGTGTGACATATGATTAAAAGGTTTTAGAATAAAAATGATGATGGAGATAAGAGAGAGAGAGAGAGAGAGAGAAAACACTCAATACAATAAAGAAGAAGAAGACAAAGAGAGAGGAAAATATAACGGTAAATAAAAATGAGAAAAGAGTTAATTAGAAAGAGAGATAGACCAGAATTAACAGAAAAATAAATAGATGTTGATGATTATATGATAATGATGAGGATGAGGATGAAGATGATGAGATGGAAACTGAGATAATACATAAAAGAGAGAAACCATTTGAGAAGCGAGAAGCAAATCAATTGATTGACAAAAAAAAGTTCGAGAAGAAGCAAAAGAAATTTGGAATTAAATAGGAATTGGAATCTTCAGAAGAAAAAGGTAAAAGAGCGAGAGAACGATAGAGAGAGAGAGAGAGAGAGAGAGAGAGAGAGAGAGAGCATGAGGAGGGAGAAAGTGAAAGAATAGCTCAGAATAAAATTTCAAAAAGATTCAGTTAAAAATTGAAAAGATTACAAGCAAGAAAGACAGAGAAAGAATCGACAGAGTTTCCAAAACAGTGTATTTATATATACGGTGAGAATGATTTTGCTTGTTTGCTGTTATTTGTTTCCTTGTTGATTTATTGTTGTTGTTGTGTTGATGGCTGAATGTTTGTTGATTTGTGTGAGAGAGAGAGAGAAAGAGGGAGGGAGAATGTTGTTAATTTTGTTTCTTTGTTAACCATAATAATATATCATCAATACACACACGATGATATCGATGACGATGTGATGATAAAAGTCTTGATTAATTTACCTCCCAAGTTATGAATTCATCATCTTGTATGTAAGAGGAGGTGAGAGAGAGGATTTTGTGTTGAGATTACACTTTAAATTGTGAGACAATTGTTAAAAGACTTTCAAACATTATAATCCAAGGTAAGATTGATTGAGAAGAGAAAAGAAAGTTAATGAAGAAAGATTCTTGATCATTTTTCTCTTTCAAATGATGATAAACATATGATGATCACGATGGTGATGCAGATGATGACAACAGTGATGATGATGTTTTAAATGTTTGTTTGTTTCTTTTTTGATGATAAAAATGATGATAATGGGGATGATGATTATTGTGAGATGATGATGACATTGACAAAGATGAATTTGTATGATGATCCACAGAGTGAGAGAGAGAGAGAAGAGAGAGAGAGAGAGTTAATGACTCAACATTATTCAATCTGAATTTACTTTCAGACTTGATTTGTTATCGGAATACAATTAAGTTTCCATGCTGATCCATATTAAAAGGGAGCAGAAAGAGAGAGACAATTATCCTTATGTATTATTAAATATAATATAAGATTTACAGTTAGAAAGTGAGAGTGAGAGAGAAAGAGAAAGAGAAACAATAAGATAAACAAGAGAGAAGAAGAAGATAAAAGTGATAGAGATTAGAAAATTTTTGTTCTTTCAATGCCAAGGAGGGAGAAATCAGATCATCAGGGAGTTGATTATAAGATTTTGATCACTTGTTGTATCCAACAGGTAATGAAAAATAAGATGATAATTGTTGCTTTTTAAAAGTAACAACAAAAAATCAGAAACATGATCAGAACTAAATTTGATTAATTGGTAAGGAATTGAAAAAGGTAAGAGGGTGATAACAACACGGAAGGAAGGAAGCAAAAAGTAGATGATGATGATAATAATAATAATAATAATAAAGATAATGATGATAAAATGAAATAATAATAATGATGATGATGAGAAAAGGTAAAAGTAGTTGTTCAACAAAAAGGGAGTTTAATTGGGGAGCAAAATTTTACTCTGAAAGTATATGAATGAGTCTTTGCATGAGGGTGAAAGTGTGAGTGTAATGGGAAATAGGAAATGAAAAGTATACAAAGAATAGACAGAGAAGAGAGAAGAGAGAGAGAGAAGACAGTGGGAGTGGGATTTCGAGGAGAGAGAGTGGAAACCGAATGATGATAAGAGAGAGAGATGAAGATGAAGGGAGGAAAAGGAGGAGGTGGTTCTCTGTGTGACTCTATGACTGTGCATGTCTTTTTTTCTCGTACTATTTGTTTTCTTTTTCATCATTTTTTTAACTCATTTGCTTCATCATCTTCTACCCTTTTCTTTCATCATCTTTATCTTCATTTTATCCTTTACTTTCTCTCTCACTCCCTGATGTAACATTTCGCATCCCTCATCTTTCACCATCGCGTTTAGAGTATCTTCCTTTTCCTCCTTGTTTTTCTTCATCTTTTCCACCTTCCATCATAACCATTACCTTTATCATCTTAAGGTTCATCTTTTTGTTTTCATCTTTTATCTTCTTCATCTTTCTTACCTTGAAATTTTTTCTCTTTCTGCTTCAATTTCTCCTCATCTTCCATCTCCTTCTGAAGAAATTGGCTCGCTAAATATTATTCTCCTTCCTAATTATCATCATCCACTGCGAATATTTTCATCGCCATCCATGGGTTTCTGGTCTCTCTTTCTCTTTCCCCTCCGCCACCAATTCCCTCTCCCTCTCTCTCTCTTCCTCTTCTCTCCTTATCTCCATCCTTTTCTCCTCCTTTACTTTCGAATAATTTTCAACTCAACACCTTCTCTTCCGTATCCGTTTTCTTATCCTCTTCTTCTTTGGTGATGTTTGACTTTAGATGTGAACTTAAAGTTTTCCATTTTTTTCACTTCTTTTCAATTAGGTTGAGAGAGAGAGAGATAGAGTTAATTAATTTGACTTGATTAAGTTTCAGTAGTCAGGTAAATCCTCCATGTATATATAATAATATTTATATAATTGTTGGTGTAAAGGTTGTTGGTTGATTTGTAATAATTTTTGTTTCAATTGTTTCTTTGTTGCTCCTTTGGGTTGATTAGTAGTAATTTAGAAGTGTGTTGGTGGGGGGTGAGTGTGTTGTTGTTGTGAGTGTTTTTATATTTTGTTGTATGTGTGTGTTGTTTATTCAATAATTTGGACTAGTAAAGACCACATCCTCTCAAGTTATTGGCTATAATGACATCGGTAACAGCATCAAAAACAAATTGAATGTTGGAAGTATCCGTAGCACAGGTCATATGGCAATAAATTTCTTTGGTGGTTGACTTGTTTTTAGCCTCGAATTGGGCTTGGATGTAGGCCGCGGCTTCACCATACTCTTGGGCTCCCGTGTATTCTGGAAAGCATATTGTTAGCGGGGATTTTTTAATCTTCTCCTCGAAAAGATCTTTCTTGTTGAGAAACAATATTATTGAGGTATCGGTAAACCATTTGTTGTTACATATGGAATCAAATAGTTTAACCGATTCCTGCATCCGATTAGTTGTCTCATCTTCATGTAAAACCTGATCATATTCAGACATGGCAACACAGAATATAATTGCGGTCACATCTTCAAAACAATGGATCCACTTTTTCCTTTCCGATCTTTGTCCACCCACATCGAAAAGCTTAAAGTTAAGATTCTTAAAGGAAAAGTGAACCTCAACGATACCGGTTGTCTTTACCCGAGTTCGTAAAATATCTTGTTCCGTTGGCATGTAATCCTTTTGTCCTAAACGATCAAGATCATCGAGAAAATATTTAGCCGAATCATTGAGCTGATATTCATTGGACCGACCAAAACATTCTTGGACTCCTTTATCGATCCAAAGGCGTTTCATTGCAGCAAGTAATTCTTCACTAAAAGGTTCGGTATCTTCCATCCGAGAAACAACATCAAACACCATTTTCGCATCCGATTCACGTTCAGAGGAACCAAATGATATTCCTAAATTAGGCATGGCTCGTAATATGGCTACCATGGATTGGATGGTATTGGAATAGACAACCGGCTTGTATTGTTTGAAATCTTCTTGAGTGAAACCACTATCATGAATAATTCTGGTGAAAATTGAAAGAGAAAACAAATCATTAGAAACAATCAAATTCAATCATTGAATTGGAGATTAGTGTCTCAACACCTACGTAAAAATAATAATCATCAAGGAAAGGATATCAACAAGAATCAGAAAGGAAATGAAACTTTAACATTTAGGTTACAATTTAAATTTATTCAACTATCTGCAGAATTTTGTAATTAAAACGATTGATCAAATTAAATAATCATCAATTGAATGGTGTTGGTGGTGAAAGAAAATCAAGTTAAAGTATTGATCAAATTGTTTCATTTTCAGATTAAATTAAATTTGATTTGGGTGAAAAAAATTGACTTTTCAAAATTATATCAGTTGATCATTAATCAAATGAAATTAATACTGATTATCAATTGTATTATATGATTATCAAGATTTTACTTGGAGATTTTTTTTTCAAAATCCTTAATCATTATAAAGATTAGTGTTCAGATTGTGGTTTATGGATTAACTTTGAATGTATCATTAATCTTGTTTCACTTGAGCTATTTTTCCAGTTAATCATTATCATCCTCGTCATCTCATTCAACTGGTTTGATTAGTACTTTTTTTTAACAAACATCATCTCAAAGTAACTTAATTGTAATCAACTCTAACGGTACATTTAAATTAATATTGTTATATTAATAATTTTGTTTTCTAAGTCAAGGTTTGTTTATAAATCATTAGCTCACATATGTAATGATTTAAATGGTTATCACTCCAGGTTATTAAATGATGAGGATGAGGATGAAGATGAAGATGAAGATGATGATAATAATGAAAAGAGATGAAACCTTGAGATTGAGAAATAACATTTAGTTTATCTTCTTTATCATCATCAGTCTCATTTTAAACTTAACGATTGTATATACAATCCTTAAGATAGAGATGAATGAAGATGAAGATGAAGATGATAAGCAATAATATCTTTCAGGGAGAAACCATTGAAATACATTGAGGAGACCTTGTAAATGAAATTTAAGCAATTTCAAGATTTAGATTTACAATTATCTTCAACAATTAGTTACTATTATTATTGATTTTGCTGGTGTATGGATTATATGAAAATGTTAATGATAATAATAATAAATTATATCTGCAAACTAATATTCATATGCATGTATATGCATTTCTGGTCATCTATGTTTGCTTTTTTGATACTAAATTTATTTCATTGAAATGAACATGAAACAAATTGTCCAATTACTGATTTTATCCTTTCATAATTTAATACAATCTCTAGATGGTGAATAATATTAATAATAATGATGATAAATATACAGAATTGATCATCATTATCATGATTGTGATTGTGTTAATTTTTTGGATTAATAAATAGTAATAGTATCTTGGAAGGAGTAAAAAAAAACAAGGAAGGAAATGAACAAGAAGATCAACTAAGGATTGGAAATTAAAATGTGTACTCGCTGTTTGTGTGAGTAGAAAGAAAGATTTGATGAAAGAAAGAAAGAAAATGATCATGATGAGATGAGAAAAGAAAGAAAAGAAAGAAAGAGAAAGAGAGAGAGAGAGAGGAAAAGAAAGAGGATGAAGAAAATGGGAAAAAAAGAGAAAAGATGAGAAAAGATGAGGATGAAAATGTTGAAAAGAGGAACATGCGCCAAGATAATTCTATAAATTTCAATCAATCATGGGTCTCTCAGAATCTGAGGAGGGGAGAGGTGATTCTGGAAGAAAGAGAGAGAGGGTGGAAAGAGAGAAAGAGAGAAATAGAAAGAGAGAGATGAGGACATCAACAGGAGAAAGAGAGAGAGAGAGAGAGGTATATATACATCTCTATCTTTCTAATTTAAAGTAAACCCCAATCAAAGCAACAATCATCATCATGTTGGTTAACCTGGTTAAGTGAATTAACTGTAATTATCAACAATTATGACAGCAGAATGATTATCATGATGATGATCAATTTGAGCTAAAATTTCAATCAAAAAATGGGTTAGATTGATGCAATCAATGTAATACGCATTTAACATGGTTACATATGCAACAATTACCGTTATCTTATTGATAACCACATGGATTAATTTCAAGTCGAATGATAAACACTAATCATATTTAACTAATGATAATCGTCAAATAATAGATGAAAATTAAATTCTAATGAGATGACTCTTGATAGATATTAAAAGATTACCCAGGAAAAGGAATGGACATTGATAATTGGCTAATTGTTAATTGAATTTATGATAATGATGGTTTTCTATTGATAAGTTGAAGATGATCATCATTACCACCACCATGATGATGATGTTTAATTAGCTGAAAATCTTTGCGAGAGAGAGAGAGAGAGAAAGATATTTACTTGTTGGACTAAATAAACTAACTGTAAATGCGACAGAAAAAAGGTAATTGACAATCTCAGTTTCAACTTGTTAGACAGATAGAAAAGCAAGAAATCATCTCTTTCTATTTGATGATATTGCGAGTAAATTGCTGCTTCTGGTGTAGTTCCAATTGAGGTGAAAATATGAGCGTATAAACCATTGATTATAACGGAATTGGGAGCAAAAAGTGAGAAACCAAAATTTCAAATAAAAATTGAAATTCGAGTAAAAATTGATACTGAAAAATGGCGGAAACATTTCAAGCTTCCTGTGTATCTTTGAATGTGCCTATGGATTGATAAGGGATGAAGAGAGAGAGAGAGAGAGAGAGAGAGAGAGAGAGAGAGAGAGAGTGAGAGGGAGAGGGAGATCAGCAATCAAGGTTTACTGATGGATTGTTAAATTGTTTGACAATCTACACTCGAAGGACAGACAATTAAATAGTAATAGATACAAGATTGAAAATCACAAAGGTACAAAGTGACAATGTTAATGAATGGGAAAGCAAAACTACAAATAGAGAGAGAGAGAGAGAGAAACCTTATTGATATAAATCATTTTTTTTCTTCATCTTTTCTTTCGTTCTCTGGTTAAAATCATAATAATCGAGGGGAAATGATGAGAGCAATTGATTTGATTCGAAAACAAGCAAAATATTGTTTAGAATCAAATCTCTGGGTAATAACACTAACACTTCAAATTTAGAGAATACACAATTCAGCTCATTGCAATTTACTCATTGGAGAAAAGAGTTTAATTTAACAGAGAGTGAGAGAGATAAGATGATAAACTGATGCAGCTACTTGGTGAGGATGATGATGATATTGTGGTGAATAGAGATGTGCAAGGTATGGAAAAAAGCGATAAAGAAAATGAAAGCCCAATCGAAGAGATAATTAAAAAATATTGATGATGGTGAGATGATGATCATCATGATGATAAATAAGAACAGGAAGTATATTTGGTATCGATAATCACAAATTAGAGGCAACAACTTACTTCATTTGTTTAACGATTGTGCTTTTACCAGATTCTCCGGCCCCTGTGTTCAAATAGAAGAGAAAATGGGAAGAAAAAAAAATTCGAATCAATTAGTTATTCAAAAGTAATCGAACTGAAATAAAAAAATTCTCAGAATCAAGTGAATTTACAAAACAATAATCTCCTTCCCATAAAATATGAATATCTATCCAGATTTACCATCAGAAAGATAGAGAGATACAAATAGAGAGAGAGAGAGAGGGAGAGGGAGGAAGAGAGAAGAGAAGAGAGAGAGAGAGAGAGAGAGAGAGAGAGAGAGAGAGAGAAGACCAATACCCAGAGAGAATGGACCAACATATAGAGAACCCAAAATGGGATATGAATAAAATAATAGCCAAAGGATTCGAAAATTAAGCAATTGGATTAGAATTAAAAATGGAATAAGAAATAAAACATTCTGAGAGAGAAAATTAGTGAGAGAGGAGGATGGAGAGAGATATGGAGAAGATGAAGATTGATAAAGAAAATGGTTTCTACTCACCTAATAATAACAGTTTAATATCTTTAGCGGCTTGAATACCATCTTCTTTTAAATTTTTTTCAATCTGTTTGGACCGGGCCAGGGCAGCTCGTTCCTCTGCACTCATAGCACAGCCCATTTTTGAGCACCAGCTCGAAAGAGGACCAATTTTGACCGAAATTTTGCCCACCTTAAAAAAAACACACACGCACAAGGAGGAAAAAAGCTTAGCTTTTTTTAAGGTGTGAACTACAGACTTGGTCTGAAAATCGATTTCACAGAGAGACTTTTATTATTATGTTGTGGGTTAGAATATATGTCCGATTCTGTGCAGAATAAATTTGGTATTATCATATATTATTTTCTGACATGAACAGAAAAGTTTTCATATTGGAATGGAGAGAGAAGTATCAACTTGAATTATATATTCCATCGCAATTGCAAAGGGTATTTGGAGCCTCCTTTTGCAGTGGAAACAAATTATTATTCTCGCAAAAATCATTTTATCCTTTTAGCTATTTAATCAAATGCACGCACGAGTAACACGAGTTGATGAGTATTTGAAAAACTTTTCGCTTCACACTTGAAGAAAGTTATCTCATCATTTCGAGTATCGAACTCATTTGCTGATTTATTAAGAAAATTTTATTCCATCAAAAGCTAATTAATACTTGTTAGTTGATTTAAACTATTCGATTTCGATTTGATTGATATTAGAATATGAATTTAAATTCGATCTGTTGGTCATGATAATTAATTTCTATTAGAATGATATTGGTGAGATTCGAGAGTAGATGTGAAGTGTCACCATAATTTTTGGAAATTCGTGAAAAATGTGACATTTGTCGATCGGATGCCGAATCTGAACTCTAAAAGATTTTATTTGTTTTGCAAAAAGTTTCCAAATCTTTGATTCCATTTGAATTTGTTATTGTTTTCGACTCAACTTGATTTGAATATTTTATCGTTGTCTTTGTTTTGATTTATTTATATTTTAGTGTTTTATTATTATTATTATATTAACTACCATTTAAATATATATATATTTATGTGCTTGTGTGTATATGATTTTTTTGTTTTTGATTCTTTTTACAATTTTTTCAATTCATTTTTCAATTAATATTACATTAAATGAGTTGATAGTTTTGTTTCCACATTGAAAATTTATATTACAGAGAAATAGAAAGGGAAAGAGGAAAAAGTGATAATTGAAAATTTCCTCGCGTTTCATTTTCGCTTGGTTATGAGGTAACGCGTTCTACTTTATATTTATATATATGTTATGTCCATTTAATGTCCTTCTTATTATTAGTGTGTTGGGATTTTTTTTATATAAAGTTTGGGAGTGGAAGATGGAGTGAGTATGAATGTTGTGGGTTAGTTAGTTGATGATGACCAGTATGAAATTAACCAGGTAAAAATTGGCTTGATTGAAGATGAAATGTTTTTGTTGTTGTTGTTGTTGTTGAGTGTGTTTGGTAAATCGGGTCAGAGATGCATAAATTAGGTTGATTGTTGATATTAATTTTTGAGATGGTTACCAAAATGGACACCATCCAATATAACATTGGCAAAGATTTTCTTTAGATGTTGCTTGTTTAATCAAAAGATCAACTTGCTGAGGGACAGCTAGTTTTTCATTTGGATTGAAATCTCTACCAGTTAATTTATCTCTAACTCTATTTATCACAGACAAAGCTTTTTTATTTAGAGCCTCAGGTTGACCAGGTTGCTCTTCGTAATCATGGATACCAATAAATGTCGATGGCATAGTTTCCGCTGTTCCGGTCAGATTAGGACTCACTTCTCTGGTAATATGAGCAATACCATTAGTAACTCCAACGTTTATGCTAACAGCATTAACAGTACCCACAACACCAACATTGACTCCATTTGGTTTTTTAATTACTTCTGTTTGATCAACAGCTTCTTGTTCAGTTGTTTCACTAGTCTCAGATTCTTGACCAATCGTTTGATTTTGTTTAGCTTTATTTGGTTGAGCTGATTAACGAAAGAGAAAGAAAAACATTAATTAATCATTAAGAAAAAAAATATCAACATGAAGAAGACAATTAAGTAATAATCAATAATTACCATCAACAAGTCTCCAGTTTAACAATGGATCGTAGACAAATGCCTCTAGAACGGCCATTAAACTGTCTTTATTATTTCTCAATACTGTCATCACTTTTTCACAGGTTATTCTGTAAGTTCCTTCAATACCAGTAACCTCCATGGCATTGATTAACATTCGAGTGAGTCTGAAAGGTATTTTCTCAGGGAATTTATCACGAGTCTTTGCCACTTCGAAACAATCACCAAAATCAATGTGTAAAATTTTACCACTTAATCGGTCTAACATTAAATTTGACGGATGCCGATCACCAAGTCCAAGTACATAACCAACCATTGACATTACTGCAAGTGAACGAGTATAATTTGTCCTTCGATCAAACCAAACTTCTGAACTTGGACTTTTTAACCATAATAATTTAAGCAAATCGTCGCCCGATGAATTTTTCATTGCATGTTCAAATACTTCAACTTTTTGCATCAAAGTTAATCTTTCATATTCACGAGCCATTACTTTCATTATATGATATTCCAAGTTTGGTAGGACATTACGTTTCTCACGATAATCTTTAATCAACGTGTGTAAAGTATCACAATGAGGAACCCAACCAATTAATCCACTGTTGGGAGCTAAAGGTATAACTGCATACCTTTGAATTGCAAGGTTACGACGTGATGTTTCTGGATTTTTAACCAACAAGGTATTTACTAAGCCAAAAAGTTGCATAACTCGTTCATCTTGTCTTAAATCTTCATGTCCTTTCAACAGGAAAATATAATTCTTACCATCACTACCTCTTATACAAAGTTTTCTAGGTCGTTGTTTACTTGTTATCACTTGAAGAGCACTATCAACCTGAGCAATTCGGATAACAGGTTGATTTGGATTATAAGAACCGGGAACTGCAAGTTCCAGGTCTCGGCATTTCAAGAGTCGAGGTGAAACATAACGAAGCTCAAGTGAGGTAAGGGCTGGTAGTTGTTTACAGATTCGACGAAAAACAACATAATAAAGATCCCAGGCATTGGTAAGGTCTTTAACTTTGTGAGATTTTTGATACTTTCGACACCATTCTTGAGCTTCCGTTAAATCAGCTCCATACGCTTGGTAAAATGATTCCTCTTTCATTGTTTGTGGTCCCCGTTTCATCATTGCATGTAAAGGTTCAAGTGTATCAAACATCCCTTGTACATTATGTTCACCAAAATAGAGACGAGATGCTTCCTCCAAACCTTCATGCCAAAGTTCATGCCAAAGTATTGCTACTCTAATAAGCTCTTCACTAACTGAAATCGCTTCTTGGACAAGATTACCGCTGTGTTTTTTCATATTCTCAAGTACTTTGTTAGCAGCCAATTGACGAGATTCAACAGTTGATTTAGATGCAACCGTTAATGGATAAATTAAAGCTTGTGGATGACATTTTCCAATATCCATTAATAGTTGATGTATAAGGCGTCCAACAAAATGTCGTGAGGTGTCAATACGAGCGATCAGTTGAGGTATCACTTGTAACCATGTTTCAATAGAAACTGTTTTCAAACCTTCTGAAAGAGCTTCAAAAACGTCGGCATATTGACCATCATCAAACCATAAAGTTAGTAATCTTAAAGTATCTTGAAGAGAGTTGCCATGAGAAAGAGCAATGGAACGGAAGAAACCACGAACAGCTGGAATTGAATAATTTCGGATGATATCAAGTCTTTCAGGGGTGGGTTTACCGACGGAAGTGGCAGGCGTATTATGAGCTGCTTCAAACGAATTGTTAAATAAAGTTTCTTCCCCATCGATTTGATGAGAGGCGGTGGTTTGTTTATAATAAAGGACAGCTTCAAAGTTCATATAAGCGTAGGCATGCCAAGCTTTATACCAATCTTTATCCTTCTCGGTGGCTAAAGCGTAATATTTGATTATATTTGGAATTGAATTTTTACTAATTCCTTTTAAATTTTCCTGCCAATTTCCAAGTTTAAGATAACATCTTGAAAGAAGCTTATCCAATTCAAGTCTTTTGCTTGCTTCTTCCGCTGTACCCGGTATACCAGGTCCATAAGATGAAACATGATGAACAAAATGTTGTAATTGAGTTAGAGCTTGATCTTTTTGACTATTTTCCCACATGTGCTTGATGTAACCAAATGTAACATGGGGTCGATCGGTAGGCAAGGGTTTACAGGCATCATCTTTGGTTGGATCACATTTGAGTAGCATGGTTAATGTTTTATGAGACAAATTTAATCGACCGTTTCTTTGGCACAGACTAGCAAATTTAAGCCAAGTCCTTTCATCTTTTTCAGGCTTTAAAACCAATTGATGAACCATCAATATTTTCTGCCAATCTTCAACAACTCGTTGGCAACCCTGAATTCGTTCCCACCATTTTTGTTTAATTATTTCACGACGTTCTTGAACTAATTTATATTGTATCACCTCTTCAAGCTCGGAGAACATCATCACTTGGACCATAGCACCATAAGCTCGAATTTGACTTTCACCAGCCATTGCAGTTAAATCGGTGTCAATTAAATCTCGAGCTTTATCAATTAAACATTGAGCAACTTGATATTTTTCTTTATGTACAGCGATAACGGCCTTGTAAAAGGCTGCATCAGTTGTGTCTCTTTTGATATGATCACTATATTCCTCTAAGCTTTCCCACTTTTCCAATCCCCAAGCTGCAGTGGCTGCCATTCGAGCCATTTTCTGTTTGTTTGGTTCGTCAACTTGAGGCCAAATTTCCGTTGCTAGATGGTGAAGATCAACCCATTCACCAAGAGCTTCTAAACACCTCATTTGTCCGATAATTGATTCCATGTCTTCAGGATTACAGTCTCTCTTGTGTCTATATGCTTTCAGTGCATTCTCCCAGTCATTAAGTTTCTCATACCATCGCTCTTTAATCTTTAGATCGGCTTCATGATGTTTCTTAGCATAAACTAAAGCTCCAGCTGCAGCTTCAGGTTGTTGGAGTTTGTTGTTTATACTAATCAATGATTCTAAAATACTTGTTTTTGGTTTCTTTGTGAATTCGATTTCCTTGTAATGTAAAGCCTTGGCAAAAGCTCGACATTTTAACGCTCTTTCAGCTAATAATTCGGGTTCCAATGGAAGAGGTCCAATATCATCACAGTGTTCCATAAATTCAGCTAAATTGAGTAAAGTTTGAGTAACTTCGGGAATATCTTGGGCAGTTAAAGCGGTTCTTATGTTGTCGATGAAGTTTTCTTTATGTTTTTCATTGAGTTGAGTCCAACAGGAAAGGAAGGAAGCATTAAAAAGATCACGAGCCAAGGGTTGGTAAGCTTGGGCCATTAATAGACAAGAGCGTAAAGCATGTGATGCAGATTGTTCAATTAATCCAATGCTGAGAGTTTGTAACCAATTTAACCAATCATCTTTTGATACACGTTTATCTGTTTTCCATGATGATGCTAATCTATATGAGTCCAATGTGATTTCATTTGGAGCAGCATTGGAGGCGGCTGAAGGAGCGATAACGTGGGATGATCGGTGTTTGATATGCTTCCGACCACTCATAAGAGGATCTTTGTCATCTTCACCTAAAGGATGTCCTTGCATAATACTTTCTACCAATAGTTGATACCTTTGATGTTCAATCAAATGTCGAGATATCACTTTTTGAGCCATTGGGATGAAAATTTGATACTTTCGACCCATTTGTACAACTAAGGCACAAAGGGTATTCATGGCTGGCTCTCTAAGCTCGGGTGATGTTTCTAGAACACGTATTAATGGATGAATTATTCTGGATGCAAAATCAGATATTTCCAAGTGTTCAGCAAGTGATTCGATTGTTTTCAATGCTCCTTCACGAACACGTTGTGGTGAATCACGAGCATCAAATAGTTTAACTATTGGAGGTAAAATGAGGTGAAGATAATCTTCAAGACTAGTCCCAAATTGTTGGAGAGCATTGAGCAGTTTTTCAGTAACCATACGATTCTTTGAATCATCATGATTAAATACATGAAGTATATTTGGTATAATCTGAGGAAGATAAATTTTAAATTCTCCTCCTAAAGCTTTAGCAATTTTCTCCAGCAACTGGATAAGTGTACTTTGCATTGAATTTGTAACGGTCCAAAACTCCTTGATTAATGAAAATATATCGTCCAGATAATTTCTTATATGTTGACCAACAACAGCAATTAAATTACCCAACTCTTGAAACAAATACTATAACAATAGAAGAAGATAAAAAAAATGTAATAATTGAGTTAAAGTGAATCATGAATCTCGATATGTTGATAAGATTATTGCTCATGTACAATGTACAATATGTATTAATATTCATGTGATTGTTTGAATGTTTGTTTCTCCTTTTTTTTATCTACAATAATAATCATTATATATTCAACTTACCTCCCTAGACTCAGAAGATTTAATAATAGATATGAAAACAGGTAAAATTTGCTGAATATATGGAACACATCTTACACCCAAACAGGTGAATATGTAAGTTACAGCTCCCACGGCGGTACAGTGATGCTGAAATAAGGCAGGATCTTTTAGAACTCGAATGAGAGTTGCAATTGCAATGGCAGGATAGAAATCGTCATAAGAACCAGAAAAGTTGACTAACATTTCACTGGCACTTAATTCTAAATCAATATAATGATAGATGGGAGAGAGAGAGAAAAACGAAAGAGTTAATTGGGAGAAAATAGTTAATCATTTGACAATTTATAAAGGACAAGCAAGTTATCCAATTGATTGATTGATAATGTTTGGGTAGTTAGAAAATGAAGAGGGAAAAATTAAAAATAATTGATCAATTACCTTGCATCTCTTGACTAGAATCGGCAACAAAAATAAGGGTATCTCCGGCCTGATCGATCATACCGAGATTAACTTTTAATTTGTAGGGATCAATGGCTCCCAAAAGACCTAAAACCCTGATTACCTCTCTCCTTATTGCTGGTGATTGTTCAGTTTTAAGGAAATTTAGTAGAATGTCCAAAAGATTGGAATATTTCCAGTAAGGTTCAACCACGTAACCTGTACTGTCGACAAGATGACCTAATGTCCAAAGGCCAACTTCTCTTTTGGGTACGGAAGACGAATCTTGAACAAAGTCTAAAATAATTGGGAACAATTCATCAATCCAAATTCTCATCTCAATTCCACTAACTTGACATTGTGCTCCAATAGCAGAGAGAACACTTATGATTACACTTGAATATTGTTCAGATTCACGAAGTTTGGACAAGAAAATGGTGATTATTGATTGTGTGTAGGGACGAATCAACCTTGGTGCATTTGCGATTAAATGTCCAAGCATTTTTGAGCTTCTTTCTTTATTCCTTTTGACACCAGAAAATTCCAAGTCCGTTAAAAGTTGTAATAAAACTTTACGAAGAGAAGGCATCACATATGCAGGATTAAGGCTACTGAGACGTCCAATTGTACAAAGGGCAAGTTCACTTATCTCGAAAATCTCATCATTTAAACAAATGAAAAGTGCACTAAGATTTTCAGCTTGAGCAAGATGACCATCAAATTTTTCATCCAACATGGATAAAACCGAATAACGAACTTGAGAATCAAAATCAGTTACAGCAGCAATTAAAAGTTTACTTAGCACATCCTGAATGGTCACCATTAAACTTGGACTATATTGTTGGGTTATTTTGTGTAATGCTGGTGATAAAAGATGACAACATGTTTTCGCTGCTTCTAAACGTATTTCGGTAAAATCACTGGTTAAATAATTATCTGCACAGTGTCGAGCAAATTGCATTAGTGATTTAGATTGAAAATCAAAGGTACCCAAAATTTTTAAACCCAAAATGATACTGGAAATATCTGAACCATCAGATAAATTATATGGAGACGGAAGTGAATTTGAAGTTAATTGAAAACGTTTAGGTGCACCAGGATGTCGATATGGTTTTTGCATTAAAACATATGATAACATTTTAAGAAGACCATCTTGTATATTTTTCTTTAAATCTGGTGATTGAATGGTTAAATCATGTAAGGCACTGACCAAAGCTGGACTTAAACCACTTCCAATCATTGGTTCAAGTAATTCTTTGATATCATCTTTAACCAGAAGACTATTAGCTTGAGCAAGAAGACTTATACAGGAGAAAACTGCTGGATCGGTTGTTTGTCCCCGTTTTCGACCTGAAGATTCTTTTGATGGTAAATTTGTTCTGATGGCTTCCAAAATTTTTGGTAAATATGATTTAATTGCATTACCCACAGCAATAGATAATAAACCAAGAGCTAAGAATGCCTGGGAACGTTCACGATTATTGTTCAATGATTTAAACAGGTAAGTCATTGATTCATTTAGATAATGAGCTGAAAATGTGTGTGGATCGAAAGCAGCTAAACGAGGAATGAGTAAAAGTAAAACATGGTGCACATAAACATTACGAGAAGTTCTTTGTTTCAACACAATTAAACAAATATTATTAAAATTGTCTCGAATCAATTGACGGCAAGTTGGACTTTCGTAAAGTGGAAGTTTACGAGATTGTGGTGCTGAACCTGGAGTTACTCCAGTTAACTTGTGATATTGTACAATAGCTGAAAGTCCTTTTAATCCATGTCCTGGAGTGTAAAATTGTTGATTACTTGATGATGAAGAGAGAGCTCGTAAACTTCGGGTAAATGATGATGTTTTCTCTTTGAAACTTTGATATTTTTCCAATGGATTAATGGCTTCTTGTAGTGTTGGCTTAAAGCTCATATCTTCTACTTCTTGACGAATTTTTTCCCTTTCAATGTTACTACATCTAAGTAGCTCGTTAAGAACCAATAAAGAACTGTGAATTATATCATCTCGGGTCACTTTTTCTCGAGTCATTTGTATATGAAAACCTTCATCAAATCCTTTCAATGCTTCTTTATAACAGTGTGCATACCAAGTTGGATTAGCTGTTTCTTTAGTCTCACGGGAAGCGGTGACCGCTAGAGCAGCCCGTAGGGCGCCAACTGCCCCTTCACGTATTTTCTTCTCTTTATCACGAATAGCGGTGAAAATACATTCAAAAAATTGTTGAACTTGTTGAAAGAAACAAGCAGGAGTTGAAGTAGCTAATTCTCGAAGGATAAGAACCTGTGAAAAGAGAAAAATAAAATTAGAAAAACAAACCAAATCAAGTAATCAAAGTGATGATTGAGTAGGTTGATGAAGATAAATCTTACAACTATTACTAATACTATTTTACTACAACCACTAAAAATTTTACTATAAATATATTATGAATGAAACGAAATTGAGAATGAGCCGGTTAGCTAAAATGAAAACAGGAGGATTAAATTCAAGAAAGAGAAAAGTAAAAAGAAAGGCAGAGAGAGAGAGAGAGAGAGAGAGAGAGAAAGAGAGATGGGTAGAGTTCATGTTGAAATTATTTCAGCATGAGACATAACCGGAATGACGGCATTTTCTGAATATTCAGAAGCAATGATCAGGTTAACGGTTTCATCTTTCTCTTTCTTTCCAGAAAAAGACCAACCGGTTCAACATTCCTGAAACTTTTTAAGATGGGGTTATCAGGCCAATAACAAACTTACCGCTCCATGCCGTTTAGCCTCATTCCTTTCACCCGAAAGCCATTCGATGGCTCGACGAACTTCATAATCAACATAGGTTAATGTTGGTGTTCCACTGGCAACGGCAATACGAGCAACAGCATAGGCGACTAGTTCCATTAAGCCAACATCAGTTGGAGCCAGGGTTCTAACATAGTTGGCAAATCGAGATACCCTTGTACTTTGATTACCCACATCAACACCTATGAGAACAATTATCGCCAAAATACCACCTTTCTTTTCATTTATATCTCCATTAGACATCATCATTTGAACCTTGATGTTAAATTTTTCCATAAATTCATGGATCTCTTCCACTGACATTTCTTGTAGTTCAGTGGAAACATAGTGATGTAGTTCCCGCGCTGTTTTGTACTTTGTATCCTCATTTTTACTTTTCAGGCCTTTGATAAAACCCTCCAAAAGGGTCTCCTTTGATCCCATGATTGAAACATAAATAGAATGAAAATTTATCCTGTTCAAAGAAAAGGATAAAAAAGAATGGATAAAAATATTAACACACCAAAAGGGAGAAGAAAATGAAAACACACAGACTGAGAAAAAGGGGAGGGTGGAAAAAAAAGGAAGAGAAGAAGAAGAAAATGAAACAAAATAACAAAAAAGAATGGAAATTAAGACAAGAGAGTAAACTAACAAAGTGGGAGAATTTTATGTAACAAATAAACCATAGAAATGGAATGAATCGAATAAAAATAACATCATAACAATCAAAGATTTATATCAATTATAAACCAAAGAATATATAAATAGTGTAGGTAAGAGAGTAGGAGAGAAAAAAGAAAGAGAAAAAGAAAGGAAAACCAGGGGAAAACAAACAGAAAGTAAAACGAGTGTAGAAAAAACCAGAGAAATAATCACAATAAAATCATACCTTTTATCCAAATATTAGTGAATTGTAACCGATTAACAAGTGTAAATTTCGAAGCAATAATTGAATTAGAGTATCAAACAACATTCGATTGTAAATTAAAAGCACAATTAATGAAGAAAAAAAGATAATCAAAAGAAATTATTTCTTAGAAAAACATGAAACAATAAACAGACAAGAAAAAAAAATTGTTGAGAAAAACAGTCTATTTGTACCAACACTTTAGTGAGAATAGAAGAAAAAAATTCTCTCGATGTTTAGATAAATATCGATATTTTTTCCATAAGATATCAGAATTTTTCTCTTTCAGTTATCATTTGTAACTCGTTAGTTTTGATTAAATCATTCCAGATCAAATTCTCTACACCAATCAAAGCAACAATTTAACACAAAAAATTAATTAGAAAATTTCAAGAAAATTAAAATAAATGAGAATCTAAATTTTTCTGGTCAACAAAAAATTCCAAGAGATAAAAAGTTATTTTATTCTGCAACAGATGCCGCTTTCGTCGAAAAGCGCGTTTTTTGAATTCGTCTATGTGATGAACGAAAATTAATTGATTATTATTAATATTATTTTAACAAACTAAAAGTTTTTATTAATAATTTAATAGTAAACAAATGAATCTTTGGAAAAGAAGTTCAATTTTTGTTGAGTTTTTTTCTCTTAATCCACTTTTGTTCCTACTCAACAATTAGCTGATGTTCAATTGATTTGATTCTCAGTTGATGTAATTATTATTTAAACTGGATTAAAGTTTCCATAAGTTTTAAAATTTAATTATCTTAGCAATAAAACGATAATCAAGTTGATTAGAAATGTGATGTTTACATATTATATTAAAATCTAAATTGTTACAAGCATATTAAATTGTGAAACTCTGGCACTTGATCAACCTAATAGCTTAAATTGTATAATAATTTGTCATTGATTAAATTGTCGCATATACAGTCGACTACACACTTATCGCAATTTTTGTTTGTTAGTCGCCACCTAGTGTTTCTTAATTATTTAGACATGTTGAACCCTTACAGTTGGTGTGATAATTAGAAATGAGTAAAGGGTCAATATTAAGCTCTTAGTCTAAATAACACACTGATCTTGCGATAAGTGTGCATGCGATAAGTGTGTAGTCGACTGTAACTATTAATCTTGGTAATAGTTAATTAAGTCTGCCAATTTTTTTTATATGTTCAAAGTTCAATATCTATCAGATTATCAAATCGACCAACGAAAATTATACAAATATGATAAGAATAAACGAATGAGTTTGAGGTATTATATCAATTGCGCATCGAAAGCGATAAGAAAATCTTATCAATCAAAACAATGGTAAATTTGAATGTCTTGATTATCTAACTACTGATAAATTGTCGTTATCACCTTTGCTGCGCGAATGACAAAAAATTACCCTCAAACTCATTTCGTTTGGCTGATTCACTAGATAGTAAAAGAGATATTCAAAAATGTTGAGAAAAAGTTTAATCATCAATGGTAATTAATACTTGGAATTGATGATCTTTCAGCAACTTGTTCATGTTGAAGACTAGTTGATACTTTAAATACTTTGGCACAATAAATTAACAGAATCAAATACAATACGATGAACAGGATACCCGATACACCGATGTAATAAAGACAAATGATTGGCCTTTTATCCAATAATGTGGCAGCGATTGCTGGATGAATCGATTCACCAAGAACACCGGGTATAAACACCATGGATGATATTTTGCTCGTTACGATGATATGTTTGGCCAGCATTCCGTAAGCGGCTGAAAATATTGGCGATATACCGATTCCAATGAGTGTGAATCCAGCCCAAATGCAACTCGTATAGTAATTGGCCCATGGGACTGTGATCAGAATACCGATAAACGAAATGGTCAAACTGGACAAGAGTAATTTAGTCTCAGAGATTACAAAGGTTAACGGAATGTAAATCAATCGGTAAAATGAGAAACAAGACTATTAGATGAGAAAGATTGAAGTAAAAAAGTAAAAATTGACGAGGAAAAGTCACTTGATAATATTTTCGTCATAATGTGAATTCCAGCCGATTGTGAGCTTAAACTTTGATAATATTTTCCGAACTGTAGGGTTGTTTGACTTCGACGGGGTCACTTGTTTTACTCTGATCGTTGGTTACAGTTTCAGCTTTTCTTTCCGACAAATTCATCCAACCAAACGGCAGTGCTAAGACAATTGTAAGACTCGCAATGATAAAAAATGCATTTTGTATCATAACATCATCCGAATTGTAAATTGTCTTGACCAATGGATCAACCAACGAATCGTTTGAGGTTAAATTTAATGAATTAACTATTCTCTCTTCACTGTTAACCATTGGTAACAAAAAGGGCCTACAAATGACCGGAGCGATCAACGAACCAACACCAAAGCACATATGAAGTACTTGAAGCCAATTGGCACATTTTTCCTTCCATGTGGATGCTAGAAATGTATTACAAGCTAGAAAGATACACAGACCAATTATCAAATTGATCGACAATCAGAACCTTTAATTGTACTTACTGACATCAAGAATTCCATGAGCAACTCCAGCGATGAATATAAATATTGCAACGAGTTTAAAATCGTTAAAATTTGGAGCAATTCCAATGGAAATGCCGGAGATCAAACTATTGACGAGTAAAATAAACGAATGGCTAAAGTATCGATCCAAAAGTCCAGCTTTAGATCAGAATGGAAATCGAAAGGTTCAAACAAAGTTGGTTATCGAATCTTTTTGAGAACGGAAAACTCACCAAGCGCAGATCCAACGATGTGACCCAGACTTCGAGCTGGAATCAAGTAAGAAATTGTACCAAAATCGACATCAACTCGAATCTGAAGATCTAATAAACTTGAACCAATTAAAGTGATCGCACCACCAATCCACAGATACGAAACATAAATGATGAAAGTTTTAATTATCTTATACCGATTAACATAAATGAAATCAGAAATCGACATAATTCAAATTGTTTCACCTTAACTACAGTAATTAAGTTCTATTATGCTTTCGCAATCAATAATGTAATAACGAATAATGAAAAAAATGAAGTAAATCAAGTGTATAAGTGAAACTGAATCAAAAATTGTTGATATAATTGTCATCTTATTATCACCATAATTAATCTAATCGTAATTAAATCAGTTGGATCAGCCTTTTTCTCTTTGAAACTTTTTCTTCTAGTAACAACAACTTAATTGTAATTTACTGTGTAACAATTAATCATCCTGATCTAATCTTAATCTTGTTTTCCTACTGAAAAAAAATCACAATCAGTTCAGTATAATACTAATATCGGGTGACCGAGAATGAGAATGATAAGTTCGAGGAAACAAATCCATCCACGATCACGAATGAGATTTAATAATAACTTTAGCATAATTAAGGATGACCTGGGGCTTGAACTTTCAACTTCCGTTTCCAGGTCACTCGATTTACCGTGAAAACCTTAAAAAAAACTCGAAAATTTTTTGACTCAACATATAAGATTCATTCTTAAGGTGAAAATGAACTTGAGGTTCGAGGGACAATTAGTCCTGACCAATAACCCGATAATTGGACAATAATAATTGTAATCAATTGTTTCGAAGTTTAGAAAATTAAATTTAATCACAGTTTAAGGATTTAATATTAATAAGGCACAATAGGGATTGATTAAAATGCGAACATGCAAAGTTGATTCAATTAACAATCAGGCTGATGATTGATTTAAATTTGTAAACAGCAAATGGATAATTAATTTTGCTTGATAATTGAAGTGATAACCAAGTGATTTATCAATTGTGCGTCTGATTGACTGACCAATGGATACTTTTAATCAATGATTTGATCATCTGGGAATCATTTGAAGCTTGTTGATTACTGGATCATTGCTATTAGTTAATTAGCTCCATTTGATCAGCTTGATAACAATTATATTGAAGATGCAATTGGGTGTAAAGGTGACAATTTAACATACCCATGACTTGTTTTGAAGAAGGCAACAGATTTACAATTAGGTGGTAGCAATTAGTTAACAGTTACATATATAAAATGAAGGGCAATTAATCATTCAGATTGATTAACATTGATAAAGTTATTTACATTGATTGACAGGTTTGTTAGTGATTTAAATCATTTGCATAAAAATTAAAATTGTTAAATGTTTGTAATTAATGGTTAGTACAAGATGAATATTAGAATTAGAAACATAATTAATTTGATTCTGGTAAATTTTCAATTCTGTTCAGAGATTATAACATCTAATTGGATATATTTTTTAAGGTAATCAACAGAGGATTTTATTTATAATTGTCTAAACCTAAACATTGATTAAATTGATTGTGTAAAAATAACAAACTGTCTCAAGAAGTATAGTTATATGTTTTTCTTGGTGTTGATTAGCAAGAAAATATAAATAGAATTGGAAAATAGTAATTAACAAGAAAATGACTTTTTCTATTGAAAAAGTCATGAGCTTTTTTCCCCTGAACAGATTGAACAGATTCAAATTTTACATTCACGTCATGAAAGGTTAATTGCTGGAGAAATTGGAATTGTATTTACAATATGATAGCTTTTTGATGAGTTGAGTGTGTTGACGATATTACAATTGATTTGGTTTCCAATTTTCATGATGATTTATCATCTTGGATGAATCTTTTCTGTGATGATAATGTTAATTTTTCCATCCATGAGTTTCACTTATCAGGAAATGACTCAATTGTTTTGTCTTTCCTTGTTTATTTTCACCATCAGTCTGAAACCAGGGCAAGATCATAAATACACATCAACGGGTGAGTAGCAGTTTTAACAATTAACATTTCCATGTGTGATTTGTTTCATGATGAAAATCAATTGAAATCATGGGCGAAAATTTGATCATTAACGAGGGAAAAAGTGTGCGAAAATAAAAAGAGTTAATGTAGATTAAGACCAGAATTAGCTTCTAATTATCATTGATCCATCGTATTCTGGATTGATAAACATTGATGGATCATTGATATAACGGATGTTTCGATTGGTTTTTTGTTCGAGATACTTTTTCTCATTACTTTCGATGGCAACTTCGATTAGTTTTAAAATCTCTTCAAAAGTGGGACGACTTTTAGGATCTTCAACCCAACACTCTTTCATTACAGAATATACTTCAGGAGGACAGTGTTCAGGTCGAGGTAAACGATAGCCCACTTTGAGGTAATCTTTCATTTTCCAATCTTCAACATCAGGATAGGGAATATCTCCTCGAGTTAATAATTCCCATAATAAAACACCATAAGACCAAACATCGCTCTTGGTATCATAGTTTCCTCTCTCAAGACTTTCAATGGCCATCCATTTACGCGGTAATGGTTTACGATTATCTCCATCTGAATAGTAATTTGTCGTGTAAACATCACGAGAAAGTCCAAAATCGGCAACTTTAACTGTTTGATGTTCATCGACCATACAATTACGAGCAGCTAAATCACGATGGACAAACTTTAATCCCGCCAGGTAAACCATTCCTTGGGCAACTTGGACTCCAAATTGAATCAACTCAATAACGGTAAATTCAAGATCTTCTTGTTGAATAAAAGACCTCAAATCACCATGCTCCATGAAAGGAGTAATTATCATTGGAGATCCATCAAAATCAATCGAAACACCAATCAGAGACAATACGTTTTCATGACAAAACTCCTTCATGATTAGTCCTTCGGCAAGAAAAGCTTCACCTTTTTCTTGTGATAAAATACCTCCTACAATTAGAATAGACAACAAAAAATAGAGAAATCAAATTAACAATGGAAAAGTAATTTCGACAATTTAACTCAACAGTAACAATCAAAACTAATCATCACACGCTATTCAACAATAGTCATTGAATAATGAAATTATCAACTGATTAATGTAACTTTTTTTTTCTAACCATGGTAAGAATTGAAATCTGTCAATAGTTTCAATAATTTCAAGGATCTTCCAATATTAATATTTGTATGATAACTTAACGATAAGCTAAATGGTTAATTAAATTTAACTATTAATATATGTAAGGTAATGTTCATTGGTTTCAAATTAAACCAGTAATCAATTTTAGTTAGTTAATTGTTGAGTCTAACAGGGTAAATTGATATGATGTGAAGGAAATCAAGCAAACATGATAAATATTAATAATATAAATTGCAAGTCACATAAATGATATGTAATATTGTTAGTTGATTGTTTTCAAGTATTAAGTAAACTTGATTGATTATATTTACTAGATGATTACAATTTGAGTAAAATGATAACGAAGCAATTAGCAAATCTTGTTGTCTTCATTTCTTATCGTTAATTTGTTGATAATAACAATGAATTAATCAAAGAAATTAAAAAGTGATCTTCTAATTGATATTGAAAATCAACGATCAATTTGACTGTTAAATTAATCTCTTCGTCTAATTAGTTGATTGTTTAATTTATATTCTGCTGATTATTAGATTGATGGAATCAAAAATTTTCCAATTGAATTGTTGCCAATATCTTGGTGATTAACTGATTACTTACTTTCAGTTTTAAGTGTTTTGATGGCAACTTTGATTTTCTCATCTTGTTTACTTGGTAATTTAAGGTAACCTTGATAGACCAATCCAAAGTTTCCTTGACCAATGACCTTTTCTCGGGTCAGATAATCACGAGAAAAAGTGTTCCATCAGCCATTAGCTCTGATTGTTTTTCTGGATCAAGAACGAATTTAATTTCCTCTGATTGTCGATTGAATAATAATGGTTGACCAGAAATTCGAGAACCAGCTTGATGATATTCTGTTAGATTTAAGATAAACAATCAGTTAATTGTTATTGCAATTGTTGGGAAAGGAAAGATTAACAACAATAATATTTTCTCTGGGTGGTAATTTATTAAGATGTAAGATTAAATAGCGGAAGTTAATTAGACTTTACCAGCAATCAAATTGCCTGTTGCAAATCACTAATCAAGAAACATTTTAAAGATACAAAGTAAATCAATAATAATAGTTACATGTAATTAGTTAGATAATAATAACATCAAATCGATAATGATTATAATCTGAAAACAGAAATCATTCCGTTGATGATTAGCTAATTACTGAGAGAAAACGGAAATAATTAAAATTATTTTCTATTCTAAATGCTAGAGAAACCTAATAAGGGGAAAAGAAGATGATTATTTAATCAATAATGTTAAGTAAATTATAATAACAACAATTAATCACAATCCAAGCCAACGATTGACATAATTGAACATCTATATGATTATAAATAATTTAAGCTGAAAATTAAACAATTGACCCGCAATTTCAGTCAAAAATAAGATCCAAAGAGTAACAACAATTAACCAAATCTAATCAAAAGATCAGCAGTAAAAAAAATACTAATAAATTTACCAAATCAAGCAAATAACAAACATAATAACAACTAACCATGGGGACAACCCAATAGGACCAACAATAAGTGACCATGAATTGAATGAACAATTATAATCATTATTATCATGATAATTATTGTTATTAGTTTACAAGTGAGAGTTATTGTAAATAACAATTGTAACTCCCGGTAACTAAACAAGAGTTTAATTGGAGGCAACAATTTAAGAGCATAAATGATTAACTGTAATAAGATAATCACATTGAAAAGCAATTCTAGTAATACAATTACAATAAGTAAATATTATAATAATAGGAAAACGAGTATGAAAAAAAGCAGAGGAACCAAAAAGAGAAACCTAAATGTTATATTTAGATGGATATGATTAAATGTGGTCTCTGTATGATATTTATCAACGGAAATGAAATAAGCTCATGTTAACAAACCATATTGTCTTGATGGACCAAAAATAACATCAATTTGAGTGATGTTGATGGTACGATACAGATTATCGTGTTGATTAGATGAGGAAAAGACAAAAGGAGAGAGAGAGAGAGAGATGAATATCATATGTATGTAGAGGTAATGAATTCATAGCTGATAAAACATTTGAAATAAACAATAATAATAATCATCATAACTATTGTTGGTTAGTTAACTAACTAACAATGATTGAATGATGATAATCAAGCTCTTTTCATGGTCGAGCGGATAAAATGACCTTGGGGCTTTGGATTTAGTTACAATGTGATATAAATACACATTCAAATTGGTAACTTATTAGAGACCAATCAAGTTAATGAGTAAATAATTTTGTCAATGGTGACATTTGGAAAAATTGATTGTCCCAAGTGGATAAATTAATTAGTTCAACTGTATTACGATCTCATTATGAATAGAGTGATAAAATTGTCTAGTTAATTGTTGAATTAATTTAGTTATTGTCGGTTATTGTTATTAAAATTGGTACAATGACCTTTTCCTTATGAGAACCTCTTAATTTTTTAAGTTAATTTGATTAAATTTAGTAAATGCTTTTCTTGTATTATATGAATGAGATAAATACACTAACCACAACTAATTGAATGAAAAAAGGGAAAATTGTTGATTTTGTTTGTTAATCAAATGAGATTTAACTTTTTGTTTTCTTCAATTACTCAATTAATCAATAAACCATTACAATTTAGTTAATGATTATTATTGTATTAATATATTTAATCATCTTGTAATTATTTTTGTTAGCAAAAAAAGTTAATCATTTTCTGGGAATCAATTCAAACTAGTTAACTATTTATAATTTGATTCTCTAATTGTAATCCAAAATATGATTAGGCAGAAACAATAACATGATAAATTTACCATTTGATTTTAATCAATGTTAATAAATTAGCAATTTAAATTAATTAGACTGATAAATATTTCCAGGGTATCCATTGATTTGAATCATTGATTGTGACAACTTGTTTTCATGCTCACATTTTGATATTAACTAATTAATAAATTGCTTAAACTAATTGCAAATAAAACAAAACTGGTTATCCTTGTTTCAAACTTAACGGAATCGGAAGTAATCAAAGTATCAAGTGACTTATTGTATATAACCCGCCCTCGAGCTTGATAATATCACCAGAAGAGGTTAATTTGATATTGTATCTTGGAAACGAAATGATAATCACAATTATTATCATCAAAATAGTAAACAATTAACCAGTTTGAATAATTAAACGAGAAGAGAAAAAATAGTTAAATCTATCAACACAAAGCTCAATTGTTTATCATTCTCAGGTAATAATAATAATAATAATAATTCAATTTGTTAATCAAGGTCAAAAGTAAATTACTATTATCATTAATAATCATTAGATAATCTAGTTTGATTAATAGGATAGGTTGACATGCAATTAGTTGATTAATACTTGGTACAAGTGAATGTTTCGAGAGAGTCATAGACAATGTAATAAATAATATCGAAGAGCAATTAATTTACCATTTTGTGATCCTTGTCGCTGGAATTGACCATTTTCGGGTGATCTGTAGGCTACCCCTAAAGAGGGTGGACCTTTTTTAGATGTTAAAAGGTAACCATTACGTTTGAGAATATACATCATGATTAATAGGATTACCCCTAGAGCGGTAATCATACCAACGACTATACCAGCAATTGTTGATGAAGATTCTGTTTCAAGTGGAGGTCCAATAGGAACACTACCAACAAATAATTGTTTACTTCCAGTGATAACTGAAATATTCCAGGGGGAAACAGTTGGATCACCTTGATAATCTTCTAAGGGAATATTACAAGCAATTAGATTACCATCGATTGACCTTAAATCTTTACACTCTAAAGTTGCTCCGTCTTGTTGATTAACAAGAATCACTTTCATACCATAACCAGTGTGTAAATGTTGCCCCATAATCTCAAGTGTCCGACTACCATCAATTCCTGGGGTGGAAACAATTTTATCGGAAAACTTGGGATCAGGTAAATAGACTAGAATAAAATCAGTTGGAATATGTTTACTTGATCCTCCATTGGCAAAAGAAATGGTTGTTGTTATTGGAGATTCAAAGTAAATTTCTGAAGGCATAATTGGACTAGGACAGATAAATGATGTAACATCGATTAGTGTACAGTCACTGGCAAGAAGTAAAGGTGAAATTGATGCTTTGGGTACAATTGCAGAGACAATTAAACGAGGTTGATATAAACTATCAAAATGATCTCCAATAACGGTAATATTAACAGCGGAAGTGGCACTTGTAACATTTGGAGTTATATAACTAAACAAGGGATCAATAAAATAGGAGAAAGTAAAATTTGTCGATATGGCAGCGGAATCAATGATAACACCGATTGGACCTTTAGTTGGGTAACCCTGTTTCTCAGCTGAACCTGAGACACATTTAATGGCTGTCGATTCAACAACTTCAATAGATTCACACTGAACTCCAGCTAAAAGAACTTGTAAATTTGATCCAATATCCAAATTTTCACCAAGAATGAAAACATTCACTCCACCAGTTAAGGGTGAGATTAAAGGTTTGACACTTGTTACACTTGGATTAACGAATTGAAAAGATTCAGAACTTTTAACTGTTCCAATGATATCATAACCCTTTCGAGCTGAAATATCTTTAACTTTTAGCTCAATGAAACCGGAACTTGGGGTAGATGGTTGTTCTGATGAGGTGACAATTTTACACTCAATGTCAGTATAATTCCAGGAGATGATTGAACAACTTTTACCACCAATAGAGATGCTGTTCTCGGTGTTTGATGTTTCATCATGAAAACCAAGATCAACACCCTTTACTCTCAGTATTGTACCTCCTTGAGTTGGTCCTTTTTTGGGTGAAAATGAGATTAACTTGGGTTCACAATGAGAAACCATTACAACATCAGGACCATTGACAACACAAGATTTACCAGTCCAAGCACAGTCGATATTATCTTTTGCTTGTGATTCAATACAAGAGCCACAATCTTTGTAATAAGAGCAAGTTTTAACAGGTAATTTGATCAACGATTGACCGGTAGCCATGAAAATATTTTCCTCATCACTTTCAACCACTGGATCAGGTTCAATCTTTGATTTACTCAATTCAATTGTGAAAATATCTTGACCGTTGACAATTTTTTTAACTAAACCATTTTCAGTTCCAATGAAGAGAGAGTACTTTGATCGTGATCCTTGTAAAAGTGAAACCATTGATGTTATCTTTGGCTTATCCCCATAAAGCACATAACCGTCAACAATTTTGGTCACTTCGATTAACATGTTGACACTTTGTTGACATTGTTGGTGTTCATGTTCAATACAACGTGAACCTGGTTCGACAAAGGTTTCAATTAGTTTTCCACTTCTTCTGGCATAGCAAGCATTTCGAGCTGTTTCAAATTCGTACATCAAATGGTCCATCGAAAAGGCACAAACCCGTGATTCTGAGTGAGTATGACTTAGAGGTTTGTTTAATTTGGTGTTTTGAAAGGCCAAGAAAAGTACGTTCGAGGTTGTCAGAGGTCGAATTTGATTGAAAGTGTTCCTTAAATAGTCGTCCATTTTACCGAGAGTCGCGGCGGTTGCTACAGTTTGGTCTTTACATGTAACCTGAATTTCAGAATATGAACCAAAGAAACCATCACCGATACAAATACGAATGATTTTGGTTACTCTTTGAGTCTCTTGAAGTTTTTCTGGTTCCGTTTTAACAAAGAAAACATAATCACCATGTTGAAATCCGTAAATATAATTGATTGGCCATTTTGAATTTTTATAAGGTGAACGGACATCCCGAGCTGTTAGGGTTGCCTTTCCATCAGTCCAATAGGCAAGATTAATTGGTGACACTAGTTTCCTCTTGGATATCGTGGGTGGACTTGAATCCAAGGGTCGATCATCATAAGCATGAGCCACAAAAATGGCCGATTGTTGTTTACCAGCGGCGGTCAGTTCATCGGCAACAGAGACAACATAACTACTACGACGAGAGGCAACATAGTTTCTAACATTATTTGGATCACCAAGTAGCCTTGCAGCTTTAAATCCGGCCTGAGGGATCACATAGCACATTCCTTGATGAGTTGAGTAACAGGCCAATAAAACGGAACTGGAGGAAACATTAATCGAGAACAAATTGATACAATCAGATTGAGTCATGGTTCGAATTTCATTAACTGGACAAGGAGAAGGTGGTGGTGGACATTTGTAATTATCTGCTATCGGTCCGGTTGTAAAATTTTCCATAATTTCCAGAGTTTTAGGATCCATACGTAAGAAAAAATTACGACCTCCAATGTATAAGAATCTATTTTGTATCAACAGTTTCTGTACAATTGTACCAAGATTTACACTAGAATATACAGTTGATTGATCAACAATCGCTGAAGATGCTGCTTCTTGGGCATGATTAGAATTTGAGAAAAATGTAACAATTATAAAAATTAAAAGAATAATTTTGTTAGAAAAACTGTTGATTGTAGATAATGGCGATAGTGATGGCATATTAAAGTTGAATAAGTATTTACAATTATGGTGATGATTAAGTTTCATGTTTTAACAAACCTTATTGATACGGTTTTGTTTTTCTAACATTTAACTATTCCAAATCAATGGAAAGTCAATTGAACAGTCAATTTTTCACAATAATCACTTAATTGGTTGTAGAATTAAAAAATAATCACAAACATTAAAGAGAAAAAGAAAAGAAAAAAGCTTTTCCAAAATAAAAGCCTTGAGAATTTCAACTTTCAAGATTACATCGAGATTGATATTAAGTTGTTGTTGTTGTTGTTTATCTTGTAGTTAATTAGATTTGAAGAGAAGGCGATGTTGACTATATGATTAGTCTGGGGTATTAATTTGTGAAGATTATTTGTTAATTATGAAAAAAAAAATTCTATTCACTTGTATTGATAATTAGAGACACAAAGATTTAACTCTCAACTATTTATCTTTGATTTGAATTAGTGTTCATCTTGAAACAAAGAGAAAACCATGAAAGATATGATAATAATGAGCAGCAATTAGGCACAGAATTAAGATGATCAACAAGTGACATGACGGTGAAAAAAGTAAATCAAAAAAAGATTAAAACAAAAAAAAACGAAACAATTAATTGAAAGAGAAATTAAATCAAACGTTAATCAAGTGAATTTGAAGACTCAAGAAACTCTAATGAAGAGACGTTCAAGTTTCAATGGAAAATGAAATCTCGGATCTCGAGTCTCGGATTCGAATCCCAAATATCCGATCCAATTTTCTTTCTCTTTGTTTACATTTCATTTCTAAATTAAACTAAATTGTGGGAATTAATTTTGCAAGGAAATTAATTAATGGCCGTTCAAAGAATATTTTAGAAAAGTGATACAATAATTTTCTATTAAGCAAAAGATTAGCTTATGTTAGAGAAAAGAATTTACTGTTATTCTGATATCTACTCTTTTCTTACTCGATATTTGATGTTTTCTTTTTCTCTTCTTCTCATATGCAGACACACCTTTGGATATGCGTCACCATGTAAAGATTATCTTGTTGTGAATAAATTGAAAGAATGTTTTTCTCTCTCTCTCTCTATCCAGGTAAGAGATATTTGTGTAACTTTTTCTCTTCATTCGCTTTGGTTACCTCAGTGGAAAGAAAATGGAAGAAATAGTTTTTCTAAAGGTTTGGTTTATCTGGAAATTTATCTTCATCTTTTTCTGTTGATGTAACTTGTTTTTTTTCTTTCTCTCTCTCTCTTCCTCTATGTTAATTACAGGTTATACTCTTTTTTTACTACTTTGACCTCTTGTTCTTTTTGACCTGAGAATTAAAGTTTCCTAGCCTGCGGAATTGTTTAATTGTCCTTGATTAGGTTTAAATCCATGATCGTCTATATGTGATTCGGGTTGGTTAACCTTTTCTCTCTTGTTTTTTATGGTAATTTCTTGGTCTCCGTTTTAGTGTTGATACTTTTTATTATTCTTTTGTTTTCTATTCTTTTTAACTGATCTAAGTCTCTTTTTTTATTTATTGTTTTATTCTCTTTTTATTGTTTAGATCATGAAATCGTGATGAAAGTATTTCAATTCAACGCTGAATCGTTTACCCTTTTGTTGTTGTTTCTGAAAACAAGATTAATTTAGAGACGAAAATGATGAGAGGTAATTTGCTATTTGATTCACTGGATGAATCAACTGATACGATTGATGATGATTAGTTTTTAGTTTTTTTGGTGAAGGTCAATTTCATTGATCCAACATACTCACGACTTGGTGGTAGGCCTGATGATTGCACGGGAAACTCAGTTTCTCTTATTCTTATTGGTATTTAAAGTCGACAATTGATGAAAAACAATTCTTGATCACAGGAAAGTTACAAAGACAAAACTACAAGAGTGTTGGTTTTTTTTTCATTCTCAAAAGAATCAATCAAAACCAATCAATTGTCATCTCCATGACGTACGTTTAACTGTTTACTGATCATAAGGAAATTGAACATTGATCAAGATTTTGTTTTCTAAATTGTTGATTATCAACTTTTCCAATCAATCAATTTCCCAAACTTTCGTTAAACAGTTCAATGAACGGATCATGACGCTCGAAGACAGTTGATCTAATTATTTATAATTTTTATTGAATTTTTATATTTAATCAAATATTTTAATCACTTACACAGGTTACCCAATGACGACAACAATCAAGAATTTTCCCCTGAGATGAATGAGAATACAAATTTCCATGATCTTATTAACCTCTTTGGTTCACTGATATCAACAATTAAGAACCAACTGATCACAATTAGTTGGAATTTACATTACAAATGAACAGCATAACAGTACTTGCATTTTCCAACATATACTATCAAAGACAAAAAGAAACAATCAGAATCAAGAAAGACCATAAATCATCAAGGCAACGTCTGGACAGTTAGAAAACAATTAACTAACAATTACAAACATATCTCTTGTAACTCTATTGATAACATCACCAATTTTGGCTCCAGTACCATAGATGCCAATGCGATCCAATATCTTATGAGTCTAATTATTGGAAAAATACAATCTAATTGAAACGATAACAATTCTTATCGTTGAGAGCAATTAGTCTTACATTTAACTTTGTCCCTATCGAAGCTACACTTTTGTTGTGAACTTTAACCAAGAGGCTGTAGATTTCATCGGACTGAAAAGGAAAAGAAAAAGTGAATTCAATTAGAGGCCAAAAGTTAATTAGTCAACTTACCCGATCCACAAATTCACCCCCATTATAAATGACCAGTCCGATTGCAGTTATACAAAAGAAACCAGCAAAATAAAAGGTTCCAACTATTTGAGGAGGAAATTTCGAGGTGATCGCCAAGAAAATCACTAAATCAGCGAGCAATGAAATCAGAAATATACAGATAAAGAAGAGATATTTACAATCATCCATAATTTTGTCGAAACAATTTAAGAAATGTAACAATCGATAATTAACAAATTGCAATGATTTCTCGCTGACGATCTTGTCACCAGCTGAATGAGCAATCAAATCATAACAAGATCTCAATCTAGCAAGATACCAAGGTACCATAGCGATTGTATGACCACCAACATTTAACAACGAAGTGAATGATAAACGAGAAGCAATTGTTTCCATGATTATCCAAATGATTGAGATTATCGCATAAACTGGATTAGAGTAGAAAAGTGGATCATACAATCTAAATGATAACATAATCAATCCATTGGCTAATTTATTAAATCGTAACATTGATGTCCAATTGGTAACATGAAAGACGAGAAATCGTTTGAACGACGAGATTTGTTTACGATTAATCAACAATCTTTCACAATCGAATCCATGTAATTGAATAACTCGTAAGAACTCAAGATCTTTAATCGCACCGATATCATCCAAATAGATACAATATTCTCGAAGTGCCCCACAAACAACCAAAAGGGAAAGTCCAAGAATCGCCACTGTACTGGAATAAGTTTCTCCATGGAAAGGATTACCAAGATAAATATTGATCCACAGACAATTAGCCGAATTGGGATAAAAGGATAAGATTGTCATTCTTATCAGAACGATTATGAAAATTATTCTACCAATTGAATTTTTCCATTTGAACTCAGGAAATTCCCAATTGGGATCCGAATGATTGTATCCACGTCGAGTTATTAATAGACTTCGAGACGATTCTTCCATTAGAGTTATCTTTTTAGCTGCATACGAATCGAAGTCAATCTCATCAGGTAAACCGATTAAATAGCGAAATCTCTTAATCCAATAGCTCACCGACGATAATAAGATTTCATGTTTAATTTCGGGTTCTTGCATTTCGAAACCAACACTTTATATCGAATTCTGGATTAATCTCGTAAATTTTGTTCTAATTTTTAAAAGTTGATCGATATTCAATTCAATTAGATCAACTATCAAGAGTAAATCATTGAACAAGTCCACTTCGATTCTATTCCTTTGAATAGTAATGATTTTTGAAGACGAATCATTTTCATGACGATTAGAATAATTAACTAGACAAGGTTATGATAGAGATTGATATTATTTGATTCTCATTTAATAGATAATTACTCTGATTATCATTAGACTTTTTGTTTTCCATGATCAATCAACTAAATCTAATGAAAAAATTGATCGAACTGATCAAGTCTCGAAAGTCTCATTTGGGGTAAAATTCAATAAAAGAAAAACTTAAATTTCTTTTTGTTCCATGATAAATCAAATAAATTAATTGATTTTACTTATTCTTTATTGATTAAATTAGCCAATACAAGTCATGTTCTGAAATCATATTAGACATAATTGTAGGGAATTGAAGTTCCGAGATCAAAGCCAATTCTCAGATCGATGCATTGATATTGCAGATAAGTAACATAACGGTACTTGCATTTTCCAAAATGTACTAAAAACAATCGATTTAATTCTGATTAGTTAATGATCGAATCAACCAACAATTAACTGATCAACTTACGTAAACAAACAGATCTCTTGTAACTCTATCAATAATATCACCAATCTTGGTTCCAGTACCAAAGATACCAATGCGATCCAATATCTTATGAGTCTAATTGTTGAGAAGATGAAAACAATTGATTAAATTGACTAATTGAAAATTGAGGTAAAATTTTCACTAACATTTAATTTTTCCTCAATGGCCAAAGGGCATTTGTTGACAATTTTAACTAACAAAATGTAAATCTCATCAGCCTAGGAAAAGATAGGAAAAGATCAACAATCAAAATTTTTCGTCAATTTGTCTTATTGATTAAGTTACTCACTAATTGTACAAATCCACCGGTGAAGTAGATGATAAATCCAATGGCGGTTATGCAAAAGAAACCAGCGAAATAAAAAGTTCCGATGATTTGCTTCGGAAATTTTGACACGATAGCTAAGAAAATCACCGAATCGGCCAAAAATGAGGTTAAAAATATGGCCACGAATAGAAGATACTTAGAATCGTCCATAATTTTATCTAGTCCATTAAGAAATCGAATTACTCTGTAATTAACTCTTTTCAATGACGATTCATTTACACTATTTTGCAAAGATACTTTTAATGCTAAATCATAACAAGATCTCAATCGAGCAAGGTACCAAGGTACTAGAGCGATTCCGGTTCCGCCAACATTTAGCAATGAAGTGAATGATAAACGAGAAGCAATTGTTTCCATGATTATCCAAATGATTGAGATTATCGCATAAACCGGATTAGAGTAGAAAAGTGGATCATACAATCTAAATGATAACATAATCAATCCATTGGCTAATTTATTAAATCGTAACATTGATGTCCAATTGGTAACATGAAAGACGAGAAATCGTTTGAACGACGAGATTTGTTTACGATTAATCAACAATCTTTCACAATCGAATCCATGTAATTGAATAACTCGTAAGAACTCAAGATCTTTAATCGCACCGATATCATCCAAATAGATACAATATTCCCGAAGTGCCCCACAAACAACCAAAAGTGAAAGTCCAAGAATCGCCACTGTACTGGAATAAGTTTCTCCATGAAAAGGATTACCAAGATAAATATTGATCCACAGACAATTAGTCGAATTGGGATAAAAGGATAAGATTGTCATTCTTATCAAAACGATTATGAAAATTATTCTACCAATTGAATTTTTCCATTTGAACTCAGGAAATTCCCAATTGGGATCCGAATGATTGTATCCACGTCGAGTTATTAATAGACTTCGAGCCGATTCCTCCATTAGAGTTATCTTTTTAGCTGCATACGAATCGAAGTCAATCTCATCAGGTAAACCGATTAGATAACGAAATCTCTTAATCCAATAACTCACCGATAATGGTAATCCATATTTTCTCTGTGACATTGTTACTCTTGCTCCATGAGTTCCGTAAATTCTGAAGACATTAACTGAGATTTATGTCAATCAGATTTCGATCAATATAATAATCGTTGAAAAAAACTATTAGATTTTCTAATTGATTATTATGGAATCAGATAATTCTCTTCTTGAATGATCATTATCTCTCAACTAAATGTATCTAAATTATCAACATGATACCAAGTTGAAACAACCAATTAACAATTTAGAGTTGATTCTGTTTTTGATTCAATCAGTTTTCTCAGTTTATTCAAGTTTCATTTCTTTATCCACAATCTTATCAATTTAGTCTCAATCACAACAACCTTTAATCAGTCAAGTAGTTAATTGTCACTTATAAGGTGATAGTAATTAAGATCAATTTGTATCAATGAGAAACAAAAAGTTGAAAAAAAAAGTCAATCCAATGAATTAAAATGAAAGTGATGATTTTTGAAAATATATAAAAAAAAGTAAATTAGTTAATTCATCAAATCGTATATTCATTTTAAGGTGAAAAAAATAGTTAATCATCATCAGAATGATTTATTTAAAGATGTTACCTTTTTTTTGTTGCTGATTGTTGATAATGTTGTTATTACAGAGGGTTAATTGTTAAAGATTAGCTTAACATGATTAAAATTGGAATAGTAATTAGGAGATGATGTAAATGTAATCAATCAAGAGTTAAGATGATTGAATCTAATTTGATGATCGTCTCAAATTGTTGGTGTATTATTATCATCATCTTATACTAAATAAGACAAAGTTTTGTTGGTAATCAAGCAAATCAGAAATAAACTGAATTTAAATTGATTCTAATTTGAAAAGGAAGGGTAATTGACCAATTAGATTAAGTTAATCACTGAGAATAAAAAAAGACAATAACAAGTTCATCTAATTACTTTCCAATCCTTTTCATCAATTTGATCATCTTTTTTTTGTTGTTGTTAATCAATTTGATTTAATATCTTTCTAAAGGATATCAACAACCTCCAACAGGAATTGTAAATCAATTCATCATTAAGATGCTATTGGAAGAGATGAAAAAATTAATCAAAGATTTAATCAGAAAATGATAACCTTTAAATTGAGATGTTGATGATACGTAACATTAACTGTCATCTTATATATTTGATTGGGGGAAAAATTAACTTCATTTAATTGCAATTGAAGAGGACACTAACCCTGATTAATTGGTGAACAATTAAGAGACCAAGAAATCAAATTAAAAAGCGAAAGTGATCAATTGTCGATTAATCTAAACAAGAATCACTTTCAATCAGATGATTGAAATTAACTAGTTGCCAGTTTTTAATGTTAACCAATTATTTTTCATTTCGTTGATTGAGTAATTAATAATCTCTCTAAATTAATTGAATTGATCAATTGATTATGTTTATTACTATACTTTAGATTGGATTAGTGATTGATTTGAGGAGAGAGAAAAACAAAATCATGTTAATCTTTACAATGGAAGGTAAATTTGACTAATTGTTCAGGTAAAGATCATTTTCATCACCATGATGATCATCAATACTATCATGTTGCGCATCTAATTGATTGGAAATTTGTTGATCCAAGCATAACAATTAAATTAAAATGGTTACAATTAAAATGGTTTTACAATAGAAAACAGTAGAAAGTGTTAATCAACCTTTTTCTTTGTTCACTGTCATTACACATGGTAAATTTTCTTGATTCAACATTTTAAATTCTATTCTATTCCTTTAATTGTTGATTGGATAAGATGCTATTTAAAGAATTGTTCCAATTCAATGGAAGAAAACAAAAGGATAATCACCATGTTGATGAAAGAGATAATATAATGAAAAGTGATAAAAGAAAAAGCTAATGAGATGATCTATTGTTTTCCAAAGACATGATATCACATTTAAATCCGTTGTTCGTATCTAATCAATGTTAAAGATGATTTATCGATAATCCAAGATGAACTGATTGGAATTCGTTTATATATATATTATAATTAACCGTAATTCTTGAATGAAAAAGAAAACACAAACTTTTGAATGTAACAAAAAGTGAAAAGAAAACAATTAATGTTTATTGATTACAACTCGAAGCCAAATTGAAGTATTACAATCGATGGATACAAATAATTAACTGATCAATCGGTGATACTTTCCATCATTAGCTTGTAATTTTCCAACATCATCATCACCATTAATTCACAATTATCATCATGAATTTGGAATTTTATCCGATCACATGGTTAATGGGACTGAATTCGCACGTGAAAGAGGACAAGGGACAAGAAAAAGATGAAATTGATTAATAATTAATTACCTGTAAAGCCTTAGATGTAATAATAAAGAAAACGATGATGCGGATGATAAAAAGAGGAAGAGGAAAGAAAAACAATATTTTAAGAAACAAGATGAAGGAAAATGATGATGATAACCTTAAGGCTAATCCAGATAAGGATTGTCAGGTAAACAAATTTACCTGTAAAAATCTTAAGGAAAACTACCTTGCCAATTACAGGTAATCATTTTTTTTCTCTTATTTTTGTGTTGATTTTTTTTCTTTATTTTTGATATTATTTAGATTGAGATCTTTTCTTGCATACCAATTGATGGAGAGACTGTTGATTCAATTACTTAATTTGTTTCTCTCTCAAATTTACCGTTACAATTACTGGAAACCTTTTTAATAACAAACATACTCACACAATTAACTAATTTACTTTCATTATGATAATGATGATAACTGATTTTCATCAATACCTTTTCACTTGTTTACGGAAATAATCAAATTCATATAATATAATTTTTCATTCAAATTATTTCCAATCAATCAATCATCAATTACCAATCTTATGTGAGCATCAATCCGTGAAATTGAACAATTGATGATCAATTAAAAATGATTGAACAACAACAAAAAAGAGAGAAACAATTTGAAAGTGATTCTAATATTTGTTGACAATTTTGTCTTCATTTATCAGCAATCAACAATCAACAATCAACAATCAACAATCAGCAAAGTAGTAAAAGTTGAATGGATAAGAAACAAAAAAAAAGAGGTAAGAAAATGAAAACTTATCGTTATCCAGGCTTAAGAAATTTGAAATGTTTAATTAATGTGATTATTTACTAATTACATGATGATAGAAACCAACACATATCCTGTTAATTATATTCATCAGAAAGCATGAAATTATCATCAGTTTTTTGCTGTTGTTTCACCATCGACACTGTTTGTTGATTGTCACATTAATCGTTGAAAAGATGATTACAAATTGATTGTTAATAATTTGAATAAATAACCTGAGAAAATGTAAAGATAATCATCTAATTAACCTTGATAATTGTTCAAAATCATTTCTTCTCATCAACAATCAAATAGAGCATCAAACTTATTAAAAAAATACTGATTCTAAATGAGAATCGATGGAATCGTGAACATCAATAGTATTGGAAAATAATGTCCACCAATAAGCTGGACAGTTCGAGTGATCTTAATATGAGAGAAATCGAGAGGACGATTAATTTACTAGACAGATTAATGGTTGAAATGGATTAAAGTTTTTCTCTTTTTGATACATTTACTACAAAGCTCTGTTATTATGATGATAATTAAGGACTTTAAGTGACCATTCTTCATTGGTCAAGCAAATCCAAGGCGATTTACCGTTCAAATTATGATCTTTTAGTAATTATTGTTGAACCTCTTTCGATTTGAAGGTTGTGTGGACACGATGATTTCATCTCATCAACGAGTAAAAAGAAGGTACAAAAAAAATATTACTCTCTTTTCACTCTTATTATCTTAATCTTCATCTATTATTATCATCATTATCTTTCCATGGTCAGGGACAGTTATTCAGTAATCATCATGTTCCATCTCAATGAACTTTCATTTAATCCTCTCGCCACACTTTCAACCTTAATCTCCTTCAATCTTATTTCGTAACTTGTTATATATTATTATTTGAACAGCTTCCGACTGGATAATCGATGGTCAATCGGTCAGTCAAATTTACACTTGAGAATAAAATTTTTTTTCTCCAATTTTCGATAAAATCAAATAGGGATAATATTTACAAAGTAAATTTAATCTTCATCGATTTTGTAACAAATGAATATCAATACAAATACAATTGATGAAACATTGAATCGGATTGATTTTAGAAAACAAAAAGTTAGAGGTAAACAAGAAAATTGATGAGGATGAAGATGAGAAAATGATTAATTAAAAGAAAAATGGACAAAAGTCATTAATCGAAATTGGTACCAAGATGATGACGAAAACAATTGTGACATTATTTATGTTTGTTGATTGTCTTTCATATGGAACGTTGATTTTTCTTGATTATCTTTTCATTATCATCATGTGAAGATGATTATTGTTGACTTGATGGTTTTATTTTCGTCGGCCATGATTGTGAGCTCCTTCCAGGAAATTCATGAGACCATATTTCATGTCCTGCAAGGGAGTCGCAAAACAATCATATTTACATGGACGAGAGTAAAGTAAAGGTGAGATGAAAACACGTTCCGATGTTGGCTTAGGTCCAATCATCGGGTAGGCCATTGAAGGTGATGCTAAGAGAGATGATTGATGTCGATAACCACCATGGTGATGTTGTGAATTTGATCCAATTGGATTGTGGGAATGATGGTGAATTGGATGATGAGATTGATGATGATGAGAATGATGGTTTGATGAGTGAAGATTTGGCCTGTGGTCAAAGGTAAATGCTGAAAGTGAATGGGCAACGGGCTTTTCTGAAAGCGGAGGATAGTTGACAACATAACTCTCAATGAGAATTGGTAACTCTTCATTTGCCTCCATATTTGTCATCAATGAATGATAATTAAAGAAACCCGATGAATCGGTTAATAGATCAGAATTGATCTGATTATTGTTGTTTGATGGACGATGTTGATATTTATGTTGATGATTACTGGAAGCATATCCACCAGATCCACTTTGTCCTCTTCCTGATACCTGTGATGAACTGGACACTGGCTCATGAGAATGAGTTTTTGATCCTTGAGGTAAAAGCTCAAAATCATAATTAGATGAATAATCAAGACCGGAAGGTTGGAAATATCCATCAGGTGATACAGATGATTCACCGAAACCTTTGGCTAACCCATAGGGAACCTCATCTTCGGACCATGAAAGGTAATCTTCAGATCCTGGTGAAGATGAAGATGATGATGGTGATGATGGTGAGGGATATGGTCCACCGGGTGGACCATAACTGTAAGCATAAGCATCACCGTTGATACCATTGATCAATTTATTGTTACCATTTTGCTGATTGTTATTATTATTATAACCCTGAAGGGTTGATGGACTCAAAAGTTGCTCACGATTATTAACTGACCTTAAATCACCTGAGTAGATTAGTGATGGTTGAACACTTCGAGGTCCAGAATATTTGGTTAACTTGTACCTTTCATAATCTTTAACAATATCGACGAAACTTTTAGTCGAAGAGAGTACATTGGGAGATAATGTTTCTCTAAGTAGGGGTGGACCAGAGTTGGGAAGAAAAGGTGATTCAGTAGAATTGAGATGAGAAGAAGAAGATGATGAGGAGGATGATGAAGATGAAACATTTTGAATATTCTGAATGGAAGCACTTGCAGCCATCATTCGACCCAAAGTTTCACTAAACACCGGAGATGCCATTCCGTTCGAGGAGGCCGAGCTTTCGATCGGTGTTACTGTGGTTGTTGATGAGGGCGAAGATGCTGATTGATGTGATGAAATTGATGGTGATGAGGTTGATGGGTTGCGATTCGTGTTGATAATGATGAAGCTAATGGCAATGTTTCGTTAACTGGTGTTACAATACTTTGGACAATTGGGATCACATTGAAAAGATTTAAACAAATTGTTACAATTACAATTTGATAACAGTGGCCATTAATCTTCCTGGAGGCCATGATTGTAATCAAAATTATAATTCTACCCGATTAATATTGAAACAATTACAGATCAAGAAACACAATTATTATTATGATTTTGATTCCTTTGTATTATTAATAATAAAGTGAATACAGTAAATTGGATGAAAGTGAAAAACTAAAAGTTAATCAACTTGGCGAAAGTAAAACTTAATCAATTTACAGAATCAACGTTAATCATATTGAAAGCCAGTGATTAGTTGGAATTGTTTTTAAATTGTTTGTATGTATTGATGTTTATGTTGTTGGTACTTAAGATCAACTAAACGTTAGTAACTCTAAGTGAAGCCACTTTTAACCGTTCAAATCGTTCATCCCGTCGGTCTCACTAATTGTCTCCCACAATCAGTATATATCTTAATCCATCTCCATCTTACTCACTCTTATCATCTTGTTTTTATCTTCCTCTTTCTCACCTCTATCATCACCTTTCTTTTTCTCTTTCTTTTTTTACCGTTATTCCACTAAAAATATCTCTCTCTCTCTCTCTCAAAACAACGATAACTTTAACGGGATCACTTTCAATTTGACCAACAAACCGGATTCAGATGAAAGTGGGAATGACATGATGAGGAAGATGAAGATGATTAAGATGATTATCGTCTTAATCATCACAATCATGATCGTCTTTTGATTTTGGTCAAAAATGATCAACATTTTTTTCACCCAATCTTTTTGCTGAATTTTTTTTCCTTAATTGCTTAACAGTTTGTTAAACTTTAATCAATCAACTAAAGATTATCAATATTAATCAACCTGATGATATTTGTATCATTTTCCTTGATTATCATCTTTTAATAGTAATAATAATTTACTTAATCATCAAGATTAATTAGACATTTACTTTGAATGTTTTTATATAAAATAAATGAACAATTAAACACCAAAGGGAAACTTTTTCTTTAAGCTTGTAACAATTAGTGACAATTAACTGATGAAAAAAATTATACAACAAAAAGACAATTAATAATTTAATCAATTTGGCATTTCTTTAATTTCCTTATTGTGTGTGTGTAGTTGATTGTTACAATCTACAGATTGTAATTGATTACAATCAACAGTCCAGTACATTTAATCAACATAACAAATCAAACTAAATGATTAAGCTTGATCAACAGTCCGTAATATTAATAATGATGATGATTAATATACAACAATCAAGAAATAATAACTATCAAATATCAACAATTAAAGTAGTTTTTTATTTTGATAATAATCAACTGATATTATCAATTTTCATTGTAACTATTTACCAACAACAACAAGAGTTACAATTAAAATACTAATGATTTGATTAACTGTTGTAACCATAATGATTAACAAAAAAAATGGTTAACTTAATCATACTCAATTTGAATACTTCCTTTGATTATTATCATTATTTGATCATTAATATTGATCACAATTAACTTGTAATCCAATCTCACCAATACACACGAAACCAAATAATCAACTAATTGTCATCTACACTAATAATCATCACCAAATCAACACTTTTAATCATGATTTTTTTTTCAGCTTCTTCTCGTTGGTTAATAATCATTAACTGTGAACAATTTTTAAATTGTTATAACAATTAAATGAAGAAAAAAATATCATTTTTTACCTTTAAAATGTAATCAATTTATCTCCTTAATTGTTGTTGTGTCTTGTTGTTGATTAATGTTTATATTTATAATTGTGATTTATTGATAATCTATTATTAGTATTAAGATATATCAGTTGATTGTCATCAAGTTATTGTTATGATCAATTTTCTGGTGATACAAAAAGTAAATATTAGTTTTGTTTGTAACGACAACAATTAACTTAATTGTGAATTGGAAAAGTGATAAATTTTGTATTAATAGTGGTGGAAATTAATTTACATCCGGTAACAATTAATTTACTCTCGATTGTTTAAAAATGTTAAATCTGTTAATTGTGTTGATGAACTTTCAATTAATACTTTTGGTAACATAATACAAATTGTTACTTTAAATTGTTACCGTAATTTAAATTTATACAATTGATTATCATTTAATCATCATTAACTTTAGACTGATTTAATTAACCAATAAAGACTTGTAGCAATTATCATCTTGTTGGTGGTACTTTAACTAAATTAACTTAATTGTGGTAATGATTGAAAATTATTTTTAATTTGTCTCTTTTAATTTAATTGTTGCTATTCAATGATTCAGTCATTTAATTTAATTGTTGACTTGATTGTGAAAATTTAAACACGATAATCAATAATAATGAACTTGATTAATGTGATTAATTGTAACTGAATCAACTAATCATTTTTAAATTGTCATGGTTTGTTTTTATTTCCTCAACTGATAACAATTAACTTTTCACATTGATAATTGTTAACAATTAAAAATAGGAAAACAATTCAATCACAATTAACCTTTATGGGAACCAACTGAATAGGAAGAAGGTTAAACATTCACATTAATTTATTAATCTGCAACAATTAACAAATTAATATTTTAATTGTCACTATTTATAATGATAAGATGAGTATATTTTATGGTAAATTGTTTGTTAATTGTTACGATTAACGGGAACCGGATTATAATTAATATACAAACAAATTCAGAGCAACTAAAGGATCATTAACAATTAACATTTGTAAATTGTGATGATTAAATTAACATAAGAATTGAATTTCTATTGAATTAATTGTCCCACACAAACCAAATTATAATTTGAAATTAAATTTGATCCAAACAATTAACTTTTTCCTTTCTTGTTTTTTGTTTTCTCATTCTCTTAATATAAAATGATTTGCGACCAACAATTAATCCTAATCATCATTTTGAGATTTAATTGTTGTTTAACTTTATTTTTGTACTTTGGTGATTTCGTAAGTATTGATGTTGGATAATTGATTTAATCCAGTTGATCAGGTTGGAATTAAAATTAGCCAACAACAATCAATACGAATTAAATACCAAAAGTCATCGCTCGATGAATTAAATTGTCACCTTAATTTCTCTCACTTTTTGCCCTTTTCACTCCAATCACAATTAACTCAATTCACTTTCTCCCTTAATCATCATCATCATGAAGATAATCACCTGAACTATCTTGCTCTTTGTTCATCAACAATTCAACGAATCAATAAATTCAGCTCATTATCTTCATGCGGTTATAAGCTCCGCTTGTTTGTGACAGTTTCCAGAATGATGATGAGGAAGATGATAAGGATGATATTGATTTTATTTTCTCTCAATGAATTGGCTGAGAGAGAGAGAGAGGGAGGGAGATAAAATATAAATCACTTTCACCGAGAGAGAGAAAAGTCAAAGAAAGTTGATGATAAATAGAAAATGGGAAGGAAAATAGATAATTGTAATTTTGTTTTTCTCTTTTCATCAGGAAATGTTTATCATGTTTATCGTGATTATCTTGATAATAATTAATTTCCAATCCCTTTAATCGTCAATCACAATCAAAACCGTTAATCGAATCAATGAATTAAAACTCCAAAGTCAAGGGAACATTAATTTTCCTCCCATTTGAATCGATTCATTTTCTCATCATAATCATCATAAATCTTGATGTAATATTGATGATAGTTAATTGTCAACCTATTTGATTACATCTTTTGATAATCATTTAACTCACTCATCAATTGTATCAATAAAAATCATCTCACTCTCATCATCATGTTGATTGTTGTCTCTTATTTTTTCTCTCTCTCTCTCTCTCTCTCTCTCTCTCTCTCTCTCTCTTGGCGGTTCCTTTTTCCTTCATGATTCTGATTGATTCTTCATCGATTCTGGTTGTCTGATCAAATATGCTTATTCTCTTAATTGTCACATACATAAAGTGTCTTTATATTCAATCAAATACTTCCATCAGATTGTTCAGATATATCAACTTTTTTTCTCTTTCTCTTCTTTCATCTTTACTTTGTCTTCTTCTCATATTTCCTTTTATTCATTTCTTCTTATGAATCTTCATTGTGAAGAGATCACAGTTATAAGAATTATGATCATCTTTATCCTTCGATATTAAATCAATTCAATCGATCGAATTAAATTTACTTTCTATATAATCACTTGAATCGATCAAATTATTCATCAGACCAAAAGTTTTATCGATACTTTTTCATCTCAATTTATCCTTCATTTGTCTTTCATCTTAATCAATTGTCATCGCCTCGTCATCTCTTGATTACCAATCATTTGATGAATCTCATTCATAAACTAATATCTACTAATAAAGATGATCAAATATTGATAATTCAATGATTATGGTAAATGGTAAGCCCAATGCTTGGATTAACCACTAAATTACAATAAATTATAATCACGAAAAACAATTACAAGTTAATTTGATTCAATCGAAATGAAAGTTTAACGATAACAATTGGAAAATAAATTATTTCTATCAAAAAAGAGAAAAAAAATCTAATTACGATTTCATAATATCGATAAATTGAAAATTGCAAGTAAATTGTTAAAGATTTAATTTCGAGACAGTTAAAGTTATGCAACGAAATTAATTCAATGGAAGAAAAATTTTCTCTCAAAATTCGTGATTTTCGTTTTTATACCGATAGATGGCGACGTTGAACAGAATTTATGGTAAACATGAAAAAAAGAATGAAGAAAATGAGATTGGAAGAATAAGTTACATTGAAGAGAGAGAGAGAAAAAAAAAAGATATGATGATGCTAAAAGGATGAAGAAGATGCGGAAAAATGTAACCAAAAAAGAAAGAGAAAAAGAAAGAAGATGATGAAGATAAAAAAAGAAGAAGAAAAGGTAGTTCAAAGCTCCATCTGGTGGTAGAATAGAACAAAAGAGAAAAGAAGGTAAAGAGAAAACATTGGAATTTATTTGCGATTGGAAAAGGAACAGTTAACAAAACCCTTTCGCTTTTAATGTCGGAAAGGGTTTCCAATCAAATTCTCCATTTTTCCATCAATAATAATCACTAATTACAGTTAAATTCTTATTAAAGTGTTTCTGGTTTTTCTAAACAAAACTTAATCTAAACTCTTTTCCTCTCAAACTCATCTCATCTCAACTGATAATCACCAATAATTGAAATTAATATTTCTCTCTACAAATACAACGAACAACATTATCATCATCATCATCTCCAGCTAAATAACAAACAACAGTTACAATAACTACATTTATATAAATTACATTAACAGCAACAAATCATCAATCAACTGTGTTTTTTATCAAAATTATCATCTCTCTCTCTCTCATTTCTCTGAGCTTTTCTATTCCTTGTTACCTTCATTTTAACTCTTTGTTTTTCTCTGTCTTTATTTTTTTCTCTTTCTATTTTTCTCTTGTTAACTCATCTCTATACACTTATATTCTCTCTTTCTCTCTCTCTCTCTCTATCTTACTCTCTCATTCTCACTCTCTGTAATTCATTTTACTTCTCCCCATTATCCTCAGCATCTTCTCCTTTATTTCTGTCTGTCTTTCTCTCTCTAATTGTGTCTTCTTCTTTTTTACCATCTATACTTTTCTCTCTCTATCAGGTAAACAAAAGCTTCTTTTCTGTGTAAAATATTTCCTTTTATCTTCTCTCTCTCTCTCTCTCACTAAATCCAACAAATTCTTCCATAATTAATATAACAGCAACAACAACAATCGACAATCAGTAACCAATATCATCCATAGTTATTTATCTCTCTCTCTCTCTCCATAATACTTACCAAGTGATTCCTCATACAACTAATATCAGTTTCTACTTTTACATTTATTTTCATTTTATCTCCTCTTTTTTACCTCACTCACTCACTCACTTTCTCTCTCACCCAGTTATCTTATTATCACCATTAACATAATCATTGTTGACAACAACAACATCATCATCATCAGAATCACATTTCCTGTGAAATATTTTTCTCTGTGTTTTTTTTTATAAATATAAATCTCTCTATATATTGTTATGGTGATTTCTTTTTTTCCCATCACATCTTTAAGTAAAATTCAATAATAATATCGAGTGAATGTCTTTTTATTGTGATCATTTTTTTTCTCTTCTTCCTGGAAAAGAACAAAAATTTTCTTCAATATATTGATAATTAGTGACAATTTTTATTCTTCTTCTTTGTTTAACCTGTTTTCCAACAATTGTCTCAAGCGAAAAAACCCCCCAACATATTAGACGAAATGTCCAATTTTCTTTCTTCTCCAATGTTATCATCTCATATTCTATTGGAATCTCTAGTTTTTACCATTGGAAATATTCTAACTGGGAGTGATTATGAATACATCAATTTCTAATTTGCATTCGTCATTCTTCAAGCCGGTAAATAATTGATTCTCTTTTCTCATCCAAGTAAATTATCGAGAGAAGAACAAAATTATCAATTAACATTGTCAATTATCCTCTTGTGAGCTTAAAGAATTTTTGGTTACATTGATTTCTATTCTATTCTATTCTGTGTCTAGAGAGAGAGAGGAAAAAAAAGAATCTCCATCATCATCATCATCATCATCCAGCAGAAAAGAGGAGCAAAAAGTAAAAAGATTGGAACTTTGGATTATCTTTTCTCTCCTTTTCTTCATCTCTACCACCACTATCATCGCCATTCTCATCATCTTTATCTTCATTGTGATCATCATTATTAGTATCTTTCTCTTTTGAACATTTTTCTTTTTCCTTTCTTCCTTTTCTTTTTTTTCTTTCCATCAACCATAGGGACTTTAACTATTGCCAGTTATCAGTCCCAAAAGGTTGATAAGAAAGAGGAAGAAGGTGAGAAGGAAGGAGAAAGAAGAAAGAGAAGAAAGAAAGAGATTGATAAAAGTGAAAAGAGAAAAAGAAGAAGAAGAAGAAGAATAAGGGGAAGTGGGGGTAAAAATAAGAGGGAAGAAAAAGTTGGAAATTATTGGGAAAAAATTGGAGAATCCAATTGTTATAATATAACCAAAGTGAAGGAGATTGAAGTGAAAATAGTGTTACCAAGATTCAAGGGGCAATCGGAGCAGCCAATATCCTCAAAAGATGGGGAATCAATTTGACCCCATCCAGAGGAGGTGGTCGATCTGGTCTTGGAGGAAGTGGTGGTGCCGGTGGTGGAGGTATCTCAGGTGGACCCAGTTCTCAGCCTTTTGGTGATCTTGAATTGACAACTAATTTTGGTAAATGTATTTATAGTGTTGATCATCGTCATTATCAATCAACCAAAGTTTCCACAAATAGTAGTAGTAGTAATAGTAATCCAATTAATACGAGAAAAGATTCAATTGCCGGAAGTGGGGAAAGTGGACCTTCCAAATTATCAACTCCTTCTGCCTCCGTTTATTCAAATCTTAGTGCCATTCGTTCATCTTCCACTGAGGCTCATTCCAAAGAACATGCTTGTTCACCTTCTACCTCAACGGGTCATCATTATCATCATGAAACAGGAGCATCATCACCATTAACAGCAAATGATAACAATAATAATCTAACAGATAATTCATCAAATATTGTTACAACTTGTAATAATAATAATAATAATAATAATTCATCATCAGGGTCCAGAGGTAAACGAGCTGCACATAAATTGTTGAAAAAATTTGCCAAAAGTGCTTCATCATCAACGTCAGTGATTGTTGGACACTCTCATCAAGATGCTTCAGCATCAACATCGCCACTACCACAACCAACATCATTACCGACAACAACCTCATCTCAATTAAAGAAAAGCTTATCATCAACACTTTTAGCAACTCAATCTTCCATAAAGTAAGTGAACAGAATAACAAAAGATAACAATTAATTAACATTGATCATTCCCTTTATACTACAACTGTAAACAGTAATATCTCTCTGTATACAATTATAATATCAGTCAAATCAATTAATCATTCAACCTTTTCTCAAGACGATTGAATAAGTTGATCAAGTTAACACACAACATCATTTACCAGACAGAACACATTGAGAGAGAAACAGAGAAATAATAACAATTGCAAAGGTTTTCCAACGAATGCCAATCGATATTTTGTTTTTCTTTTACTTTGCATTTTCATCAAACACCATCACCTTTACCTCTCCCTCTTATTCCATTTTCTTTCTCACACATTCGGAGGAAGAGAGACTCTCTCTCTCTCTCTCTCTCTCTCTCTCTCTCTCTCTCTCTCTCTATTCTTTCACTCCAAGAATAGTTCATAATTTTACTCTTGCAACAATTAACTAATCCAGTTGATGACAACTTCATCAAGTTCACAAACTAAACAATTTGCATTAATAGCATTAGAAACTGCTTCGTTGTGTACTGCTGATGATAATCATTCATGAGAGAGAGAGAGAGAGAGAGAGAGAGAGAGAGAGAGAGAGAGAACAAAAAATGAATCAACGAAGCTTGTTAATCATATTATAACGCTTATAATACAATCATCAGATGGATTACTGTGGATTTGTTGAAAGAGAAGAAAAAGAAAAAAATTACATAGTGATAAAAATAATTGTAAACAGAAGATAAACTATTAATAACTATTGGAATAGTATAGAAAATTGAGAGAGAGGATTATCATCGAACAACTTATGACAATCCTAATCTTAATTTCTTATAATTGAGTTAGGACATTTTCCAATGTTTATCATTATCACCAAATCATTATCATTTCTCTCTCTCTCCATCAAATACTCTTATAATAGCTAAAGGATAAGGTTACAATTTGTATCTTAAAATAACAAGTTGAATCTCTCAATTTGATCTCTTAAATTACTTGCCAATTGTTTACAAATTCATATATTGATTATGATGCTTATTTTTACACGATAATGTAAATATTGGTTGACTCTCTCACTTTACTATTTTCTGTCATTATCAGTGATGTACTTGCAATCCTGATTAACTCAAACAATGGTTAACTACTACTACTATATAGTAGATATATTATATAATATAATCAACATGAAACCATCATGATTTCATGGTGAAAACTGAATCTCTAGAAGATGAAAGTTGGTACATAAATTGCATATATATAGTATATAATATATTTTAGTAACAGCTTGAATTCACAAAATTAAATGAAACGTAAACAAAGTAAAATAAGGTTACTACGCATCCGATGTTGATTACGTTTCTCCTTTCATTCAGACTTTACACCCTGTAACTTGTTAATCTAAATTATCTTTAACTATCTACTACAACTAATAACTACTGTGTGTTAAAATAAATTATAAAAGTTGATTAATAACATTGATTTACTAATCTATTATTTACAAATTAACTTTTACTCTCTTGTAATATTTTACAGATGATTTAATGTTCAGGGGACGATAAAAATATTAATAACTATTAATATATTTACTTGATTAGTTAACAATCAAGTAACAATTGTTATTGTTTTTCAAGAGAATCAAATGATAATTGATACAGAACGATATTCACTTTATGATGAGAATTCCCTTTGTATTTGTATTAATATTGTGAATTTGATTTCTTATTGGGAATAATATTTGGTTTTTTTTTTCGTTTTTTTTTCATTACAGAAATTTAACTAGATCAGAATCGCGTGGATGTTTAATTCAAGAGGTTGAAGATGAACCTCATGGGAGAGACGATGGTGTAAATAATAGTAGAAGGGTTCGAGGTGGTGAGGGTGGGGAATGTGTTGGTGAAAATAGAGATGATTCTGGTTCTGGGGTTGGTGGAAATGACAGAGTTTCCGGGATACGAACTAATAATAGTGCAATTTATATTGGTGAGATGACCTCCGCGGGTGAAATGGGATCAGATGAGATAAACAGGGAAACCAATTCTCGAAGTGGATCAAACGCTATCAGAAGGTGCCTCAGTATGCTAACCCATGGTCCGAATTTGAGTCGTACGACCATGACCATAGTCTTTGTGAACGGGTTAGCATAAACGTGAGTGGGATGAAATTTGAAACAACCTTACGAACGCTCAATATGTTTCCGGATACACTTCTTGGTAATCCAGAGAGACGCACAAGGTGAGTAATAGATTGGAAACCTTTATCATGAAAAGAGACTGAATAATAATAATAATAACAATAGGAATTATTATCATTCATCTTGAACCTTTTATTGTTTCCTTTATTTGTGTGAAAAACAAAACCGGAAATTTAATTTAATTCAATAATTGATAACAATAATCCAGAAGAAATGTTATTCATTCAGACGATTGTGTAAAAATCTGAATCAATCTCCATCCAAAGATCAATAATAATAATACAAATGATGGAAATCAAAAGTCTCAATTAATCATTATCAGAATCTGAGCCAAGAATCAATAAATTAAGCTCTTTCTCTATCATAATTATCTATCTTATCATCCTCTTCATAGACATATTATCATCATCATCATTTTCTTTCCTGTAAATGTCAGCATTCTCACCGATCCCTATAATTATTATTGACAGTTAAACATTATCATTATCATTGTCAAGATAATTATCATAATCATCATTTAGATGCAAAAATATTCTGATGGTTTTGATTATGATTACACAATATCATGATAATAAAAAGATAACTCCCTGAGTGACTGATTTTATCATTACTAATACAATGTAGTTCACCAATGGAAAGATCAATTTAGTTGACAATTAGCGAAAGAAACAAAAAAAAATAAAATGATAATCTTAATAACACCGAGTTCCAAGTTCGCTTTTCCATGAGAAAATTATTTCTTCTTCATTTGTGTCTTTACCCTGGAAACATTTCCTTCTCATCATCTTTTCATCATGTAATCATAACTCCTTAAGGTAACCATTTATCATTACCGCAAAGAGCATAGAGGAGAGCGAGAGAGAGAGAGAGAGAGAGAGAGAGTCAACTAACCTTTAACTTGTGCTCTGAAGACACTGATGATGATAATGATGAAAATAACGACGATAAATGCCCTAAGACATCAACTACTAGCCTTTATACCCAAGATGATAATGAGTAAGAGAGATGAAGACAAGGAAGATAAAAGATGAAGGGAATACTTTTTGCAATAAGCAAAAGAACCAGAATTATATTGATGCTTTTATCTATTATTGAAAGAGAGAAGTTAAATTTTCCTTTTCCCAGTAGCATTCACCTTATCAGTTTTACCATTTACCTTGATAGAAAATGGAAGAGCCGATTTTGTATTCATTTTATTCAGGAAAATTGCTCCAAAGTAACCAGGAAGTTAAGAATTCAATAAGAATTCAAGAGTCTAGAAGAACATGAAAAAAAAGGTCAGAATAAAAGTTGATAGCAACTAATATTTTCTGTCCAAAATAACGATGCAATATGTAATAATAATATTTTCTTCTGGTAAAAAGAATTCGTATTATCAGCATTTATCATTAGAGTTCGAGTTTTTTCCTTCAGATTTTTCCATTGTATCATAATAACAAAGTTTCTAATTGTGTTGTTATACTTTTCTCTCTCCCTGTTATCAATTTCATAGGTATTTTGATTCTCAACGGAATGAATATTTTTTCGATCGATGTCGAATATGTTTCGATGCGATCCTTTATTACTATCAGAGTGGTGGTCGACTTCGTAGACCAGGTAATATACCTTTGGACATGTTTGTCGAGGAGATCAAATTCTTTGAACTTGGTGAAATTGCCTTTGGTAAATTAAAAGCGGATGAAGGTTTCGGCCAAGAGGAAGTTGAAAAACCACTGCCAGAGAATCCATTGCAACGTAAACTTTGGCTACTCTTTGAGCACCCGGAAAGCTCAATGTCGGCCCGTTATGTGGCCATCATTTCCGTTCTGGTGATCATTTTTTCCATTGTGATATTTTGTCTGGAAACAATGCCTCAATTTAAACATTACAAAATTTTTACCCGAGGTAATGCTACAAAGGTTGTGGAGGACGAAACCCCTTCCGTGACGGAACCATTTTTTATCATAGAAACTGTCTGTATATTTTGGTTTACTCTTGAACTTATCGTCCGTTTTTTAGCCTGCCCTTCAAAAATTGATTTCCTCCGGGTAAGTTGCATCACCTAACAATCAACTAACAATCATATTCCCAAATGCTTTTCACTTTTACCTGACATTCACAATTACCTTTGATTTGGACAATTTTCATTTTCTTTTATCAATCTATAAATATATCTATATATCTATCGATAGATATTCTGAAGAGTAAAGGTTGGATATTGAATTGGAAATTGCTGATTGTGATTAAATTTAATTGCTAAGTGATTTCGCTTAAATCATCAGAAAAAAAAAGAAATGATGATTTTTTTTTGATAATAAGAAAAGATAACTTATCAATCCTGTTTAAGTTGCATCTTTTTTTCCCCTTTCCTTTATGAGATGAACATGATAGAGTAATTTGATATGCTAATTAAGATCGAAACATGGTAATTAAATCTTTCTATGTAAATGATTCATGTTAATTAACAATCATCTCAATTGAAAATTTAACCAATTATACATTACGTTTTATACACTTAAAAGTATATGTATGATTTACCCAATCTTACCCATTGATAGTTGAAGTATTATCTCATTATTTTTCATGAGAGCTGGTGGATTGCATGATGAATTGTAACTAATAATAGGAATGATTATTAAGAGTAAATGATTTACCTGTGTGTTTCTCAATTGTTATTATTATTGTTACAAATAGTTTCAAGTCTTTCTCACAGGTAATAACACGAACTCAAGGAATTTAAGTTCCAATGGAAAGGATAACGATAAGTTGAGCCTTGATTTCGTTATAAATCAAAGACTGAATTCAAGAATCAGACTGAAATTTAAATTGATCTTTTTCGTGCCAACGAATAACACTCAATCATGCTAACGATTAATGATCTATTTTGATTGAAAATTTCATGGTTCAAATTTATTCCTACGGTGAACTTTATATTGTCTTAACTCCCATAAGTAACCTTTGTATTTATATTAATAAGAAACATTTAGGATAATAAACTAATTGTTTGGTCTATCATTATCAGTTGATTTGTGGTAAACAACATTATTATTATTTCACAATAATAATAATATTGAACCTTTTTTTTTTGATATGGAAAGTGATTCGTTGCTTATTCAAATCTATATATATAATTTATTTTTAATATTAATCAATATCAGATTGTTATTCAGATTGAGAATTGTGATGAGAATGATATTATCATCTCCATCCTTTACTCATCTTCATCATTCATCAATAATGATAACAAACAAGTCAAATTTAATCCTAGATAAACATTGGAGTGACACTTTTCAATGTTTCTCAACTGTGAACAAAGTTATTAATATCATGTTATCAATTCTGGTTACATGAAACATGAGATGTAGAGGAGTGAAAGGTAAACAGTAAAGAGATGGAAAAAAAAAGTTTGAAACTAGAAAGAGAAAAGTTTATTACAAATTGAGAAAACCTGGAGGTATAATAAGAGTGAGAGAGAGAGAGAGAGATTCAAAATAATAGATTCATTCATTACATGATAACCATTAATTACTTTTTAACATCGTCATCAGTAGTAGCATCATCATCATGATGATCCACCAGAATCATTATCAGCCATCATTAGATTTTGATTCTCATTGATTTTTGACTAATCCTTGAATGTTTTTCGATTTTCTTGTTATCCTGTCTATTCATTTCCTATCTCATTGGTATATATCACTGAATTACACAGAATTGAAACTCTCTCTCTCACTCGCTCTTTCAGACTGACAAATGATGAAAATAACATTACACTGTTCATGGTTTGGTTAACTGAACTATCATTATAACAACAAGATCAGTATAGAACAAGAAACAAATAAAAAAAAGTTAAAATGAAGTTTAAGAAGAGCAGCAAAAAGATAAACAGAAAACAAAACAGAACAGAACAGGATAAGAAGTGAGAGTAGAGAGAGAGAGAGAATGAAAAAATTTCATGATAAAAGAAGTTCTAAAAATTTTTTGAATTCAATTCTGTCTCGTAACTAGAAGATGAAGAAAAAAAGTTCTTACTCAGGAAATAGACATGATAAAATTGTACAATAGGAGCAAAGAATGAATCAAAATGGCAATGATGAGAAACTATTTTCAAGATTTACCAACATAACAACAAAAAAATTCAATCATTTATATTATCATTATACATCCAGAGTATCAGTCATCTTCATCTTCATCTTCACCCTGACATCATCTTTATCTTCCAATAATTATCATCATTATTACAATTTAACTTTAACAATTGATGTAAGGATATCATAATAATGATATAATAACATCAATATTATTACAATTTAATGATTATAATCAACTAATTTGAGAGTAACATGAAGCATTCATTAGAATGAGAAATCATCATGCTCATGAAATCGTTTGAAAATTTGCCTCATCTTTCTCATTTTCATGATAATGATGCTAATAAAAGATTCTCAATTATTTTTTTCTCTATTTAATTGTATTGAAAGTCTAGTGTATTTAAGGTTTTCCCAAGTAAATCACCACCCAAACAACAACAACAAGAAAAAAAACTAAGATGAAATTTCAATAACATAAGAATCCATGATAAAAACATGATAGAAAAAAGTGAGTAATATACTTACATGGAAAGTAATTTTATCGATTGAATGACGAAGAGAGAGAGAGCACAGAACCAGGGGGTAGCTTTTATATAGTAAAAATTGCGAGAGAGAAAGAAAGAGAACTGAAAAAAAAATTCATTCGATTCTGAAAATATAACTCATTTCATTTCTCTCTCTTGAAATTTAGTGCTACTTTTGAATCACCTTTTTCTCTTGTTTCATTTGAACTTACTACTGAATTTCATGTATTCCCCTTCCATAGACAATACTAAAAACATCAATAAATATATTGCATTCCTCTTGTCAGAGAGAATCTCGTATTTCTATTGAAAAACAAATAGACAACCTTACGAATCTGAACCCATTGAACTTTTCCTTTAGTTCCAGTCATTCTCATCATGTTCTCTATCACATTTTCCGGTAAATTGATGAGAATACATTCTCATCCCTGACGACAGTTATACGTTCAATCTCAATACCAGAGTAATAGTAACACTAAATAAAGATGATGATAATAATAATAATTTATCAGAAATTGAGCATTTTCCTGGTTTATAACATATTAGTATATAATCAGAGATGGAAAACAATTTGAAATGAAATATTCAAATTGCATTCACCATTTATTATATATTATTATTGTTCTTACAATTTAGAATTTTTTATTTGTCATATTAATATTTTTCGTTAGGATTTTAGACTTGGAATTGAAATTATTGTTATAATACTTTCTTTCCATGGGTTACAAGTATTTCTGAGTCTTTTTTCCCCCTGGAAGCCTCTTAAAACCTATTCGTCTAATAATATCTCTCTCTCACTCTCTGTATAAATCATAAATGTCTCTGTATTTACATGTGAAGCATTCTTATCATGGTGATAATCATCATCATTATCAACTTGATGATGAGTAAGATTATGATGATGATGTTGATTGAACATGAAGAGTATCAAATAGAAATCGTGATTTGAAGTGAAAAGTAGAAGCTAATTTGAAAGAGTTTACCTCTCTTCGCATGTGACCAGGATTTGAATACATCTACTTTACACTTTCTCTGTACTTCTAACCATCTCTACCATTTATATATCTTATCAAGGTTTTTTTTATTTATTCTCAGCATCCTCATCTTTTTCAATCCTTCTGAGACTTATTTCTCAACTCTCTCCATCTTTCTGGTTCTTTTTTTTTTGCATCATGACTCAAAATTCAGTGACATTTTTCATTGCTTCATTTTATTTTATTTTTCTCCATGCTACTTTTATATACGTATACATATATCCTTGTTGTTGGTTTTTTTCTTATATAAATACAATAATATCTCAATATATATTTCAACCTCTTACATGAGATTTAAGATTCTCAACTTTTGATCGTATTCAGTTATCATTGGAACGATTTTTTCTTACCTCTCAGCTTATTCTGATGTATAATATTATCTTGACTCCCAGGAAAACAGTTACCAGAATATATATCAGGATATATTCACTCTGATGCCTTGAGATTTACCTGAAATGATATCGTAACGGTGAAAATGTCAAATTTTTCTTGGATAAACCAGCATCTTAATCTTGATCCTCTCTCTCTCTCTCTCTCTCTCTCTCTCTCTCTCTCTCATCGGCCATTTTCCTCTTGTATTAATATCTTGTCTATGAAAGTTATTCTCTGACAATGATGATAAAAATAATAACATTTTTATATTTTCTTACCTTGTTTACCTGAACCATGAAAAAGTTGAATCAACTTGTTATAAATTGATTACTGTTCATATTAAAAGGTAACTTCAATTGTTACAACAACAACAACTGAGGATAATAATATGAGACTGACGATTTAATAATATAAAGTTAAATGGATTGAAAAAAGATGAGTTGATTTGATTATCATTTTTATGATGATTATCATGATGATGATTAAAATTAATATTTTCTTTATCGGTAAAATTATAATTTTAAATTGTTGTATCCATAACAATTTGATAACTTTGATAACGTATACATATTATTAACTTTACCATTTCGTTAATATAATTGAACCATTGAAAAAATTAATTCTATTAGTTAATTATAGTCACAATTTAACAATCATTTTTATTGTCGTTGATATTTTCCTATCAAAGTCTACCATTAACATTTAGACAAAACTTATAATCAACTAATCATTAAAGATTGATAAATTGTTACAATTAAATGATTGTTAATATATTGGGTTGAAAATACTTTTCCACCTTTTATTATTATTAAATGTTACATTTTAAGGTTGACAATTATGGATCACCCTTTTTTTAATCATGTTGAAGATTATTATTATTATCGTTGATTATGGTAATTAAGATGATAGTAATTTTTTGTTTTCTAACATCTCAATTAGCATTAAATTGGGTTATCAGCCTTTGATTTTATATAATATTTGAATCCTTTTCTTGTTCAGTTTTGATTATGATAATAATTATATACCAACTTTTAATTGTTCACAAATGATTTAGTTAATCACAAATGTTTATCGAAATCAATTCAATATCTGTGTCAAAAAAGTAACATTGACTTTTTTTAATGGTCAAGTTTGATTTTTCACTGGTCAGTAGTTAACTTCATCTCTTGATGTAGTTAATTGTCTCCAAAGATTTTATTAATTGCTCTCTCTCTCTCTCTCTCTCTCTCTCTCTCTCTCTCTCTCTCTCTCTCTCTCTCTCTCTCTCTCTCTCTCTCTCTCTCTCTCTAAGCCTGTTGCCCAATCTATTAATATCCTGATAGATTTTGTCTTGTAATTTATCATTAATACTTGTGTATATTGTATAACACTAATCTAATTGGATAAAGTCATCAAAGTAGCTCAATCTCTCCTTATTATTATAGTTTATCCATCATCTCAATGGAAGATAAAAGTTCATCATGATAATCATGATCATCCTAATCATCAATTTGATCCTACTTTTAATGGTGGTTAAATCAAATTGGCTCAACTTAACATGGGAAATCTTATATACTTTAGTTAACTTTTTATTTCATTTACACAGTTTATCCTCAGTTTATTGGTATTTCCGTTTCCATTGTAACCATTGATATATCATCAACATCATTATTATTATCATGAATATTAAGTAAGGGAAAGAAATAGGATGTTGATGGAGATTAAGAAACTTTCCATGATGATTGTGATGAAGAGGCGGAGGAGAAGATGATGATGATTAGAATGATAAGAAAAAGAAGAGGAAAAAATCAGGAAGAACAAGAATAAGAAAAATAATCGAGGAAAAAGTTTATTTCGTTACCAATTGTTGACCAGAAAAATCACTTTTCCTATTTACTTGAAATGATAATAATTCAATGGAATAACATTGAAATGATCAAATTCGTTGAGTTAATCAGCATCTCAATCGTTAGACTAGAATGAAAGTTGAATGTAATAGAAGATGGAAGATGAATTTATCTTCACTCTGTTCCTTGTTCTTCTCTCACTCTCTCTCTCTCTCCATGAAAATGTCTTCACCTTATTTTCATCATTACCATTTCATGGTACATGTTCAATTGAACCAAAGATTAACTGAGTATATTTCAAGATGAAGTAGAAAAGTATATAAGACAGAAAGAGAGAGAGAGAGAAAGGATGAGAAGAGCAAAAAGAAGATGTAATCTTACTTCGACATAGAGACTAAGATGAGAGAGAGAAAACGAATCACCGAGAGAAGACAAAAATAACATTAAGTATCAATGAAGAAGAAACAAAAGAAGATGATGACAAAAATTCTTAAGGTATCAATCAAATGTATTCTAATTTGCGTGCTATTCATGATGCAAGGAAATTCTTGGCTCATCTTGTTCAGCTTCACCTTGTTCACTCATTTAATACTTCGTCTCTCCTCATCATCATGAAAAGTTTCACATTCACTTTTCATACCTTTACACTTTGCTATTTTATTTGATCATCCTCATCTTCATCTTCATCCTACATCATCATCATCTCTTGCCTCCTCCTCATCCACTCATCTTTCAGGTTAAATCGATATATCGATAAGTTTACCGACTATTCTTGAAGATGATGAGCAAGGTTATATTATGATGATGATGATCATCATCATCATGAGTATGTTCATGATAATATTCAATGTGAACTGATTCTAGTTATTTTTTTTCTCTCTCTCTCCTCTTTCCATGATTCAGTTTCCATTGAATCCTGAAAGTATCTCTTTCTTTTCAAGTGTCCATCTCATTTGTCTTCTTGATTTCTATCCATTTATCATTCTCATTGTAACACAATGATTATTGGAGTTTAAATCGTTGGAAACAATTTAATCGTAAATCTCATTCATTATGTTGATTCACAATTGATTTGACAATTTAAATTATTTCACAATCAATCAATCTTCAACTCACTCCTACAACTCAAGTTAATGGAGTTTTGTCACCATGATAAATTCAGTGTTTAGATTGACAAATCTTGTATAATATAATATTTCATATTCAGATCGATGATGATAATAACTTTGTTTTGTCAATATTTCATACATTTATATATATAATGTATCTTATGATGTTTGATAAAAGTTCATTTGGATCATAGATGAGAGAGAGAGAAACTCAGAAAGTTATCAGAATTTTACTTTTGCAAAACTCATCAATTGTTATACAGAATCGTAAGGGAAAATATTAATACAAGTGAATGATAATTTCAAGAATAGATTTGAATTTCAACTCGTAGGCCCAAATACTCACAATACTTGTGTCAACAAGGGGATTTTGTATCTTCATCTTTTTGCCACTTCCATCCGATCCTCTGGTGAAGTTTAATATTGAGCCAGTTGTATTGTATTTTCAATATCATCTTCATCATCTTCATTTTCTTATGATGAATACTTGGTAACCAAAATCAGGTTTATCTTTTTTTTTCTTCATCATCTCATCTGCATCATTCCCGAATCCATTATCTACATGATGATGATCATCATTAACACCACTCACTTTGAATGAATGTTAACAATGATGATGATGATGTCGACAAAACCAGGAAAGGAAAAGTTCACACTTTTCAACATCATGAACACCTGATGTTGATTCAATTGTTAGTTAATTCATTCTGGACTCTCAGCTTTTCATGTATATTAACATGGTGATGAGTAGATGAGATATTCATTCACACACAGAGTATATTCAGTTTCCATTAGAAAAAAAAAACAAAATTTTTCTAAGCAAACAATGAATTCTGTCAATGTTACTTATGATTATGTAACAAGAAACTTTACAAGATGAAGAAAAAATGGATTTTGTTACTTACCTGTGATGAGAAAAAAACCAAGGTGATTACCTGAACCTGAGATTAATACCATAATAATAAAAAGGGTCAACATTTAGATTCTGTGAAATGAAAGTTCTGAGTGAATCTCATGTAAAATCAGCAAAATAATTGTTAAAGTTTATCGATCCATTTCGGTTACTCTCAATTTCCTCTTATTTTGTTAAAATGAATTTAATTGAATATTCAATTCCAATTGTAGTTGATCACTAATTTCTTAATCTCTCGAGACTAATCCGTTATAATTATTGTGAAATAAATACTGATATTATTCTGGATGATTAAACAGCTGAGATTCATTATTTAGGATCAAATTAATTCTGATCGTTAGGACTGTAACTAAAGGTCAATGGGTCATTTAAAATGATCATAAAAAGTATAATCATCTAAAAATAACTAGTTAATTGTTGTAAATGATCATCAAAGTAAAATATTCATAATTAATAACATTACCATCATGAAGTAAAAAATCTAATCGTTCTCATTAACGATTATAATGAGAACCTTTCAATCAAGACTGAGCCAGAATAATGTATCAACAGTATTTTGGTAGTGAAAAACTCAACCGAAAATCCCAAAGGCCGAAAAATAGTACGAAATGATGTGAGCACCCGAACATGGAGAAATTCTGATAAAATCATGATTAGTCTGCGCGAGCGTATTAAGGCCAATTCCGAGAGAGAAATAAAGAGAAGAATAGAAAGAGATAGGAAATTATAATAACATGAATTCTATTTACATGTGTACATATCTTCTGAATATCAAGGTATCCGAATTTCAATAAGTGCAAAGAGAGAATGTGCCAAGTCCAATATTTACCGTTAGATCACAGGTATTGGGAGAAAAGACATTTGAATGAGAAAGATTTCTGATTCCAATACATTTGAAAGAATCGAAGTCTTCAAGCCGCCGGTATAAAAGTTTGTTAGAACTGCTTGTTAATTAATTATATTGGATTCGTAAATGTAAAAGTTGAGTCAATTTAACTCCGAGTATTATAATAACTTTCATATTCCTCATCATTCTCATTAATGTTAATTGCATGGAATATTTTATTTTCCCTCCCTGATTCATTTACTATCATGGTTATAATGTTTTCACTTTACTTACTTACTTATTAATATATAAGAAAATGAGATGATAAATTAAAGGTAAATTGTATTGTCTAACTAATACATTACTCCCTCCTCTCTTGTTTATTAGATATTATTACCTTTTGATAAAATGGAAAAGAACAAAAAAAAAATCTAATATCATATTTTCTTATTCTTTTCTTTTATATTTTCTCGATATCATTGGAACTTTGATTAACTCTACTTTCGATATCGATACTAGGATATAATGAATGCCATCGATTTTATGGCGATCGTTCCGTACTTTATAACACTTGGAACTATTTTTGCCGAGGATAAGGAAATGGATAAAAGAAAGTTTAGCAGTGAGAAACAAAGCCAGGCCATGTCACTGGCCATTCTTCGGGTTATCCGATTGGTCCGTGTCTTCCGAATATTTAAACTTTCCCGGCATTCGAAGGGTCTTCAGATTCTTGGGATGACCTTAAAATCATCTTTACGGGAATTAGGTCTTCTAATATTTTTCTTGCTCATTGGTATAATACTCTTCTCATCGGCGGTCTATTATGCCGAATCGGGATCTGAAAGGTCCTATTTTAAATCCATTCCTGATGCATTCTGGTGGGCCTTGGTTACGATGACCACTGTAGGTTATGGTGACATGGTTCCACTTTCTTTCTGGGGTAAAATTGTGGGCTCTCTATGTGCCATTGCCGGTGTTCTTACCCTTGCCCTTCCAGTTCCCGTTATTGTTTCCAATTTTACCTATTTCTATAATCGTGAAATGGTACAAGGTGATTTAGAATCAACAAATGAAAAATTCGTAAAGGGTTGTCCATATTATTATCTCGAGGGTCATCATGTTAAATGGCGAGAAACCATGGAAACGGAAACAATTTCATCCAATTCAAGTTCAACTGTTGATTTTATCGGTCAAAGGGAAGACAGTGTTTATAAAAGAGCCCATGGTGGATCAATTGTCAGTAAAGGTGATAATAATGATAATAATAACGGTGGAAATAGTTGTAAACGGAAACGGAAAGGAAAAGGTGAAAGTCGCAAAGAATCACGTTGTAAAGCTGTTGATTGTAATGGCGAAGAGGAAGATGATGAGGAAGATGAAGATGATATCAATGAAGTTACCAGGAAACTAATCACAAGCATGGAACAGATTAAATGATCAAACTAATCATTAAAATTAACGAAAACGAAAGCACAATTTACATTAAAGGGAAGATAATTAAAAGAATCCATAATCAACAAAAAGGAAACAAATGTGAAACCAGAATTATAACAATTGATGATCAAGTAATAATACAATTTAAAAGAAAATTAAACAATTCGACAATAAATCAACTAATAGTTACCATTGAAAATTAATTAACACAAAAAATATTGATTGTGAGACCAAATCCTTTTTCTGTATAAAGAAATCAATGTCTCTTTTTTACTCTAATCATTAATTTATTTTTTCTTCCTCTCGATTTATTTGTTGATCTTTTCCCTCGTTTTTTCATTTTGAATTTTCTTCTTTTTTCCTTTTTGTCTCTTTTTTTTTACCAAAAATCAATAATTTGTCTTCTAACAGATCAACTAATTGTTTGGAAATTAATAAGCTTGTTACAAACAATAACAATTAATCAAATCTGTGAACTGATTAATTAGAAAACTAAAAAGAGAATTAATCAAATTAAAATTACCTCAAGTGTTCATTTATTTAATCTCTCTCGCTCTCTCTCTCTTTCTAATGGACTTAATTGTGATCATTAGGTGAACAATTAAACATTTATTTGCATCATTTGTGTTTTCATTACGAGAAAAGTTAATTAGAGTGATTAGATTGGTTTTAATTTGTTATTTTCTTTATTCATTTCTAACAATTAGCTAAACGAAAAAGGAAGGTTAATTACTAAGGCACATTCCAAATAATTAAAGTTGTTAAAATCTATTGATTGTTGTTGATTAATGTTTATCGGTGTTAATTGTGTTTTGTTTTGTTTAATCATCAAAATCAATAATCGTTTTTCATCAAATGATATGAAATTTTTATAATAATATTATGATAATAAAATATATCCCAAGATTATTTCCAATTTTGATAATTCATTAATTATTTAGATCCTATTGATATTAAGATAAATTGTTCATTCAAGTATTAGATGGACAGTTGATTAATTAATTGACTTGTTTAATTTAATAGACAAAACCATAGCACTCAGTAGTAGGTAAATTTGATTGTTTTTGTTTGTTTGTTGATTGTTGTTCATCAAAAGTAGTAGATTTAGAAAAAGATTAACGTCCAATTGAATATTAAATTAAATTATATCATTAAAAAGTTTTTCTCAAAATTCAATCTACTAATATAAAAGTAGATTAATTCATCATTCACCAAAATATGATGATTAACGTTAATAACATCACGAGGAGAGTGAGATGATAATGATGATGATGATGAAGATGTACGAAGACGGAAAAAAGAAAGACAAGAACAAAAAGAGAGAAGGGAGAAAGAGAAAGAGAAAGAGGAAAAGGAAGAGGAAAAGAGAAAGAAAGAAAAGAAAGAAAAAGATGATGATAGTAATGATTGAGAGATCAAATTCGTTATCCATTGCACCCAATTGATTTTCGGTGATTCCATTATCATTGAAAAGTTGTTTATTTCTGTCGATTAATTATTATATCTCATAATAATAATTCGTCCTTATTTTGCTAGACCAAATTCTCTAGCATCGTCTTCAGTATTATCTCCATAGATCAAAAACTAGTCTCTTCTTTTCGCCTCTTCTTGAGCGCTTTTGAATGTCGATAAACTCTTGTTGAACTTGGTGTCTTTCCTCCTCTCACGAATACTATTCTTCACCATAAAGTAACCTTGTTTTACTAAATTGACGCAACCGTTTTCTTTACTTTCCACATCAATTAGACTGACCATCTCCACAGGTACTCCGTTCACACTGTCCGCATACTCTTTCTTCACATAAAACTCTTTGCCAATTATATTGTTCTCGAAAGCTCCTTTCGCATCGGCCAAAGCTTCACTGTCATTACTTGGTAATGTCATGAACGCCAATCCATATAATGTCGCTGCAGCCGGGAAACTGTTTATTGAGTAATCAGCCGATGGTAAAGGTGCCAAATGCTCCTGTGAAACCTCCTCACAGTTACCATAATCAATGAAGAAAATATCTGCCGTTTTCTTGGCCACGTTTAATTTATCAATCTTTCCTCAGTACCATCGCCCATCCACATACTTTACACACAATATCTCCTTCTTAAAGGTCACTGCTAACGGTGTCGGTGGATTTTGTTTCAAATCTCCTCTCATTGAATCCAAAAGAGCTTCTAATTTTTCACCTTGTTTTATGTGTTGAGCATAGAAACCCGACAAATCGCTATTACTTTCTACGACTACAACTTTCTCCAATTTCGAATAGTCTTCACTAACACTTTCTTTCTTTCCTCCTTTGCTTTTCTTTTTACTCTCGCCACTCGTTGTTTTCGTTGTTGTCAATGTTGTCGACGAGTTTTCGCCCGTTGTTCCGGACGATGTGCTTTCAATTCCATTCGCATTATTTTCATCATTCATCGTTGATTTATCCTTTTTCTCTGGTATTATTGTTGCTCCTAAAGCAGGTAAGTCTCTGTCGGAATTGTCGATTCCATCTTCACGTTCATCATCTTCTTCATCTGATGAAACGTTTTCATCTCCATCTTCATCTTCTTCGTTTTCTAAAAACAATAAAGAGAAACAAAATCATCCAATTAATTTTTTTCATTTTTTTCTCATAAAAAACAACAACAACAACAACAACTAACCTTCAGGAACCCATTCAGCCCATAGTCCAATCTTTTCTTTCTTTGCTTCTTCTTCCGCTTTAATCATCTCTCCATCACGAGCATCTCGTATTGTTGCCAATCCTTTCTCGATCAGTGTTAGTGACAAGTTTTTCCAATTTCCACCTTCCACCTCGTAATAAACATAACCAATAAAGTTTCCCACTTTATCCATATTCTCAACACAAACTTGTACATCTCGTTGGTGAACCAAACTCTTGACCAATTCAAATCCTTCTTGGCCATACTTTGATTCACTTGCTTTGTCCGCGTTTATACCACCAACAATCAAGTTAATCAAACAATTCTCCTTCGGTATAAACACCTTTATCCGAGAAGACGAGTAAACATGTTCCACACAACCATCTTTACGAACTCCCATCGATCCGCTTTTTATCAAGAAAGGCATAAATGACTTGGCTTTACTTGAATCAAACGACAAATCAACAATCTTCTTTGCTTGTCCTTCTTTACCATGTAATCCTTTCTTTGCCTTTTCAGCCTTCATCTCTCCGTCCATTAGAAGGTCATAATTTGTCGCTTTCCTCTCCTCGTCCGCTCGATACTTGACCACAGTCGCCAATCCACGGGAAACCAGAGCCTCCCCAATGTTCACATTTCCCAGCATCACAGTGGCACAAGTTTTCTCCGGGAAATTCTCGTTCTTTGGTTGAACATAGTCCACAATTACCTTGACTGTTTTACCAATCAGCTTTTTCCTCAAAAACTCTCGCGCTTCAAACATGTAAGGTGTATCATACAGAGCTCGAATCTTTTGATCCGGTGCTACATCCGCTCGACGTGGTGGTGGACGAATAGATGCTAAAAACACCTTCTTGACCACTTTTTCTTTATTCGTCAACACATTCAACGCATCCCCGTTGATTATCTCGATCACTTTACCATCAAATGTCTCCTTTCCATTGTACATTCCATTGGCACCACTTCCTCCAACACCACTCTTATTACCTTCACCTCCTCCTACTCCCCCTGCTCCTCCTTTACCTTCATCGCCTCCCTTGTAGTCTTTCCAAATCCTCAAACGCTTCGATTTGGCCTCTGCTAAAGCCGATCTGTAGGCTGCTGGGTCAGGCACCAGTTTCAATGTCGCATCGATTATACTTGCATACCCTTCCTTCAACAAAGCCACCGCTATATTGTTGGCCAAGTCACGACCTCCAAACACCGATCCAAACAAAATTGGATTGTCTCCCGTTCGTTGCAGTGACTCTATTTTCACCATAACGTCTCGTTGTAAAAGTCGACTCTCCACAATAAATTTACTCTCCTCCACCAATGATGAGCTTTCCGGACGACACTTTATCCCAGATAATCGCAATGTTATCATTTGCCATTCTCCTTTATCCTTGGACATGCAAAGCGCTATCCTCATTTGATCCGCACTTTGAACATATTCAACTATTGCATTCTCTTTGAAACTTTTACCCTTCAAAGATTCCGCAGTCTCAGCGCTCACTTCTTGCAATACACTTCGTCTCTTGAATGATCTCTTCTCACCCACTGGACACCATTTTCCTTTCTTCCCTTCTTTTGCTGCTTCCTCCAATTCAATCAGACGCTTATACACCAATGATTCCTCATTCTGGCGACGTTTAATTACTTCAACTAAACCTTCTTCAACCAGTCTCTCGTTCAGTGAATATTCATCTCCATCCACATAAACCAGACCACAGTCTCGATTTCCACTTGGTCCAATTGGTACCGAATACAATTTCTTGAAAATTACTTCTTTCCCCACTAAACGTTTCCGTAAATATTCACGAGCTTCAAACGCACCAATATCTTCAGGAACTTCTTCCTTATTTCCACTTTTTCTACCCATTTTTGGAGCAACAATCCAACAATCCAACTTGCATCTCTTCAGGATCCTCCGTGGCTTATCACGTATAATCATACAATCACCAGAGAACCTAGATATCATCACAATGAACATGTTATCAATCATCATATTGATAGCGATTCAACGTTGTCCATGTGGTATCATCAAGTATCAGAAAAACAAATACAATTAGAAACATTACCATAGAATATTCAAAAATTAACAATTTGCAACACTAAACCGGTCAACAGGTAAGTTACTAAGCCGACAGCTGTTTACTTTTACACCGTCGGCAATTAATTTCTTACTTATAATCAACAACTAATTGATATTTTAAAGGCTAATAAACATACCTGTTTAACGATCCTTCTAATCGCCGGAGTCTCAGCCATGATTCAATCCAACGTTTTTAGGTTGATTTTAACAAACACCAATTCGGATAAGGGTAACTCGAAAGGAAGGCGATATCAATGACGATAAGTTAATAACAAAATATATATTCCTTTTGGTGGCTCCTTGTTTCTCAAGAATCAATAATAAACGTAAATAAGTAACTGTGAGAGAAAAAGGAAAGAAAAGAACAAAATTTAAATCAAATCAAGACAAATTGATACAATTACAGTTGGATGTCTAAAGCATGGGCTTCAAGACCACCCCTGCTCCTCCTTTACCTTCATCGCCTCCTTGTAGTCTTTCCAATCCTCAAACGCTGATTTGGCCTCTGCTAAAGCCGATCTGTAGGCTGCTGGGTCAGGCACCAGTTTCAATGTCGCATCGATTATACTGCACCTTCCTTCAACAAAGCCACCGCTATATTGTTGGCCAAGTCACGACCTCCAAACACCGATCCAAACAAAATTGGATTGTCTCCCGTTCGTTGCAGTGACTCTATTTTCACCATAACGTCTCGTTGTAAAAGTCGACTCTCCACAATAAATTTACTCTCCTCCACCAATGATGAGCTTTCCGGACGACACTTTATCCCAGATAATCGCAATGTTATCATTTGCCATTCTCCTTTATCCTTGGACATGCAAGCGCTATCCTCATTTGATCCGCACTTTGAACATATTCAACTATTGCATTCTCTTTGAAACTTTTACCTTCAAAGATTCCGCAGTCTCAGCGCTCACTTCTTGCAATACACTTCGTCTCTTGAATGATCTCTCTCACCCACTGGACACCATTTTCCTTTCTTCCCTTCTTTGCTGCTTCCTCCAATTCAATCAGACGCTTATACAATGATTCCTCATTCTGGCGACGTTTAATTACTTCAACTAAACCTTCTTCAACCAGTCTCTCGTTCAGTGAATATTCATCTCCATCCACATAAACCAGACCACAGTCTCGATTTCCACTTGGTCCAATTGGTACCGAATACAATTTCTTGAAAATTACTTCTTTCCCCACTAAACGTTTCCGTAAATATTCACGAGCTTCAAACGCACCAATATCTTCAGGAACTTCTTCCTTATTTCCACTTTTTCTACCCATTTTTGGAGCAACAATCCAACTTAATCCAACTTGCATCTCTTCAGGAGCTCCTCCACGTGGCTTATCACGTATAATCATACAATCACCAGAGAGAACCTAGATATCATCACAATGAACATGTTATCAATCATCATATTGATAGCGATTCAACGTTGTCCATGTGGTATCATCAAGAGTATCAGAAAAACAAATACAATTAGAAACATTACCATAGAATATTCAAAAAATTAACAATTTGCAACACTAAACCGGTCAACAGGTAAGTTACTAAGCCGACAGCTGTTTACTTTTACACCCACGTCGGCAATTAATTTCTTACTTATAATCAACAACTAATTGATATTTTTAAAGGCTAATAAACATACCTGTTTAACGATCCTTCTAATCGCCGGAGTCTCAGCCATGATTCAATCCAACGTTTTTAGGTTGATTTTAACAAACACCAATTCGGATAAGGGTAACTCGAAAGGAAGGCGATATCAATGACGATAAGTTAATAACAAAATATATATTCCTTTTGGTGGCTCCTTGTTTCTCAAGAATCAATAATAAACGTAAATAAGTAACTGTGAGAGAAAAAGGAAAGAAAAGAACAAAATTTAAATCAAATCAAGACAAATTGATACAATTACAGTTACCGGATGTCTAAAAGCATGGGCTTCAAGACCATGGATTGGCTTAGAGTATAAGATTCAACCGATCGGTTGTTGGTCTCAACAAAGTAAACAGAACCATAATGGTAAATATTTAAAGCAATTCAAATTAATTACCTGAAAGTGTTGCGATTAATTAGGAAGAAAGAAACAACCTTGTAAAGAGTAACAATAAATTTAAAAATGGTCTCATTCAGCTTTTACCTTAACAAGGCAAATATTATGGATACAATACACATGCACTAGAAGAAGGGATTACCAGAAGAGAGAGAGAGAGAGAGAAAGGAGTGAAGATGAAGAGAAAGAGAAAAAGAAAAAGAAAAAGACTAACAATGATACTTGTAGAATTTTTTTTTCACAAATTAATTGTTCCAAATAATTAAAATCAATTTGGAAAAATTAACTGTTATAGTTATTGGAAGTCAATCCGTGAAAAGAAACAAGAAATTAACAAGTGGTGATGATGATGCTCCAATTGTGATGATCCGTTTACAAGCAACGTATACAGAAAAAAAAGTTAAATCATGGAGGAGCAAAAGAGAGATAGAGAGAAAGAGAGAGAGAGAGAGAGAAAGATGAAGATGAAGATGAAGATAAGAGAAAATGAGAATTTTAAAAAGAAACAAATAAGCAAAGAGTAACAGTTTTTTTCTAACCATCAGCTTAACATTAAGGTAATTACGTTGAGTGCTAAGTTTATAAAGCGTGTACAGTAGGTGAGCTACATGATCTACTAGATTATCCTAAACTCGAGGTAAGTTCCGTTTCCGAGACCTTCATCAAAGTGTCTCAACAATACTAATCATTAAATCAACTCTCTTTCTTTCTCTTTCTTTTCAACAATTAGAATTAGAAAAAAAGTGTTGCGTCCATGGATGTGATATCTTAATTTGGATTATCCATTGTTAAATCTACATTAATCATCTTTAAATCTTCTTCATACTCAAGTGAAAATGAGGAATATTTTTTGTATCATTTGTTTACCTTTTTTCATTCTTGATCATTTCAACGAAGTCATGAGATCTCGAGTAGAAACCATCAGATGACAACCAAACTGATGAAATGCTCCCCAAAAATTGGACCAAAGTCGCTACCAGGACGGACAAGTAGCGGTGCGATAATGCGCCTATTCTGCTCGATTAAACTAATCAGAGTTTTAGTATTGTAAAGACGTGCATCCGAGTCAATTGAGAAATAGTAATCAGTGATTACTAATCACATGTGATTAACGGCAGTTAATCTTGTGTCAAGAATCTTGACTCAAGATTTTCCATAGCTCCAAGTTTCTTCACAAGGTTCTAATTACCGAACCCGCGACTCGGTAACGTTTTGTACGGAACGAATTGTGCTTCCACCTGGATCTCATCCTTTTCCCTAAGATAAGGAGAAATAATTTTAATTTTAATTTGATTAACTTTACCTGTGAATTTAAAATCAAATTTTGGATTATTTTTGTTCATCTTATCACAAGGATCCCGTTGGTATTAAAATTATGATAGTTATACAGTTACTTTAGTTGTTTTTGTTACTCTTAAACCTGATGCTTTTATTGCGTCGTAATAACTTCAACCATTTTGTTTTCTTGGAAAAACCTTATGAGTTGAACTATCATTGGACCTGATTTTCACCTTTGTAAGGATAACGCAACGAAGAAACCAAAAACCATACCCAAGGCCTCAGATGTCTTTCAAATTTAAACTCTAATCGAATTTCAACTGAAATCAAATTTAAACTTATCAAACGTAAAAATAAAAAAACAATCACTGTACCAAACTGAGCGGTTAGCTCAATGCCCGAAGGGCCACCTTTTTGGTGCTAAATGCTTTACCTCCAAGGAGGTTAATAAACGGAGAGATAAAACCTTATCGATGGTCACATCCAAGTGCTCTTTCTTGCTATTACTCTTTGCTTATTTGTTTCTTTTTAAAATTCTCATTTTCTCTTATCTTCATCTTCATCTTCATCTTTTCTCTCTCTCTCTCTCTCTCTCTCTCTCTCTATCTCTCTTTTGCTCCTCCATGATTTAACTTTTTTTTCTGTATACGTTGCTTGTAAACGGATCATCACAATTGGAGCATCATCATCACCACTTGTTAATTTCTTGTTTCTTTTCACGGATTGACTTCCAATAACTATAACAGTTAATTTTTCCAAATTGATTTTAATTATTTGGAACAATTAATTTGTGAAAAAAAAATTCTACAAGTATCATTGTTAGTCTTTTTCTTTTTCTTTTTCTCTTTCTCTTCATCTTCACACTTTCACTTCTCTCTTTTGCTCTCTCTCTCTCTTCTGGTAATCCCTTCTTCTAGTGCATGTGTATTGTATCCATAATATTTGCCTTGTTAAGGTAAAAGCTGAATGAGACCATTTTTAAATTTATTGTTACTCTTTACAAGGTTGTTTCTTTCTTCCTAATTAATCGCAACACTTTCAGGTAATTAATTTGAATTGCTTTAAATATTTACCATTATGGTTCTGTTTACTTTGTTGAGACCAACAACCGATCGGTTGAATCTTATACTCTAAGCCAATCCATGGTCTTGAAGCCCATGCTTTTAGACATCCGGTAACTGTAATTGTATCAATTTGTCTTGATTTGATTTAAATTTTGTTCTTTTCTTTCCTTTTTCTCTCACAGTTACTTATTTACGTTTATTATTGATTCTTGAGAAACAAGGAGCCACCAAAAGGAATATATATTTTGTTATTAACTTATCGTCATTGATATCGCCTTCCTTTCGAGTTACCCTTATCCGAATTGGTGTTTGTTAAAATCAACCTAAAAACGTTGGATTGAATCATGGCTGAGACTCCGGCGATTAGAAGGATCGTTAAACAGGTATGTTTATTAGCCTTTAAAAATATCAATTAGTTGTTGATTATAAGTAAGAAATTAATTGCCGACGTGGGTGTAAAAGTAAACAGCTGTCGGCTTAGTAACTTACCTGTTGACCGGTTTAGTGTTGCAAATTGTTAATTTTGAATATTCTGGTGTTTCTAATTGTATTTGTTTTTCTGATACTCTTGATGATACCACATGGACAACGTTGAATCGCTATCAATATGATGATTGATAACATGTTCATTGTGATGATATCTAGGTTCTCTCTGGTGATTGTATGATTATACGTGATAAGCCACGTGGAGGAGCTCCTGAAGAGATGCAAGTTGGATTAAGTTGGATTGTTGCTCCAAAAATGGGTAGAAAAAGTGGAAATAAGGAAGAAGTTCCTGAAGATATTGGTGCGTTTGAAGCTCGTGAATATTTACGGAAACGTTTAGTGGGGAAAGAAGTAATTTTCAAGAAATTGTATTCGGTACCAATTGGACCAAGTGGAAATCGAGACTGTGGTCTGGTTTATGTGGATGGAGATGAATATTCACTGAACGAGAGACTGGTTGAAGAAGGTTTAGTTGAAGTAATTAAACGTCGCCAGAATGAGGAATCATTGGTGTATAGCGTCTGATTGAATTGGAGGCAGCAAAGAAGGAAGAAAGGAAAATGGTGTCCAGTGGGTGAGAAGAGATCATTCAAGAGACGAAGTGTATTGCAAGAAGTGAGCGCTGAGACTGCGGAATCTTTGAAGGGTAAAGTTTCAAAGAGAATGCAATAGTTGAATATGTTCAAAGTGCGGATCAAATGAGGATAGCGCTTTGCATGTCCAAGGATAAAGGAGAATGGCAAATGATAACATTGCGATTATCTGGGATAAAGTGTCGTCCGGAAGCTCATCATTGGTGGAGAGTAAATTTATTGTGGAGAGTCGACTTTACAACGAGACGTTATGGTGAAAATAGAGTCACTGCAACGAACGGGAGACAATCAATTTTGTTTGGATCGGTGTTTGGAGGTCGTGACTTGGCCAACAATAGCGGTGGCTTTGTTGAAGGAAGGGTATGCAAGTATAATCGATGCGACATTGAAACTGGTGCTGACCCAGCAGCCTACAGATCGGCTTTAGCAGAGCCAAATCAAGCGTTTGAGGATTTGGAAAGACTACAAGGAGGCGATGAAGGTAAAGGAGGAGCAGGGGGGTAGGAGGTGAAGGTAATAAAGTGGTGTTGGAGGAAGTGGTGCCAATGGAATGTACAATGGAAAGGAGACATTTGATGGTAAGTGATCGAGATAATCAACGGGATGCGTTGAATGTGTTGACGAATAAAGAAAAGTGGTCAAGAAGGTGTTTTAGCATCTATTCGTCCACCACCACGTCGAGCGGATGTAGCACCGGATCAAAGATTCGAGCTCTGTATGATACACCTTACATGTTTGAAGCGCGAGGTTTTGAGGAAAAGCTGATTGGTAAAACAGTCAAGGTAATTGTGGACTATGTTCAACCAAAGAACGAGAATTTCCCGGAGAAAACTTGTGCCACTGTGATGCTGGGAAATGTGAACATTGGGGAGGCTCTGGTTTCCCGTGGATTGGCGACTGTGGTCAAGTATCGAGCGGACGAGGAGAGGAAAGCGACAAATTATGACCTTCTAATGGACGGAGAGATGAAGGCTGAAAAGGCAAAGAAAGGATTACATGGTAAAGAAGGACAAGCAAAGAAGATTGTTGATTTGTCGTTTGATTCAAGTAAAGCCAAGTCATTTATGCCTTTCTTGATAAAAAGCGGATCGATGGGAGTTCGTAAAGATGGTTGTGTGGAACATGTTTACTCGTCTTCTCGGATAAAGGTGTTTATACCGAAGGAGAATTGTTTGATTAACTTGATTGTTGGTGGTATAAACGCGGACAAAGCAAGTGAATCAAAGTATGGCCAAGAAGTTTGAATTGGTCAAGTTTGGTTCACCAACGAGATGTACAAGTTTGTGTTGAGAATATGGATAAAGTGGGAAACTTTATTGGTTATGTTTATTACGAGGTGGAAGGTGGAAATTGGAAAAACTTGTCACTAACACTGATCGAGAAAGGATTGGCAACAATACGAGATGCTCGTGATGGAGAGATGATTAAAGCGGAAGAAGAAGCAAAGAAAGAAAAGATTGGACTATGGGCTGAATGGGTTCCTGAAGGTTAGTTGTTGTTGTTGTTGTTGTTTTTTATGAGAAAAAAATGAAAAAAATTAATTGGATGATTTTGTTTCTCTTTGTGTTTTGAAAACGAAGAAGATGAAGATGGAGATGAAAACGTTTCATCAGATGAAGAAGATGATGAACGTGAAGATGGAATCGACAATTCCGACAGAGACTTACCTGCTTTAGGAGCAACAATAATACCAGAGAAAAAGGATAAATCAACGATGAATGATGAAAATAATGCGAATGGAATTGAAAGCACATCGTCCGGAACAACGGGCGAAAACTCGTCGACAACATTGACAACAACGAAAACAACGAGTGGCGAGAGTAAAAAGAAAAGCAAAGGAGGAAAGAAAGAAAGTGTTAGTGAAGACTATTCGAAATTGGAGAAAGTTGTAGTCGTAGAAAGTAATAGCGATTTGTCGGGTTTCTATGCTCAACACATAAAACAAGGTGAAAAATTAGAAGCTCTTTTGGATTCAATGAGAGGAGATTTGAAACAAAATCCACCGACACCGTTAGCAGTGACCTTTAAGAAGGGAGATATTGTGTGTGCAAAGTATGTGGATGGGCGATGGTACCGAGGAAAGATTGATAAATTAAACGTGGCCAAGAAAACGGCAGATATTTTCTTCATTGATTATGGTAACTGTGAGGAGGTTTCACAGGAGCATTTGGCACCTTTACCATCGGCTGATTACTCAATAAACAGTTTCCCGGCTGCAGCGACATTATATGGATTGGCGTTCATGACATTACCAAGTAATGACAGTGAAGCTTTGGCCGATGCGAAAGGAGCTTTCGAGAACAATATAATTGGCAAAGAGTTTTATGTGAAGAAAGAGTATGCGGACAGTGTGAACGGAGTACCTGTGGAGATGGTCAGTCTAATTGATGTGGAAAGTAAAGAAAACGGTTGCGTCAATTTAGTAAAACAAGGTTACTTTATGGTGAAGAATAGTATTCGTGAGAGGAGGAAAGACACCAAGTTCAACAAGAGTTTATCGACATTCAAAAGCGCTCAAGAAGAGGCGAAAAAGAAGAGACTAGTTCTTTGGATCTATGGAGATAATACTGAAGACGATGCTAGAGAATTTGGTCTAGCAAAATAAGGACGAATTATTATTATGAGATATAATAATTAATCGACAGAATAACAATCGAACAATAAGAGAAGAAAAAGAAGAAGAATAAACAACTTTTCAATGATAATGGAATCACCGAAAATCAATTGGGTGCAATGGATAACGAATTTGATCTCTCAATCATTACTATCATCATCTTTTTCTTTCTTTTCTTTCTTTCTCTTTTCCTCTTCCTTTTCCTCTTTCTCTTTCTCCCTTCTCTCTTTTTGTTCTTGTCTTTCTTTTTTCCGTCTTCGTACATCTTCATCATCATCATCATTATCATCTCACTCTCCTCGTGATGTTATTAACGTTAATCATCATATTTTGGTGAATGATGAATTAATCTACTTTTATATTAGTAGATTGAATTTTGAGAAAAACTTTTTAATGATATAATTTAATTTAATATTCAATTGGACGTTAATCTTTTTCTAAATCTACTACTTTTGATGAACAACAATCAACAAACAAACAAAAACAATCAAATTTACCTACTACTGAGTGCTATGGTTTTGTCTATTAAATTAAACAAGTCAATTAATTAATCAACTGTCCATCTAATACTTGAATGAACAATTTATCTTAATATCAATAGGATCTAAATAATTAATGAATTATCAAAATTGGAAATAATCTTGGGATATATTTTATTATCATAATATTATTATAAAAATTTCATATCATTTGATGAAAAACGATTATTGATTTTGATGATTAAACAAAACAAAACACAATTAACACCGATAAACATTAATCAACAACAATCAATAGATTTTAACAACTTTAATTATTTGGAATGTGCCTTAGTAATTAACCTTCCCTTTTTCTCGTTTAGCTAATTGTTAGAAATGAATAAAGAAAATAACAAATTAAAACCAATCTAATCACTCTAATTAACTTTTTTCTCGTAATGAAAAACACAAAATGATGCAAATAAATGTTTAATTGTTCACCTAATGATCACAATTAAGTCCATTAGAAAGAGAGAGAGAGCGAGAGAGATTAAATAAATGAACACTTGAGGTAATTTTAATTTGATTAATTCTCTTTTTAGTTTTCTAATTAATCAGTTCACAGATTTGATTAATTGTTATTGTTTGTAACAAGCTTATTAATTTCCAAACAATTAGTTGATCTGTTAGAAGACAAATTATTGATTGTCATGGTACCTCAAACCTAATTATTGATCAAACTTTGTTTCAATACGATTTGTGAAGTTTTGAAATTCGCGCCTCAAATTTCAATTGGTCAAATTTTCCAATTCAACTTGATCTCAATTTTATCAACAAGAATTTTTTTGATTTGGTTTTTAATTGTGAACCGGTGTCAATGTATTATTAATAGATTTTTATTCAATTCTTTTTTTTTACTTTAATTATGAAGATTTTTTCTTCAAATCTATTGATTAGTATTTCAATTATCTGCTTGATTTGTCTGGATCAATTGAATCTTGTTTCTGGATCACTTGCTTGTGGAGGATTCATAAAATCAATAGTAAATATTAACTATGCTCGTGTCTCTATTAAATTGTAAGTTGATTTAATTTTCTTCTGATTGTAATAACTATTTCCATTTATTGATTTTATTTTATTCTTTGTCCATGGTTAGATTAACTGCCAGTGGTAATCTTAAATATACCTCTGAAGGAGCTCCAAATAATGGTTACTATTTCATTCCTGTTTATGATAATGGTGATTATGTTTTAAAAGTTGATGCTCCATTTGGATGGAAATTTGAACCCAATCAAGTGCAACTTAAAATTGATGGTACAAGTGATCCATGTACTCAGGGTGTCGATATAAATTTCTCATTTAAAGGATTCACTATCACTGGAAAGGTGAATTGAATTTTAAAATCTCATAACCCGAGAATGTAGATCATAAGTTAGCTCTCTTATCTGAATTGTTGCTTTTTTTGTCTTATTTCTGATTTAGATTATCTCTGATAGTTTAGATTCTGGCCCTAAAGGAGTAACTATCAAGCTGAAAGATAAATCTGGTAAACTTATTAAAAGTGTTATTACCAAATCTGAAGGTTCCTATGCCTTTGAAGAAGTATTACCTGGAGATTATGAGATAATTGTCGATGATGAGAAATTATCTTTCGTTGGATCAAATTCTATTATTGTAACTGTTTCCGATGATAATGTAATTTTAGATCCTAAAGACTCTAAGCAAGTGATAACAATCAGCGGTTATTCTGTTGGTGGACGAGTTACAAGTGACGGTGAACGTATTGGTGGAGTTAATTTTGCTCTTTATTCCCTTTCTGGTAAAAAGAGAGTTCCAACTGGCTGTAATACCGAATCAATTGTCAGTCGTAAAGTTGATATCACAGCTTCAGCAATTTATCTTTGTCATACTCTGTCCACTGTTGAAGGTCGTTTTGAATTCAAGAATCTTCCTCCAGGAAACTATCGATTGATAGCTTTTTACAGAGGCAACAACATTGAATTTGGTGTTGAACCTTCACACATTGACTTTAAAGTAGAACATGAAAACGTCGAGTTAAAGAATGGATTCACTGTGGAAGGTTTCAGTGTTTCGGGGAAAATATTAACCCGCCAGGGAGGCAAAGGTATTGAAGGTGCTCAGGTTTTGGTTAAAGATGATAAAGGAACCGAAAAAGTAATCAGTTCGCTCAAAGATGGTATCTTCCATTTGGAAAACATGAAGACTGGAACATATTCCCTACAAGTGAAAGCTTCTCATCTGATATTCGGGATCACAACTGTCAGAATATCTCCATCATCACCTTTGATTCCTGATATAATTGCCTCAGCATTTGAGACTTGTGGTCAATTGAAATTCAAATCGAATCCTATTCCTTTAGAAATTGAGATTACCAAAAGTTCTGGAAAGGATTTTGTTTCACATTCAATTATTACTTCCAAATCGGATGGGACATTTTGCTCATTTTTAGAGCCGGGAAAATACCGATTCAAACCCATTATTCCAGTTGACCAGGAAAACGAGCTTGTATTTACTCCTAAATATTTAGAACTGTTGATCGAAGAAAAGTCCAAACTCGATCTTACATTTCACCAATTCGCTGCCTCTGTTTCAGGTTCATTAATATTGAAAGAACCAAAAGTTATAGTGAACGATATCAGCATTGATTTAATTTTAGATGATAAGACTATTGATAGTGTTCAACCTGATCAACAATCAAAAGAATTCAAATTCAAATCTATTGCTCCAGGTAAATATCGTCTTAGACTTCGTAAGGGAGATAATATCTGGTGTTGGAAAGAAGATGAAATGACCATTAACATATTGGACGAAGATTTAACCGGAATCAAGTTTACTCAAATCGGCTATTATCTAACTCTAGTCACCTCTCACCCCGTGAAAGTTACAATAACTCATACAACATCTAAGAAATCAATTAATGCTGAAATCAAAAATGTCCAGCAACCTTTCCGTCAATGTTTACTTGAATCAGGTCGATACGAAGTCAACACTGTCTCATGTCATTCATTTAAAAACGAAAAAGGCCTCAAGGAGCCTTTTATTTTCGATACTCGAACCAAGGAAACATCTTCATCACTAATTATCCGAGCTTACAAACACCAATTAACCGGGTCGGTGACAGTTACTGTTCCAGTTGAAAGTTCTGAAGAGTTTGTCCTTTCATTAACTCGTAAATCAAATATTAACGATCAAAAGGGATCAACAAATGGATTGGATTATTTACCCAGCTCATCTAAATCCGATAATCAAGGCAATCTAATCAAAATGTTTAAATTTTCCTTATTCGCTGAGCCCAATGAATTGCTCACAATTGTACCATCGTCGACATCCCTTTATTCAAGCCTCCTAAATTTGAAAAGACCATGGGCTCTGATTGTTTGCTCGATGCTGTTTCATTCAAAGGACGTAGTGGACTATTTATCAAAGGATCAATTTCTCCACCCCTGATGGATGCTACAATTAAATTATATTCTCGAAGTGATGATCAACTTATGTATGAAACCGTCACGGATGCCGAAGGGAAATACACCGCTGGTCCTTTTGATTGTTGTGATGCAGGAATTACCATTGACCGTATGATTTATGCTAAAGCGGAAAAAGTGGGATATTTATTGAAAGAATCATCTAAATTTGGTCAATTTGTTAGCGAGAAACTTTCATCACTAATTGTGAAAGTTACTAATGCCGATGGATCACCATTGCCTGAAGTGCTCATCTCCATCTCTGGTGGTTCTAATAATTTCCGTAAAAATCTAATCACTCCTGCAACCGGTGAATTATCATTTATTGGATTAAATCCTGGTGAATATTTCATGAGATCAGTTTTGAAAGAGTTTAAATTTGATCCAGCTTCAAGAATTGTTGACATTAAACAAGGTGAATCTGTTACACTCAATGTCAAAGGTGAAAGAGTTGCTTACAGTTGCTATGGCTCGTTAACTTCCATGTCAGGTAACTAAACAATCTAATCATTTCTGAATCACTTGATTACTAATTGTTGACTTATTTTATTTGTTTTATTTACACAGAAGAGCCTGAAGCTAATATTTTAGTTGAAGCTGTTGGTATTATGGAGTTAATGAACAAGGATTTGATTGTAAACAGTTACAAGAAGAGGTAACATCAGAATCTAATGGTAACTTTAGAATTCGTGATTTAAAACCTGGATGCAATTATCGAGTTAGTGTTAAGAAATCAAATGAGCAAAATTTAATCGCACGTTCATTACCAGAAAATGTGATAATCTCCGTTGGAAGAGCCGATGTTACCGGCATTAAATTGATACTTTTCACTCGGAGTAACACCATGGAATTGACTGGAGATATTATAACTAATCCAGAATTTTGGCCTTCACTCCGTGTTAAACTTTTCTCTGAATCGATTGGCGATCAATTGTTGGCCTCAATTCCAGTGACCAGTGGTTTCTTTTCCATTCCAACGCAAATTCCAGTAGACAATCGTTGGTATATTCTAAAATTGGAATCAACTCTGCCCACTTATTTATATTACTATGAAACGGCCTCTCTTACTTTCCAGGCCAATACAACATACTCACATTTTCAATTCCAATTTGATCCAAAACAATCATCTAATTCAGATTCTTTCAATGGGGAACAAGATAACATCAGCACTGGATCACTTTTCACTTTACCTTTGTTTCTCCTTTTAGGTTTAATAATCTACAAATTTGATAAAGTTAAACCGATTTTCGATTATGTTATCGAGAAAGTTTGGTCAACAATACATCCCGATGGAAGATCATCTCCAAATTCTGACGGTTCGTTACGTCGTAAAATCAAATCACGACGAACCTAATACACTTTTTTTTTAGAATTTAGGATAAATTTTTATCTAAATTAATTTAAGCCTTATAGTCTTGAGAAATTATTATTTACGATCTTGTTTGCTCGTAACAATTATCATTTGTAATAATTTAACTTTTCTCTCACAAGCAAATCAATTGTAATTTACACTGCGATAAACACTTTTATACATCTACATGTATATTGATACAGGTAAACGGGAAGAATTAAATCATTTTTTGTTATCTATTAACAACTAAAATTGTCGAATATTTTTCATTGTTGCTTTTATGATAAACACAATTAACATCGATGAACGATAAACAATAATTTGAAAAGTGATCGACATTTATTGTTGGAATCAAATGACTACATGATTACATATACAAAGAGAAATACAAAATTTGGTTTAAACGAAAAAACAATTAGTTTTAATTTACAATTTGGATCAACTATCAGTGTTTTCCAACCAATTACCTCCTATTGGATCTAGAGCTTGAAGTACACGTCGATTTTGTGTATCGAATATTGATTCATTTCTTTGTTCTATTGTAGAGAGAGTGAGTATCGATTGATCGATCGATGATTTCTGGAGATCGTTTCACTGACCCAGAAGTTAGAGGCCAATTCAGTTTCTTTAGCTAAACCAAATTCAAATTCTTGAGGTATTGGACACAAAGGATAAACTCAAAAAAGTTATTTTCAGGGCGAATCGAACAGAAATAATTAACAACAACTGGAAGCTTGAGATGAAGAATGGTGACAACATCGAGATTGGTGATTATTTTAACTTTGATCAGTGTCCATCATGTTGTAAACTGGTTGGTGAGCGTATGTGCATCTGCAGTGGAGATGAGAAATGCTCGAACTGTGGTGAATCTCGAAGTAATCATGGTGGTACATGCAATCGTAGACCCATTAGCTGCATTGCTTGCGAAGCCCCTGATAATCTAATAGACAGAAAGCACGTAACCAACGACTTTTTATGCCCACAATTCGATAAGATAATTAACTTTGAGATGCTTGGGGTCAAGTGTGATTATGAATTCGTAAGAATTCTAATGTTTTCGCCAATTATCAGACATCGTTAAAAACAGGAGAACAAAAATTAATTGCAATTTACTTCTATATAAGTTCTCAAAAGAAACATGAAAAAACCTAAAAGGGAACTTGTTTTCCTCATTTAACAAAATTTTTTCTTCCTTTATACCAATACACAATTAACCGAGTTTTCTCCTTCATTAACTATTATATTAACCTTTAGACTTACATATTTGGCGCCAACCGACTTCAACTCTTATTGTAAACCCAAAGTTGAGGGTTACTTATCTATATAGACTCAACCTTGTGTAAACATGTTACTTACAAGTCTTAAATAAACAAAATCTTTCTTTAAACAAGTTAATTAATCTATCTTCTCAATTTACAATTTCTTTTAACAGTTAAACAACAATAATATTCTGAAAAGGATAAAAGAAAGAAAAATGAATATCAAAATTAGTTATGCCAATGTTTGCAAAAGGAAAAATACGAGCGACATTGTTGGAAGACTTTCGGAAGGAAGACGATTTGTAATATGCAGTGAAGACCAGGACAATGGCCAATATGAAGACGATATCAAAGGGGACAGAATTAGACTTCACTCTCCTCCTTCTTGGCGAATTAAGAGACATTTTATCTCTGGTAACATTGTCGTTGGGATGTATAACAAAAACGGTTGCCATATAATTGTGGTGGCTGTTTACTCCAGCCCGGGAAACATGCCAGTTCTTGCGTCTCTCACGAATATCGTTCTCAAACTACCTGAGAATTATTCATGTTTTATCATAGGTGATGTAAACTTAGAAACTGATTTATGGGCGGACACAACTCTCATGTGAACAAATCAATCTCTGAAGAATTGAGAAATGCTCTAATCACCAAGGGATTCGTGTCAGTTTTGCCGAGAGATGTTATATCTGGTGTGACGAGACCGGCCGTTAGATCTGCATCGTCGAGAGGAACACGCATTGATATTGCTCTCACGAATGCGAAAGTACTGGAGAATAAATCGTTCATTGAAAAATGCGAATGGCTGAATTTGGATCATCACTTGATAAGATTGGCTGTTAAAATTAAATTCAATACCAAACGGATTAACAATCAGGATCTTTATCAAATAAGATATGAAAATCAACAGTCCTGTCCGGTCAATGCGAATTTGGAAGATCAAATCTCCTGGCTGTTGAATATGGGTCGCGGAGTTAAAAGGGTAATGTCCGAGACTGGAAACAGGAAGACTCGTCGTTTGAAAAAGAAGCTCAGGAAAGCTGGAACACAAGAGCGGAACAAATTCATTGAGAAATTAAAAGAATATCGGGCGAAAAAGCGGGTCTGTAATGTAAACACTCTAAATAATGAATAACTGATAAAATTAGTACGCAGCAGATCAAACTGCGATACGATTACCTTCGACCTACCGATCGCCAGGAAAATGATGCTATTTCAAAAATACAATCTGCCTCCAAGTGGTTTGCGTCCAATTCACTCATGTGGCTTAGATCCAAAGGAAAGAGAAAAAGCGCTCAACATGAAGTTCAAAAGTAGCTCAGGGTGGGCTGATCCATTCAGCCTTCAACGTTGGTTAAAAATTTGGGACAAACATAAATTAGCTATTGTGAACATGGTTGACGGACTATTCAAGAGGGAATGGATACCGGGTGATTTGCTGATTAGTGGGGGTACGCTGATACCCAAAGCGAATGGTGATTTTCGGACCGTGCGTACTCAATCGTTCTTATCCAAAATAATTGACAGGATATTGGTCGATCGTCTTAAAAAATGGAACCAGGAAACTCAGGCAATAGATGAAGGGCTGCAGTTTGCTTATCTTGGTCAGAAGAAAGAGAAACTCTTGTATAAATTATATGATAAGTATCGGGAATATGATTATGTTATTGCTGCTGATCTAACTAAAGCATTCGATAAAGTTTCGAGAGTTGAAATAATCAGAAGACTGGAACCTTTGGACCGACAGACTAAAAGTATGATAAAGAACTTCATACGCAAAAGACGACTACGAACTTTTCAAAATGGTAACTTGAAGGTGGTTGAAGACGCCGAGGGATTACAAGGTTTTGGTCTTGGTCCATTGTTATTTGTTCTGGCCATGGACGAGTCGTTGAAAATGCTGAACTCGAGACCGGAGGAGATGATTGTTCTAGCATACGCGGATGACGTGATGATAATGACGAACAGTATAAAAGAATCTGTCGCCAAGGTTAAATTTATCTTTGGTCTCATTAATCTTGAATTGAATGAAACAAAGACGAAGGTAATACAACTGAACAATCCGAGGAAGCCAAATACCATTCTGGGTATGGTGACGGTTATGAGCACATGGCCTGAAGCAATAATTAGACAACTGGTGGCTAAAATCAAGCTTAATCAACAACAATTAGCGATTATGAGTCTCTTAACAGTGGAACAATTGAAAATATTTTACAACACGTACCTAGGTCATAGCATGAAGACTCTGGGTCCAAGCCCCTGGTTTGAGAACAAGCTCTACAAATACAGAGTCATTATGTTGATGCGAGTGGGCAGAATGATAACAAGTAAATTACACCATCAGAAAACAAAATATCGTGACAAATTCTTTGAATCACTTCATGGTCTACCCAATCCGTTTGCTACTTACTTCGTGGAGATGATAATGGATCTGTGGGGTGGCGATTTCTCAGAAGAATCATTTCCTGTTATTGGTTGGGCTCCTGAGATTAGAAGACACTGGTCATGGACAATGGATTGGGAATATATAACGGAAAAAACATGTGGTAGTGATGAATGGGGTGATGTTTGGGTTGTGATAAATTCAGCGGGACTCTTTTGTTGGAGGGAAAACTTTGGCATGCAAATTCATGAGCACTACGAACCAGTTGGTGTCTATTCAAACTTTGACAAGGAGAGAGTTCTGATGAGTTTGTGTAGGAGAAAGGCGAACTCAAGTCGTAAACTTCGAATACTCTGTAACGAAAAACAGAAAGGTTACAATAGTGTTAAAGAGTCTGAATTGGTCGATCTACTGGGGTGGACGCTGGAGAAAGTGGAAATGATGGAATGTAACAATGAAGGACAAATAGAGTCTCAACCACTTCCAATAGACAAAACGAAAAATCAAATAGCAAAAAAATAAGACAGAAGCTCGAGAAGTTAGAAGTTACTGACAATGTTAATATGCTTAAGGGTTTGATGAAACTAATATTCAGACGAAACAATTTGTTAATCTTCAGAAAATCAATCAAATATTATATGAGAGCGCTGATGAAAAATATCAAATTCGTTGAATGCAATCTTAAGCTATTGATACACGAGTGCTACGAGATGATGGATTCTGTGCACATACAACACTGCCCCTCGTATCGCCCTAAATCTGGTTGGCAGCTCAGGAGGAGTAATTGTCGCGAAATAAGCAAATTATTTCAAACCATGAGAAACAACATTGAACTAAGTAAAAAGTGAACAAATGTTATCAAACTTTCCGCTCGCAGAGACTCAGAGAGTCGACTCCCAATGGGGGAGCCACCAATTGGTGAGAGCTGCTGTTGAATCAGCAATGATGCGACGCCATCATTAACTCTATTTAACAACATCAACAAAGATTCTGCCACAGAAACCATAGTCTCTCAATAGGTGGACAGCGAGTTCAGGATTGTCAGAGGTAATGAGCTGCTCAAGTATTAACCTGGTATTTAAACTGAGAAGATCAAAAGCAGGCAGAAGAAATTCACAGTATCTGACATAAAGATCAGTCTTCTTCATTAATTTGTTTCTGGCTTCAGCTGTTAGCTTAATGAAGATTAGCAAATTATCTTTGTTTTTCATTTGTTGAACCTCTCTCACCCATTCTTCCTTAAGATGATTAGATTTCCACAACATCTTCTGAACAATCTCTCGAGGAGCCATTTTTTCCCCATGAACATACAGGTATATAATCATCTCACCAGGAATTGTTTCATTCATAGCAAAGCTTTTTTCCTCTTCAGTACAGGGTGTAATTTTGATGTTTTGTTCACTAGTTTTAACATTCGTCTGCTCAGAGACAGTCATAGTAAAGGTTCAGTGGTGATATTTCACAAATTAAATCAGAAAAGAAGTTAAATTCTTACTTAGAGAAACGTTCATTTTATTATAGAGTAAAAGAAAAAGGTAAACAAATAAATGAATAAGGAGTCAAATCAAACATTGTCAAGCTCTAATCATAAGATTTTCAAACGCCCTCTATTGTCTTTTACCAGAATCAAACTTCGTCCATGATGATGTGATGATACGAGTGATTTACTTTTGTATTAGTAGTATTTGTTGAGTTCGATTTGGTATGAAAACGGGATCCATCCCGGGAAAAATGATCACCTTAACACCGGAATCAATTATATCGACAACTTTGGCCGTGTAAATTGCTTTGAATTCAAGTTTCTTTTCGTAATCATCCATCTCGAGAAGTTGATCAATCGTTTTCTTGGCAATTTCATAAGACTTTTTGTCCGGTGCAAAGAGAATCAATTTATTTGGATCGCCATCATCTTGTCGTAAATTAATTCCATAATTAACAGTTAATTTACGAATTGTTGATCCACCATAACTGAAAATTCGTGATCGACGATGAGGTGGAATCTCAATTGTCTCTGTTATCGGCCAATTTTCTTTATGAGAAACATTTGGCTGACGAATCGTTCTGCTCATGATTTCGAGGATTTTTCTAGTAGCCTCTTGACCTTGGGTCAAGGCATCTTTGATAACCTTAATTGGTAATCCATGAGGTAATTTAATATCTAATTGTAGAGCAGTTAATCCAGAACCAGTTCCTGCCATCTTGAAGTCCATTTCACCGAAATGATCCTCAATACCAAGAATATCGGTAAGGATGATAAACTTTTCATCTTGAGGTAATAATTTTGACGATTGATGATCATCTTTGTTTTCCGAAGTGTGAATCAGGCCAATGGCAACACCCGCCGTGGGATGTGTAACCGGAACTCCACCGTCCATCAAAGCTAAACTTCCCGCACAAACACTGGCCATAGAAGACGACCCGTTAGATCCAAGAACTTCACAATTAAGTCTAGTTGTGAAGGGAAAATCTATCGGCATTGATAGTCGAAGTGCTTTCTCGGCTAAGGCTCCGTGTCCAATTTCCCGTCATTAACATAATTTTTCTCTCATTTTCTCAGGCTGTATATTTATATGAATTTTTAAGTTGTTTTTATCACCATCTTTATCAATTTTTTGGCTTTTTATTTCCAACATCAGCAAACAAATTTTTATATTTTTTGGTTTTCTCGCCTAACTTTTTTTCCGCAGCGGCGATAATTTTTTCATTTCGTTTTTTTCACCTTCAGGAGTAACCAATACTCGTTGGTACATACCAATAAGTTTCTGTTCTGTTTCTGCTTATGGATGTCATTTTGCGGCATTTCCTTCATTTTCTGAGCTCTTTCCTTGGCTCTAAATTTGGCTTTTTGGTTTTTAGTTAATCCTTCAGGGTAACGCTGTAAAGAAAAATTCATCCATTATGAACATTCAAACTCAAAATTCATGTATCAAGAAAACTTACCTGGCTATCCATTATATCGATATTTAGAATTTTAAAAACTCAAGTAAAACCGTAAAGAATATCTATTGAAAAGAAAAAGAATATAAGGAATAAATGAATTAAAAAACATATATAAATTCAGTATAAAAGCTTATTACAAAAGACTAAAGGACAAACTTGAAGGTCATCACAAAAATGTAATGCTTTATAAAAGAAGTCGGATTAACTTACACTATGAAAACTCAGTATGAAATTTTTTTGTTAAAGAAGAGAGGGTTGAGAATGTTGGTGAAAATTGAGGTGCAGAAGATTCAAGAAAAGTAAACGGAAATCTGATAAATGAATGAAAAAAATGAAGAAAATGGTTAGAATAAAATTATATAAATTCATAAAACATGAATTAGAATTCAGAAGAGTTTGTTCATCACTAGAGATGTAAGGACAACCCCGAAGGTTATCACATACATCTCTTGGACTCGCATTTAAACATCAATCTGAACTTACCAAGTCAAAAGCTGGAGACAAACTGAGCTTAAAACTGTAGGTCATGCTATTTATATGTAAAATAAAGAGCTTCAGCCAGAAATTTCACTGAATATTTCCAATCAGAATTTAACACCAAAAATATGAATTCCAATTTATCACTTCCTTGGAAATAATAACCAATCGAAGCTGAAAAGGAATTAATTAATTAACTCAATTCAGAGTGAACAATTTAATCTTTATTAATTTTTAATTTAGATAAATTTAATTAATCATCAACATGATTAATTAACCATCACCAACATCAGCTAGTAATCAACTGACTTGTTGTTGTTGTTGTTGTTGATTGCCATCAACAATCAAATCATCATCATCATCAACAATTGATGTTGATTAACAAAATTAATATTTGTTAACCTGTTGTGGTTGATCAATAGCAACAATAACAATAAATGTTTGGCAACAATTAGTTAATTAATTGTAGGTTGAGAGAGAGAGAAATTAAATCAAAAAGAAAGAGAAAATAAAAGAGAAAAAGAAAGAGAAAAAGAAAGAAAAAGAAAATAAAGAAAGAGATGAGAAAGAGGATTTCTTATCCTTTGGTTTCTCTTTCCAAAAGTTGACTTTACATTACATATATCATTGGTTTTGACTACGTGACCGTAGACAGAGAAATAGACAGACAAAAAGAAAGAGAGGTGCCTACGTGACAGCGAGTTTACAATGCCAGATGTTAAATTCCAGATGTTTCAGGCCAGATGTTGAACAATGTCCAATCAAATTCAAGCAGATGTTTATTGTGTCTATTTCTCTTACACTTGGAATAATTATTGCAAGTCCCGTTAAGGTCTCAGTTTGTTTTCATCTTTCGTAGTGGTAAGTTGATTTTCCATTTTCTCATGCGAGTCCAAGAGACGATTGTGATGGTCTTTGGGACCGTCCTTTCGTCTCTAGTGATGAGCAAAAGTTAGCTCAATTAACCCTGAGAAATGAACTTATCCTTTTTATCTTTCTTTAGTTATTATTCAGATTCAGATATATTCAGAAGTTTTATCTACATAATCCGATTCAAGCGTTATTTTTTGAGTCTTTCCATTTAGTGATAAGTACACATTTAGTGTATGTTATAAGATGTTTTTATATATAGCTAGTCTTAGAAATAATGATAATCATTTGTGATGAGCATCAGGCTTGTCTTTTTATCTCTAGTGACAAGTTTTAATATTATAGTTACAAATTATTTTTGTTTGATTAACTTATTTTGCATCATTCTAGTTTAACTTGGCTATCTCCTAAATAGAATACCTTAGTTTGCATCAAAAATGGTTCTCTCGTATAGAGAAAGAGTGAGTATAGAAAATAAAATTAAGTCGAGAATAAATATGTAATTTGATGCTTCTTCCTCATGATCTATTTAAGAGGTTACTGTATAGTAAATATTTGGATATTTACACGATATTAATCGTAAGAGCTGCCCCTTTAGAAAAGGAATTGAAAGAGTATGGTAACCACTACAATGTGAATGATCTACCATACGACCAATTCAATTTAGAAGGATCAATTTTAAAAGTACTCCGAAGACCGAGACCACCTCCACACAGTTCAGTTTTCCATAAGTATAATGAACTTTTGGAAATTGATCTACTAAGAGTGCAAGCTATTCACATTATGCGAACACTGAATGCGTGATCCTGAATATCTTCCTGAGGTTTGCTTTGATGAAGATTTAAGCATCCGTATGAATTAAGATCATTCATTAATACCATTTAACTTTCAACATTCAAAGTGGTAAGTTCATATTTTGTCACTAAAAAGTGACTATCGATACTGTTTGGATGGTTTGACGAAATCCGCGGTACCAATTATCTCCGAATTAAAATATCTTGGTTTTTCTTTCGATAATTGGAGTATAACATTTACTCAAGAAGATTCGACAGGCTCAATAAAGAAAGTTTTGGAAAGGGAAATGCCTCCACCAGAAAGTTCAACATATAATTATGTATGTCAATTGAATATAATTGATATAATTCGTATTCAGCTCTTATTTAAAATAAAAAACGTAGAAAACAACCCATTATATACCCCCACTACCTGTTATATTCAATTGAAATAGTTCTGATTTATCAATTATGAATTTATAAAAAAATTATCTGTAAAGAGCTTTGAAACAAATTTTGACAAAAAAACAGAAATATTTTGATGGAAAAAAGAAAAGATAATCAAAAATTAAATACTATGTTTGACATATAAAGTTTTATTTGAATTTGTTTATTCGGTTAAACTCTAAACAGAAACGAAATCGTGCGGAAGATATTTAATTAAGAGATACACATTACACATACACATACACACGATTATACATGATAGAGTTAGTAGGAGCGTGTATATTTTCAATTAATCCTCGTAAGATTTGTATCCGTATAATATCGACTACAATCAATTCACAACATAGAGGGTAAGCAGGGTGTTCTTTTCCGGGTAGTTTACGTTTTAATATATGTGGGATTTCACGGTTTCTCGTATACTCATAAGTCCATTCATTTATACCTGACTAACCCATCTCTTCTATTCGTTTCCGTAGATGTTGAGCCCGATTTTTAGAGCAGTCATTTTATTCCTTGCAGTGTCCTGATTTATTATTCTACTAGCCATGTTTTTTTTCGAGGAACAGACGAAATTTTTATTTGAATGACTGTGACGGAGAATTTCCACACAGGATATAGTTAATATCAAAATAGACACAATAAAATCAGTCTATATCAATTTATTATAATTTAAATTTACAGATACTTTTATAAATTGTTTCTTATATGTGTACACTTTTCAATTATTTGTACTTGTTGACACTTGATTTTCTATAAATCTCAGTTGTTGAATCTTGGCTTTCATGAAATTTTGAAGACACATCAATAACCTGAAGAACCCCTTCGTATGTAAACTCATATAGAAGGTAGATTTTATTTATTATTGTATTGTACCATTTGATATTTTCCAGTGTAACATGAGTGTCATTACTTGAAGTTACATTCACGGTTTCTGCTTCGGCTTTCATTTTACATAGTTCACTGAAGTAATCCAGGATTTCATCGCGTAGATTTTCCACACCTGTAAGTTGAAATTGTTGCTCGAAGTAAACAAGTTTATTGAGAACGGAAATATAAAACTGTTTCGTTGATCGAGTAAAGTTGATTCAAAATCCACAATTAACACTATTAAAGTTGGACGACTGAAGATCATCCAAAATTCACAATTAACACTTCTTCAAGTCAAATTGGTTGAAGTTCACCCAAAATTCACAATCAACTTTTTGATGTTTACACTGTTGAAGTTAAACAAGAAATGACGTAAATATAGTAATCTGTTCTATAATACCACAATGAGGGAGTGAAAAAGGCTCCCTTTAGCCACCCCAATAGAATAACAACCAATCAAAATTGTAATGAGTCATAATAATCAAGCTTTAAAAGCCAAATTGGTTCTCAAGGTCACCACCAGAGGTCACTACTTATCATAAGGTCACTGTATATTGGTTTCATATAGAATGGGCTAGAAATGGACTTGTATATAGGGACACCCGGTATAGACAACCGGTATGATCACCCTGTATAGACACCCTATAGGAACATTTTGGACCGTTTGGGACACCCTGTGCAAAAATGGGCCAGAGATGTACTTTTTATACTACTGACCTTTCGTTCCCCGTTTGCGTGAGATAGTGTTGACGATGATAGTGGTGCTCGAAATGGAGGCACAATGTAGTTGTAATATGGGTGGTTTCTGGTCACTTTTAATGGAACAGCTTTAGTCCGAGGTTCGGAAGGTCTTGACTTATCTTTCGTCAAATTAAGAGGTTTTTCGCCACAAGCAAAGCAACATTTACTCGGATACACTACTACAGTCCTGGGGACTTTGTCAAAAGAAATCAATTTAGGCATTTTTGTCAACAGATTCTAATGGTGGTGTTGAGGATGGTGATGAAATTGTAAGTTAATAGAACAAATCAAAATAATGAAGTAAGTCAACTTAGGTCGAAAGTGAAAATGAATTAAAACTTTCAAAGGTTATAAATAGTGACCATTTAGCCACGCCCACTTACAATTACCAATGGTATTTTATCATTGTTTTTATATAACAATTAGCTTGTTATTACGCAATCAAATGCGCTAATTGATTTCACTAATTGTTATGACAATTAACTCTTGTTAATTAGAGTTACTGGTTATATAATAAGTACAATTATTATTAATTAAAGATAATAACTAATGATCCAATAGATTAGTGCATTGTTATATAATGATGTATAACATAGTTTTAAGTGTTAATTAATACATCGAAGTGTATATTAGAGTAATCTATGTATGTTCACAGGACAATTAACTACAATTAAGAATTAAATTAATTATGATAACACTAATGTAATAGGGTATTGTAGATGATTCCTATATCAATTAAGGATTCTATATTAATCTAAGGATTCGGTTGAAGATCTCTTCATGCACTCATGTGCTGGTTATGATAAAGAGATCGACATCAACTTGGATGAACATCAC